CGTTACCGTAATTAAAATGGTATATTAATGGATAATTCTAATGGTAATAAAAAAACAATGGAAATTGACTATTAATGGAACATGATAGGACTGGGTTAATGATTATAATGTGATAATATTAATGGATATTCATGGATATTAGCCGAGTATCGATGACGTTGGGGACTTACCCCCTGGTAATTGAACAATTTACGAACGATTTATGATAACTACCCTCTGGTAAACTAACATAACTATGGAACATCACCATTTCTCATGGGAAAATTCACTATAAATGGTGATTTTCCATAGTTATGTTAAATTACCAGAGGGTAATGGAGAATAATGGAATATTCCTAATGTGATACTAATTGAATCTTAAATGAAACATAATAGGATAATGGTTAGAATGAGATATATGGGAGAAAGGAGATTGAATTGATGGAATTGCAGCAGTCCCCCATGTTGGTTTATAGTGCTAAATGGGAAAATCAGCAAGAATGGATGAAGAATGTACACGAGGAAATTTTGAAATTTACCTCAAGTAATAGTTCAAATGGTTACAATGGGACGATGTCCAGAAAAAAACATGATATGTTCATGGGATTGTTGGATAATAATACAATGGTATCATCACCATGGTTGGAATGGAATATATGGGATATGATATGGTTATATTTTTTGACTATTATTGGAGAATTAATGGATAGTTGTAATGGTTATTTTTTCTATAGACATTGAATACATTTCAGACATATTGAGATAATGGTCGCTTTATAGATGATTTTCATTTATTAAACACTGTTATTTTCCATATGGTACTGGTTCTAATGGCTGCAATGGGATTTTGAATGGATAAATCATGGATATTGAATGTATGGAGTTCCGTAAATTCGGAACCACGGGGCTAGAAGGGAACCGCGCAATTTATGATTGCAGTAGATGATCTGCCCATTTAAATGCTCATGTAGTTCAGGGGTTTTCCGCATTTCCCAGCCAGCCATGTTTGGTTACCGGACATGGATCCATGATCGAACCTACTACTGTTTTGGCTATTCTTTCCCACATACCGGAAGTTGGAGAGATTATCCAAAATGGAGATTGGATGAGATTGGTACATTCACAGCATTTGTGCAAACATCAACAAACTTGGGATCGATCAACTAACAAGGGCCGACGCGTGCCTTCAAAAAGGCACACGAAAAGGCCCAAAAACCGAACGTGTAGCTGCAGCTCAGCTGCAGATGTCACCTCCAACTCCTCCTAGGTGTGGAAAATGGATTGCTGGTCGTGTCTGTATAAAACTTACTGGTGCTAAACGCAGGGAATTTTCGGGAATGATCCACTGGCTAACGGTCAATTTCATCATCCCAGCAACCCTGAGCAACCCATCCATTCCCTACGTAAAACGCACCAGTAAGAGAAGGTCTGAAATAAAAGCTTGGAATTGGCGACCTGAATGACCTGAATGACTCATGAAAGTTGGGATAAGTGAGTTTCATACTGTCAAACCAGCAGAATCTATTGATTGTTGAAAGTCAAGCCTGACTCATCTTATGAACCATACCCATATGCTCCATGTATGGAATATTTACCTACAAAACTGGTTGATTTTTGTGGTAAAATGTAGGGATTCATATTCCAGCACCATGGTTCGCATATGGGTTATGGACCATAGTGATGATCCACAAAAATCAGCCAGGGTAATCCGTGAGATAAACCTGGATTTTCTCTTAAATAGTTGTAGAACACTTGCCATAGGCTGGAGTGGTTGCTCCATCAATCAGCTGTTCACTCGCTTGTCCAGCAACTGGGATGCCATGGATCAAGCAAATAGATCTTGATTTTTGGATGTTCATCGGCCTCAAAATGGTAGTACAGTAAAAGGCATTGATCCATAGCTAATCATAGCTATATATCTTAAATAATTGCACAAAATACCAGTTGTCGACTTACACGGCAGTACTCAAAGATGAAAGTTTTTGTCAATCCAGATTTCCATCCATATCTGAACAACCCTCTGGCCACTGGGACATCAAACATTGCTTCTCAGAAAAAAATGCCCCGTGTACAAATGGCTCATAGCAAGCAATGGGATTTCTGAAGCAAGCAGCTTTTTGAGGACACCAAAGAGTGCTTATAGATGGGCCGAGTTAGCTAACTAGTTTGTAAATGGATTTATAATCCATCATCCCAAATAAACGTGGACATAGTAAAATAGTAATGGACTTTTGTTCATATTTTTCTTTTTTCGGCGAGTTAGCCAGGAATCCCTACGTAGCAATCCCATGGCCCTTGGGACTTCCCACCGACGACCCGACCAGGGCCAGCACCTCACCATGAACTTTGACGAAGGATTGCATGGAGGACGCCGAGTTGGCATGCGCCTGAGGCGACGAGCTTGACGTGATGTGCATGATAGTTATGGATAGTTATGGGTGATGATGGTGATGATGGCGATGATGGTGATGATGGTGATGATGGTGATGATGATGATGATGGTGATGATGATGATGATGGTGATGGTGATGATGGTGATGATGGTGATGATGGTGATGATGATGATGATGGTGATGATGATGATGGTGATGATGATGATGGTGATGGTGATGGTGATGATGATGATGGTGATGATGGTGATGGTGATGATGGTGATGATGGTGATGATGGTGATGATGATGATGATGGTGATGATGATGATGATGGTGATGGTGATGATGATGATGGTGATGATGGTGATGATGGTGATGATGGTAATGATGGTGATGGTGATGATGATGATGATGGTGATGATGATGGTGATGATGGTGATGATGGTGATGTTGATGGTGATGATGATGGTGATGATGATGATGATGACGATGATGATGATGATGATGATATGTGTGTGTGTGTCAATTTGTGATAAATGGATTGAGTTAAAATCAAATATACACATGTTTCTTTGTTCAAGTATAGTTTTAGATGACAACCGGCTAATATCTATATATTTTTTGTGTCTAGGTGTTCTATCTCTTCTGGTTTGCCATATTTTAGGTTGCCATATATTCTTGCGAACAACTGCTAGCTGCTTATTCTTGAGAACGACTGGATGCCCCGGAATTCTGCTGTCGCCCGTTGACCCATATGTGCTGGAAATTAAACACAGCTTCGTTAAGCCAACCAGCACCTCAGTCGGGAGAGGATGGTCCTTATTTCGGAGCTGTGGCTTAGGTGGCTTTGTATATCCCGGGGTTTTATATTTATTGTCCAATGTCCATCAACATCATCAACACAGTGGAATTCCAAATTATAAGTAAACTTGGTGCTTCACCAGTGGTAAGTGGCTAAGTGCTCACCCCAGTGAAACAACTGGACAATGTCCGGGTGAACCGCTGAGCACCACACCTCAATGGAAATCCCAATGCCTGCCGTGGCGCTTTTGAGCGCAACGTTTCCAATGGTGGGAATATCCGATACCCTCTGCTTATGTCAACAGCTTGCTATTGAAAATTACCATTTATAGTTGATATTTACCCATTAACAATGGTGATTTCCATAGTTATGTAACAGTTTACCAGAGGGCCAGAGGGTATGTGAAAGAGTGGACCTGGCTCGAACCTCTAAACCGACATCATTACAATACAAGGTGGTGCCCCAGGTCGGAATCGCCAAAGTGGCAACGAAAGCAACGAAAGCAACGAAAGCAACAGACATTTCACCGGGGCATGATCTTCCAACGACCTTTGGTATCCGGTATGTCATTTTCCCAAGCATTACCCTCTGGTTATTTAACATAGCCATGGGAAATGGCTCATAGAAATAATTGGTTTACCTATTAAAAATGGTGATTTTCCATGTTGTAGCAGAAAAAGGAACAAAAATGAGGCACTTCGAAAAAAATCGAGGCTTCCATGAATTCGGATCTATAGAGTTCCATAGGGGAAATGTCGTTTTCAGCACATGGGAAGTGCCGATCGATACGTCATCGACCATAGCGATCCAAGATTTGACCTGACGGGACAATCATTTCCTCTACCCAGATGCTCCATGTATGGAATATTTACTTACAAAACTGGTTGATTTTTGGGGTAAATGTAGGGATTCATATTCCATACATGGAGCATATGGGCTAGATGTTTCGCTGAAACCATCCCACTGATCGGCACCTGCAGCAAGTTGTTACTATAGTTTTTTTTGGGAATGCGCTTGCTGTGCAGAAATTGCAAGTCATCTCACTTCTGCTAAATGGAGGTTTCCAAAGTCATGGGGGTACGACCAGTTACCATCGTCGTCATGGATGACCATGACTTAGGAAAAAGGTTAACAACCATGGTCACCGGGATTCTCCGTGACCTACGCCATATATGAAAAGTGAAGGCTGTAAAATTATATGATCTTGGGGATTCCCCATGACCTAAGAACTACAACTATTCGCCAAACATTCTAAGAACCATGATTGCAGCGTAGCACATGTTTTCGCACCGCGCAACGTTCTCCGAAATTTCCTCCGCAAGTCCTGACGACCGTTCTGCGCTTCGGGGACCGGGACCGTGATGGCCCATGGTGGTTTATAAAACCATGACAGCTAGTTCGATAGATCTACCATAAACATTCATAAAAAAGATAGAATTTGCCTAGTTATGTTCATCAACTTCAACTTTAATTGAAACTTCCAACCATAACTAGACAGACATGTTTTATTCAAAAGAGGCTTGAGATGTAGGCAAAATTGTTGGGAAGTGACTAGCTGTCAGCTTGCAATGTTCGCATCGAACATGTCGGAACACTTGCTTGGGAAAGGTGCACAAAACGAGGGATTGGCCCATACAATGTCGTGTCTAGGACAACACATTCAACACAACATCATAATGCATTTTCGTATGCAGACCTGCAACATTCTATGCCTTCTCTGAAGCGAATCATGTCCCCACACGATTGAAATGGAGTATCACTGGAATCCACAGATTCTTTATGATTTTGCTTGTGGATTTTGCATGTCATAGCCAGTCCTTGATGTAGTCGTTGATGGCGTTCACGCTTCAGGAGACGAAGGCCTTAGGTTTGAACAGCCTTGGATGGCCTGGGTGGTTTCCAAGTGTACTTTTATGCGCTAAATGAAGTGTATCTATTTTACATTGTTTGTATATATATATATACATCCATCTATATATTATTTGTGTATATATATATATATCCATCCATCTATCTCTCCATCCATCCATCCATCCATCCATCCATCCATCCATCCATATCCATCGATCCATCCATCCATCTATCTATCCATCCCTCCATCCGTCCGTCCATCTGTCCAACTATCTATCTATCCATCTATCTAACTATCTACCTATCCATCCATCTATCCATCTATCCACCTATCTATCTGTATATCTATCGATCTAGCCAAATCTCTATCTATCTAATCAATCTTGCTTTCTATCTAATGTATAATTTATGGGTATATATATATACACACATATTATCATATTCTTATAATTGTATATGTATATATAGTATGTATGTATACATGGGTATGGTTCAAAATTCAAGCCCAAAACGGGACCACAGATTTTAGTATATGTTTTAGAATTCTTCACCGCTCCTAATTATTGGGGTCCTGCAGGTCCCGAAAATTTGACCACGACACGCCGGTGTCCATGTCGCGCTGCACGGAATGCCAGCGGTGCGCTCTGCCGTTCATACAAACCTGCAGGCTTTCTTGGAAGGAACTCTAGAAGCACGACCCGCGTTCGCACGTGGTTTGCTGTCGCAACGATTTGACATGATGTCCCAAAATGGTGCTCCAAAATGGGAAGTTGAATGAAAGTACCCTCTGGTAAACTAACATAGCTATGGAAAACCACCATTTTCTATGGGTAAATCAACTATAAATAGCCATCTTCAAGAGTTTGTATGTTTACCAGAGGGTAATCATGATAAACGACGGAATTTGGTGGTACCCATGGGCCCATAGGGTCCATCGTACTCTCCATAAACAAAAATGCCCCGTGGCCGAAACGTGGTACGTTACAAGTGTTGCTATCGTCATCCCTTCATTCATTGTTTGAGAAACATTTGCGAGCCATTGTAAATCCCTAGTGATGGATTGATGACTATGCAACTTTTGACAACTCCTGGAGATCGAAGATATCGCACGTCATAGTTGCTGGATGAAAATAACATGTGGCTTCTTACGATTGCAGTGGCTTTGCTTGACAGATTTGACTCAGATTTAACCCTGCCTTTCATATCACACATCCTTATGTGCAAGTCTACAGGAAGGATGCGAAGAAGGCTTGCATCCCCCAAACACAACCAGACTGCCGCGCCGGTCGTTGAACGCTTGATGCAGCTTCGGAACGTAGACCCCCGGGGCGCAAACGCTGAGAACACCGAAGCAAACACCTCAGGTTCTTTGGAGGTATCACCTGGCTGGTGATTTCATTCTGAAAAAAGATGATCAAATAAGTCCAACTATAGACCACCAACCAGTCATGTATTTTTTTTATCAAATGACTGGTGCACTTTGCCTTTCTGGTAGACGAACAAATCCAAGAGTAGTCCAGCGGTTACCATGTCATGTTGCCATGAGATCATCCACCGTAAAACAAGCTTAGTCGCAGTGCCTTTAGGTATAAATGGTAAACATCCGATGATTATCCCATTATTTACTATAGTTACCTATATCATGGGATAATCATGAGGATATGTTTCATAGTTACGTATAGTTACCATTATTTACCGTGTTTCATAGGAATCCCTATAGTACCAACTGCCTGGTCTTCGGGATTTCGCTGGCCCTGGGCCACCGTTTGTAATCAATGCGAAAATTTCTTGTGCTGCTCTGCTGTGTGAGGAGGATTTATAGCCAAAAGCAAGGCAGCAAGGCTCTCCAGTGTTCGAAGCTCAAGTGCCATCATGTCCAATCATTTCCAGCCAGTTTTTCCTGTAACCACCCTTTCATGCACCAGCCTAATATGGATTGTTGATCACCCTCCGGTAATTGAACATATGGAATCCATGGTCTGTATGTGGATGGTTCACCTATATTTAGTATACCTGTTAGAAATGGCGGTTTTCCATAGCTATGGTACCCTCTGGTAATTTAACATAGCTATGGAAAATTACAATTTATAGTTGTTTTACCCACTAAAAATAGTGATTTTCCATAGTTCATTGCCAATCTTAGATACCCTGCAAAAAAATAAATTCTTTGCTGGTTAGTAGATATTCCCATTAATACCAAAAGACTAAAGGATTAAAGTATCCATCTAAGATTGACCTAGAGTTATGTTTGTTTTCCAGAGAGTAGCTATGTTGAATAACCGGGTGGGTAATATGGCAACTCTCCATTTGCAGGTCCCGGTGCTACAGCCCACTTGTCTTCGTTGGCTTATCTCATTTAGACTATATCCATCCATACATTTTAGTGAACCTATGTATATCTAGTTCTGTTTACCAGCTTGGCTAACATAAATCAACTACCATCTGGTTATTTAACATAACCATGGAAAATCACCATTTTTAATAGGTAAACCATTTATAAATGGGCTATTTTCCATGGCTATGTAACAAATAACCAGAGGGTATAAATATCCGAATTTGCTTGGTCAACTCCACCAGCAATAGCAATCTGAAAAACCCCTCGGACGTCTCGGGGTCCATTCCGCTTGGTAAATGGGTCAACTACCCTAGTTAATCCTAGTTATATATGGATTATCCCCTCTGATATATAGGATGAAACATTGGTTATATATGGATTGTAAAACCACTTAATCTAAGTGGGGTACACAGTTCTTGGAGTATGTTCACCAACTTTAAATCTTTAACAATATATGCGTGCCGCGTACCTCCATTTTAGGAAACCTCCGAATTCCCATTGAATCGTCATCATGTCCAAACTTAGTTGTAAGGATTATATCCCAACTTGTGGAGGTTCACATCGTATACTTATACCCCAATTCCCATTGATGTTCATCCCCCAAGAAATGGTATAGCTATTGATCCGTAGCCATATGCCCCAAAAACGCAATTTTAAGGGAAATTGATCATCATTTCCATTTATTGATTTTTCCATTTCCATGAAATGCAGATTGTATCTCCATTAGTTTATGATATAGCATTCTCTCCATTTATCCTCGGGTTATTTAACGGTTTGCCATGGAAAATCACCATTTTTAATAGGTCCACCATCAATAAATGGACCATTTTCCATGGCTATGTTACATAACCAGATGGTATTATTTCCATAGCCATATGATTTTTCCCCGCGGCACCGAGGTTGAAGTGCGCGTCGGTGTCCACAAAGCGCTCCGGGCGCATGGCGCCCGTCAAACAAATGCGGAGATCCTCCGCCAGGGACGAAGAAACGGTTCCTGTCGCGGCACGGCAACGAGGCACGGTGTTTTTTACCCTGGGAAAATCATGGGACACCTGTGGAAAAACTCATGGTTTTCTCGTGAATGATCATTTTATTCATGCTGGGTTTTCCACAAGCGTTTACAAGAGGGTACCCTGCAAAAGATAGCAGTAGCCTGAGGCGGTTGACTCAGAAGACTGATACTTTGAGTAGGGACAAGTCCCTGGGGAGACAATTAGTTGGGGGGTTCTTACAATGGGGCATCCGCAAGTAACCATTGCTTTTCAATACTTATTATGTAGCGTCTAATGATTAGGCTGATTTTGGGTACCCAGATTTTAGGAAGCCCCAAACTGGTGATTGGACATGGAAGATAAAGGGAATCAAGTGGCCTTCTCTGGCAACTACTTTCAAAGCCTGTCCTACTATTCCATTGTGAGATGAATATGGATTGACGGACCAAAATTTTGAATGCTTAAATGCATGGCCAATTTTGATACCCTGCAATAAGTTAAATTCTTAGCTGGTTAGTAGATCATACCATTGATACCGCGAGTCGGACTGCTTGTCAACGCAGAACATAGCAACCCCGGGCCGTATTGGCGGGGAAACTGGTAACTCTCATGCAGATGAGGACTGTAGCTTCATTAAATGCAAACGCACAACTACAAATTAGGAAAAACATGCCTCGAATTACTCTTGGCTACGACACTTGTACAGCATCTTGTAGCTTTACACGTTCAGTCCATTCCAGATCCAAGTCACCCACTACGCCATAGGTCCTCAGGGTATGCTTCCTGATAATTGGCCGACTGACCGAGTCAGCTCTAAGGATATCCATGTCCCGAGTGTCAAAGCACAACATGATTGCTCGGTCAAATGCCTGCGGAATCACATCACGAAGATCAAGGTATTGGTTCCACTGGATTCGGTAGTTCAACCATTCAATAGCCCATGCAATAAGTCTCCAATGCTTGTGAGCCTTGAGATTGGACACATTTTCCGAAAACAGAACTCCCGGCAGGAGCATTGCAGCACAGAAAATTGCAATAACTTTCGACATCCCATCTGATCTGAGAAGACCTGAAGCTGCATAAGCCAAGGATCAAGCTGGACACGGCGCTGACGTGGCTATGATTTCAGACATGTACATACTTGTAAAGGTCATCCACCAAATGCTTGTGATCGCAATCTGATACAACATCCTCGGCAAAGGCCCCTCAATTCTCTCATGGTGCACGCTTGGGCAGCTTCGGATGAGCGCTGGACTCGTGCATCAAACTGATGTGTCAACTCGTATGCATGACAGGCAACTAGCTCCTTGTCAAGTCCCCGATCATGACGAATGTGGAGACCATGTTTGTCCAATGCATGGACAGCATGAGACCAGCCTGAAAACCCTCCGGCAAAGAGATCACCTACGAATAGGCATGCGTCTTCCGGAACTTCTGAATTGGCCCTGGCATTCAGGACTGTGGCATCGACATGGTTCATGGGAAGTCGATAGTCATCCACCTTGGCACCCATCAGAAGACATTGTGAGATTTCGAACAAAACCTGATCCCACTGCGCATTGGTGATCACCACCCTGACAGCAGTTCGTCTATCTTCAGGGGCACATCTGCATTCTACCAAATTCGTATCCAGAAAAGCCTGCCTCATGTAGTATCCAGCGTCATTCACGACATCGCCTTCAACCAAAACTCCAGCTTGATTCATAGACACAACATTGGACATGCGGAATATGTAGTCACCCCATTTGTGGCACAAACACACGAAGGGCCTCAACCACTGTTCAGCAGCGAAAGACTTCACTTTAGCAACTGCCTCATCCATTGCGCTAAAACCCTTGACCCAACTGGTTGGAGTGTGCCAACTCCATAACAGCCACGCCGCGGCTATACCATTGATACCAAAAGACTAAAGGATTAAACTACAGTACCCATCTAAGATTGACCTAGAATAGGTTGACCTAGACTATAGCTCATATGAACGGCCTGACCAATTTTTCTAGGTCCATTGGTGCCACCATTGCCACCATCATTTGGTCCCCCCACGCCTCCGTCGGCGTGTTTGGATCCCAAATACTTGGCTGTCTCAATCAGAGTATCCGTGCCATGGGTGATCACGATGTATTTGGAGTGCCATGCCTGGTGAGAGTGGTGGCTGTTCGGCTGCCGTTCGGCTGGCATTCCTGTCCGAATCACCAAACACAGAAGGTGATACCGTGATACCCTTTGAAATTCAATAACGACTGTGTTGTCTCAAGAATGAACCCACGATGTTTTGATCATTTTTGATGCTATTCTGTATAGGTGGGGCCTTGAAAGTAGCTAAGCTGGTTTATTAGTACTATAACTAGGGTTTATAGGTGATATATCTATAGTTAATGGGGTTTATAAACCAATTTATAATTAGGGGGCACCACCTTGTATAGTATACTATCAACAAACATAACCAGGGCTTATGGTGGATAGTGGACATTAATCTCTGGTTGGCGCTTGAGCCACCCATCTGAAAAATATGAGTTCGTCCTTTGGGGTTACTATTCCCAATATATGGAAAGTCAAAAAAATCATGTTCCAAACCACCAACCAGATTTTTGGTGAGTTGGGTTTACAAATCAACAAACATGACACAACTTGGGGGCTACCTTGTAGACAGCAAAGTCAAAAGGTGTTTGGCGAGCACTGCGCAAAGAAGTTTGGTCCTCAACTCTCCTCCGAAAAAAGCCAATCAAGTTCATGGGTATTATAATGGGTTATAAGCCAACTAATTGGATATTAATGTAATATATTATTGGATGAGAATTCCCAGTAAGAATCTGATGGATTTCCTATCCTCATGGATTATGATAATTCCCAATATATTGGTTAATATTTCAACGGCCATGCAACAGGAACCGATTGATTGGAGGTACCGATTCCATATATTTTTGGCCTATTTTTCAGGCCTAAATTTCAGGAAATATCTCCACAAAATATAACCTTATATGGTACAGTACCTCCATTTTAGGATCCTGAAATTCCCATTGACCTCTTGTTGTTTGTCTCACTTTTACAGCAATTGGATTGATCTACAGTCAATTGGTCTCAACAGGAACATCTTAAACGGAAACCATAGATTTTCCCATGAAATGCATTGAATCTGGGGCTGAAAAACGGGTAGGAAATTGTTGTTTTTTTTTTTTTTTAGTTTGGGGATTTTTTTTTTATTTCCGGTTCTCACCATTTTCCATGCTATTTGCAGCATTTTGGAGCTGGACTCTGCCATTTCCACAGTATGTGCAACGGTTTTGAGTTCGAACCTCTCATTTTCCATTGTATTTTCCACGGTATTTGCAACAGTTTGCAGCATGTTCTGTCCATTTTCCATGCTCTTTGCAGCATTTTTGAGCTGGAATCTGCATTTCCACCGTATGTGCAACATTTTACAGCTACATTCCTCACAGTACTTGCAGGATTTTGGAGCTGAAGGCTGACATTCCAACAGTTGTTTGTTGTTACTGTTACTGTTGTTGGTGTTGGTGTTGGTGTTGTTGTTGTTGGTGGTGTTGTTGTTGTTGGTGGTGGTGGTGGTCGTGTTGTTGCTGTTGTTGTTGCTGTTGTTAGTGTTAATGTTAGTGTTGTTAGTGTTGTTAGTGTTGTGTTAGTGTTGTGTTAGTGTTGTGTTAGTGTTGTGTTAGTGTTGTGTTAGTGTTGTGTTAGTGTTGTTAGTGTTGTGTTAGTGTTGTTGTTGTTGGTGGTGGTGGTGGTGTTGTTGTTGTTGGTGGTGGTGGTGTTGGTGTTGTTGTTGTTGTTGTCGTTGTTGTTGTTGTTGTTGTTGTTGTTGTTGTTGGTTGTTGTTGTTGTTGTTGGTGTTGGTGTTGTTGTTGTTGTTGTTGTTGTTGTTGTTGGTTGGTGTTGTTGTTGTTGTTGTTGTTGTTGTTGTTGTTGTTGTTGTTTGTTGTTGTTGTTTAGTGGTGTTGTTGTTGTTGTTGCTGTTGTTAGTGTTGTTGTTGTTGTTGCTGTTGTTAGTGTTGTTGTTGTTGTTACCGTTAGTGTTGTTAGTGTTGCTAGTGTTAGTGTTGTTAGTGTTGTTAGTGTTGTTAGTGTTGTTAGTGTTGTTAGTGTTGTTAGTGTTGTGTTAGTGTTGTTGTTGTTGCTGTTGTTGTTGTTGTTGGTGGTGGTGGTGTTGTTGTTGTTGCTGTTGTTGTTGTTGGTGGTGTTGTTGTTGTTGTCGTTGTGGTTGTTGGTGTTGTTGTCGTTGTTGTTGTTGTTGTTGTTGTTGTTGTTGTTGTTGTTGGTGTTGTTGTTGTTGTTGTTGGTGGTGGTGGTGTTCTTGTTGTGTTGTTGTTGTTGTTGATGTTGCTCCACACCTCACGGAAAAGCAAAAAAGCACAGAAAAGCAAAAAAGCAAAAAAGCAAAGAAAAGCAAGAAAAGCAAAAAAGCAAAGAAAAGCAGAAAAGCGAGAAAAGCAAAAAAGCAAAGAAAAGCAAGGAAAGCAAAAAAGCAAAAAAGCAAAGAAAAGCAAGAAAAGCAAAAAAGCAAAGAAAAGCAGAAAAGCGAGAAAAGCAAAAAAGCAAAAAAGCAAAGAAAAGCAAAGAAAAGCAAAGAAAAGCAAGGGAAGCAAAAAAGCAAAAAAGCAAAGAAAAGCAAGAAAAGCAAAAAAAGGAATAGAAGCAAAGAAGCAGAGAAGCACTGCAGGAGGCAATAGAGTAAGCAGGAAGAAATCCAAAAAAAAATCCCTAAACTAAAAAAAAAAAATCCCTAAATAAATGGCCCTCCCTGAAAAACCAGTAATTTGTCCCTTAAACCAATCCATTGATACAGAAGTCAACATCAACAGTCCTACTCTGAGGACCCTGCCGCCAAGGTTGGTAACCATAGTTATAGTCATTTATAGTCTGTTTATAGGGGGTATCCCCAGTTATCATCCATTGATGGATTTTCTATTATAAACCATCAATTTGGAGTATCCCCGTTAATGGACATCTCCATATATATATATATATGTACAGTACTATATGTGTATATATATATATGGGGGTGTTCATAAATAATGGGGATACCCCAATGGCTGGATGGTTTAGTGGAAAATCCGTCCATAAATGGATGAATTAGGGGTACCCGCATTTTTGGAAACCCCCAATATGTATACGGGATAACCCGCTGAGGGATTTACTGACTTGTAAACTTGCAAAGCGGTCTTCCAAAACCGAAGCGCGAAAGTCTACCTCTCTCACCCACAAATCCAGTGCTATGAGACACATCCAATTCAGCACCAACACCCCTGCTGCTGAAAAGCAATGGCAATCAAGAGGGATCATGATTCCATTGTAAAAGACAGCATATGAATGAACACCAACCAATATCAACTAATCAATTTATAGTAGGTTAAGTTTATGCGTTTTTTTGCTGGCACTATTTCCCAATCGTGCCGTTTATTATTGGCTACCGCTCCATTGACAGAGCCCATATTTTGTTGTTTCCCGTATTTTTGCTGGGTTGATATCTCCCATTCAAAATCACTCCCCAAAGTTGGTTCTCTTTAGTAGGTCCTAATCCCAATGTGGGATCATTCTTGGCTGCATATTTTCCATTAAGAAATGGCTACATTTTTCTATAGCATTCATGGTGGCCACCTAAAACAATCAGATCATTTCACTGTCTTTACACATATTTTGAAAATCTTGTTGGATAAATTCGGTGAAACATGGGTGTGTCTGAAAATGCATGAAAATGCGGTATACCATGGTATCCCTCAAAATGTCATTTTAATAGGGACAATCATGCAAAACATCTGTTTTTTTAAGACAAAACAAAATGATCTACAAATCATGACATTCAAAAATTATTGCACTGTTTTCATCACTTCATTGTTTTTTACACCTCATCTTGTTGGATAGATAAATTCGGTAATTAATGGGTGAACATGGGTATAATATATGATCATACTAATCAATGCAGCATTCCATTAATAATCCGATTCAGAATCCCATGAATAATGAGATTAAGAGTCCCATTAAATCACTATAAACATCCACATGTTGATCAAATTTCCTTTGCCAATCTTAGATACCCTGCAACAAATTAAATTCTTTGCTGGTTAGTACATATTCCCATTAATACCAAAAGACTAAAGGATTAAAGTATCCATCTAAGATTGACCTAGTTTCTCCACCTCAACGAACGGCTTTGGACCAGGTCTCCGCCTCACAACGCTCCAAGATTTTCTGTCGATCCTCCTCAGTGATTTCCTGCGAGTCTTTGGCGCAGACCTGTTCGACCTTCCAGGTGAAGCCTTAGGCGCGATGGGAGTCGCAGAGAAACCATGGGAGAACTGGGATTTAGATGGGGAAAACATAGGTTTAATATGGTTTAATAATGCTAAATATAAAAAAAAAACATAGATTTAAAACTTTAAAACGATGAAATAAATATGGATCAATTAGAATCAATGAATCATGGACAGCTAACGGATTTTTTAATGGGATTTACGGGTGAAATCCCCATGAAACATGGGGATTTCACCAACAACGCCCTGGTGTTTTTGTAATGGGGATATACAGGATGGGGCCCCCCAGTGATGTGAACGCTGGTTTATAAACCATTATAATCACCAAATAGTTATATCTACCATAAACCATAGAATTCAACCACTTATAAACCAACTGAACGCTATCGACTGGGGGCCCCATCTTGTAGTGGGAATATAAGGGAAATAAGATGGGATACCACCCGAAAATCAAGAAAATCATCGAACTAAATGATCATTTTCAATTGCCATCTTTGATTACCAGACGGCAACTTGGGCTGGGGTCATATCTAGATGTGGATTATCATGGGGATCATAGAGAGGTAGAATGGGGATATACTTGGAATACTTAGACTGGTTGGTGGTATACCTACCCCTCTGAAAAATATGAAAATCAGTTGGGATGATGACATTCCCAACTGAATGGAAAGTCATAAAATTCATGTTCCATACCACCAACCAGTAGAGTTATGATTTTGGGGTATGAAAATGGAGGATTCACCCCAATTTTACAAGGGAAGGTGGTGAAAGTCCGTTGGTTTTGCGAGGCGGCCTATCCTCAACTAAGCCCATGGAGATATTTAAGACATGATGTAAACAGTGAACATATGTAAATATGCCACAACTATAATTAGTAATTAGACATAAGTGGTGGTTTGAAAAAAATTAGGGATGGTCTTCAGCTGCTGTGGATCTATAGTATAAACTATAAACATTTTTGGCCGTTGGTTTTTCTTAAACGAAGCGACTGGGTGCACATTTTTGTAGATGAATGGAACTTGAGTAGATCTCAGGTAGATGAGTGTTCATTCATAAGCCCATACTGCATGAAGATCATTGGCCACGGTAATTGACAGGTTTTTCAGTATTTCCATGCATTTCCACACGGTACCCTCTGGTAAATTAACATTTTGCTATGGAAAAGCACCATGTTCAATAGGTAATTCCACGAACTAAATGGGCCATGTTCAGCCATTTTCAATAGCTATGCTAAATTACCAGAGGGTATATCCATCATTTGCAGATGAAATTCCCATGATCACCTCCATTTATAGAGATTTCATGGATTTTTCCACATAACCATACAACCATTAATTAACCATTAAATAGGGATAAATAGGGTATAGCCCATTTTCTCAGCACGCTGGCACAGAGGGATCCTCTGTGCCAAACCAAACTCAGCATGCTGGAGATGTGGGCAGCACCTCTGGTCGGCAATCTAAACTTCTTGAACAAAGGGACACAACCACAACCTACCCTCTGGTAAACATTTACATAACTATGGAAAATCACCATGTTTAATTGGAAAATCAGGAAAATCCACGAACTTTCGACTGGGTCATTTTCAGTAGCCAACTGTTTGCATTACCAGAACCTAAGTCATAGTTGAGCTTCGGGGTACCGATTTAAAAAAAAAGGGATGTTTAACATGGTCCACCCATGAAACCCGAAGTAGCCCGCTAACTGCCTCATAGCAGCAATAACTATCCCAAAGTAAACATCAATCTGAGATTAATGCATAGCAATCCCAAATAGATACAGGATGATGCCACCCAGTTATGTCTGTTGGTTTATAAACCCCATCAACATCCATTAACTAGTTCGATATATCTACCATAAACCATAGAGATCAGCCACTTTTTAGGCAACTGAACGCCATCGCTCGAACGACAACCATCCTGCAGGAACATTGGAAATCTGGATAGCCGAAATTCTGGAGAAACACATTCTCTGCTGGTCATCAAATATGGCAATGGACATTTTTAACCATTATTAACCATGATTAACCATCATAATTAACCATGATTAACCATAATTAACCTTTGGTTCGATGATTTTTCGACTTACTGTCGATCATTTCAAGAGGATTTCCCAGCCATGTTTGATTGATCCCACTTAAGGTCATACACATGAATATACACAATATCATCATCTTGGTCGATTAAACCCCTATTTTCTCTTAAAGAAAACACTGTCAACCACATAACCCACTTAGATTAGTAGAATATCCCCAGATAGATTAATGTGGGCAAAACAATAAAACCACCCCCCAATCATCACCATTTTATAGGTGGTAGTTTTACCATTCCCGGTCATGGCTGGCTTATGACATTGTTTTTCCCACATTAAACATCCAAGTTGGATACATAGGATATATTCCCAGATATTGGAACATCCCAAACGGATTAATGGTTTACAAACCATTTCTGATTCCTGGGGCATCTAAGACATTTTTCTGTTGAGGCTCCCCTGGGCGTGATCCGTTCCAGAATCCTCGGCCGCCAAGGAAGGATTTTTGAAGGGATATGTAGGGAAAAAACAAACAAATGCCCAAAAGTGATGATTTACCATATATCCGAATTTTGTTTTTGGATACTACCCTGTAATCATCAAGCAACAATCACCTATCAATTTTATTGGGATGTTTCTGATATGTGTTTAAATAGTAAACCCCAAAATGAATTAAAATGATTGCTAAAAATCCAGTAAATAAAGAACCAGCACCCCCCGAAAAGATAGGAACATGATTCCTGACTTTGGTGATGACTTACTTATCTACCCTTTTAGGATGACTTAGTCAATGAGAATTCCAGGATCCTAAAATGGAGGTACTGTACCATATAAGGCCATATTTTGTGGTGATATTCCCTTACATAGGCCTTATATGACCAATTTAGGTTCCTGAAAAGGCCATTGACTTAGGGGCATCAGAAATAATGTAGATACTCATCGAGCCTAAAAAATAATGTACCGCAGAAACCAAAATAAATGCGATATCTGCACCCCGCAAACCGATGATTTGGATCGTTGGTCTCTTTATTTTGAGAATATCTTGAAATATATTAAAGATATCATATATATATATACATATATCATACTATATATATCATAATATATATATATAAATCATAATATATATATATATAGTTCAGTGGTTCCCCAGCATGGATCCAGATAGTTCTTCAGGAGCCTGAAGCGAATGGATCCAAAATTCGGCATCTTTTTGGGGGGTTGCTATACTGCATATGAATCAAGGGCTACCATCTTCTCAAAAATACTCATCATATAAATTCGAATATGTATATATGTATATGTGTATATATATATACACAAAAAACAAGTATTACACAATTATATTCTATACATATTCTATATCATATCCATATAAAATTATACAAAGATCTATATATGATCATATGATCTATACATATATCTATATATATACATACACAATATATCTATAATCTATTTTCAATCCATATCTATATACAAAGATGATCTAAACCTCTTCCATCCGCAGATTTCAGCGGCCATGCATCCTCTCCACGGCCGGATCCCCAATCTCGAAAGCCCAGCCCCCGGTAGTGCGTGGGTAGACCTGCGCAACGCGTTGCGTTGCGTTGCGCAACGCGTTGCGAAGGACCCGTTCGATAGCGGATTTAACCAACAGAAATAAGGATTTAATGGTATTTATATGATTTTATATCTACTATAGTTGATTTATAGTTGGCGAAGTTGGGTTAAGATAACTCTAACAATTGTTGGACTCATGGTATAATTAATGAAATATAATGGAGTTTTGAAATCAACTTGTACCTGCGGGGGCACCACATTGTGCATAATTTGGGATATAGGGTCCCTATTACTATGGTAAAAATAATCCACTTTTGGGAGCTGCACCTCAACTTTGGACTGAAATGTCTGAAATAATCTACGAGTACAATGTGGGGGCCCCCCAACATAGCTACTGAGCCAATTTTTGGACATGATTTTCTGATGTCATTTTCGAGTAAATACCATCTGCTGATTTTCGAAACCACCATCTGCTGGTGTCCAGCAGAAGACGCACTAAATCGTCCCGTAGAGCGATCAATATTCAAAGCTGGAAATGCATAGACTTCTGATTCTACAAAATCTACTTTGAGAATCTTTGAGATTGGTTTTGGCTTTTGTTTTCTTCTGCGTTCTTGTAAAAACTTGCACATGGACTCACATTTTTTTTTTCGGAGCAAGTCACCACGCGAGGACTCAAGGCGTGGCACTTATCCCCTGCCAGGATCCTGATGGTGAATGTTTTTGAGTGATTAGGTACTAAACATCTAAACTAAGCCAATATAGTTAGAATTTGAAATGCTATAAAAGTATTGGCTAGTTTAGTACCTAATTGAACTAAATATGGTTAGGATTAGTTACTAAACAAAATCCTTGTTAGAATGTTAGATTTGTTCCAAAAAAAAAGCAGCTGACTTCCCAATTCCTATCGTTTCAGTCTCAGGATCATACTCCTATGACTCATATGCTCCATGGTGCTGGAATATTTACGTATATTTACCAACATTTGCCCGAACAAAATCATCCAGTTTTGTAGGTAAATATACCAGCACCATCTGGGTAAATTATCATATTTCACTCACCTGAATAGTTCGGCCTTTCTAAAGGGGATGATTTCCCTTACTAAAAACCATGATTTCCAGGGCTCGGGAGAACAGTGAGGGATAGGATCATCCTATTGCGACGAACGCGCACCACTGTGCACTGCATCAACGGGGCACCTTTGTGTCGGTGATGGACGGATTTTCGCGGAAGATTTCAATTGAAGGGATCAACAAACATCAATCGTAATTAATGTATATTAATGTCATATGGACAAAGAATGAATGATAATCAATGACACATTAGGGATACGGTATATTACCGTATATTAATATATGAGATTTTATATCATCATTGTAGCGATGCCGGCGACTGAAGGCCGTCTCTTTGGGCCAGGTTTCAAAGGGGCCCCCTCTCCAAGGATTGGGCCTCGAAGTTACACGCTGGAGCTAAGGTTCCATGGAACCCATGGAACCCCAAATGAAGAAATTCAATTCTAAAGCAAGGTTTCTAGCATGATATTTCGCGGGCTGAATATGGAGCTTCACTTCTCACATAGTTCGTAATATGTGGGTAATCATAATCTGGTTGGTGGTGCAATAACCATATTGAAAAATATGAGTTCGTGAATGGGAAGGATGACATCCCATATATGAAATGGAAAATCAAATTCATGTTTGAAACCACCAACCAGATGTGGTATGGAACAACAACTAGACATATACTATACTTGATTTAAAACAATGACACATGACATTTTGGTATAGTTACCCCCACTCCATTCACCATCATTCCAGATACATAGATGGAGGTGTCCTAAATCTTTTGTGTACCCCCCAATAATCCAGTCATTAGACCAGATTGGTATTGAAACATGTTGAAACCCATGGTGACTTGGGAATTCCCTAGAAGAACACCTCAGAATGAGCAGAATTACAAATGGCTACTTATCAGGCTAATCCCATTTATAAATTCATATAAATTGCCTATATCCCACAAAAAAAAACTACGGGGAGCGTCAGATGATCCTCCAAGTAATCCAGGTGTGGCTGGGTGGCTGGTCATACCACAATGAGAGAGGTTATGGCTAGATCCAGAACTGCTTGGTGGGAAAATGATGGGTTTAACAATGGTTAATGATGGTTAATGATGTGGATTATCTGGTGGATTATATTATATATATATACAATCTGGCTGGTGGTTGAGCCACACCTCTGAAAAATATGAGTTTGTCAGTTGGGATGATTATTCCCAATATATGGCAAAAAAAAACATGTTCCAAAACCACCAACCAGTACATAGATGTGGCTATATTCCTATTTGGGATGATGAAAACATTGTCGCTAAATGATTAAATGGCTGGTGAATGGTATCTGGTTGGTGGTTTTAACCATCTTGAAAGATATTAGTCAATGAGAAGGATTATCCCATATATTATGGAAAATAAAATTCATATTTGAAACCACCAACCAGTTTAGAACAAAGAAAATCACCTTTACCCTCTGATAATTTAAAATAGCTATGGGTAAATCACCAGTTTTGATAGGTAAATCAACTATAAAATGGCTATTTTGAAACCACCAACCAGGTATGGCCGGTGAGTCCCTTCGCTACAGCCCTTCGAAGCCGTAGAACGAGGTGCCTTGTCGATGGTTCCTCCAGTGGCAATGACAAGCACCTGCGGCCGCCTGAGGCTTTGGACCTGCAAATTTGATGAAGAAACCCCTTTTTTTCCACATATTTCATGGGAAATTCCATGGTTTCCGGTAGGTTTTTCCCAAAGCCAAAAATCAATCCATTGACTTAGAAGTTGAGAAAGTCATGGATCGCAGGGTCAAAAAGTAAAACTGATTCCCCATGTCGAAAAACAAGACCAGCCTTCAAATTGAAACAAAGCAAAGCAGCAAAGTCGGTCTGACCATCCGCGACTTTTAGAAGGTCTTGAAAACCATATTGATGTGTGGCATGGCATCCCATCTGGCTATGGTTTCATGGGTTTTCACATCGCCAGGTAGGCTCTCTTTAACATGGAAGCCACCCCAAATTGCAAGTTCCAATCAAACATTCATCTTCTATCCCTTTTGTTGGAGTTCCATGTTCGTTTAGCAAATAATCATCCGAATTTGGTCTCTTCTGGCAACATGCCCACATACAAGGGTCTTGACCCATGCTCATCTAGAACTGCAGCGGCTCTGGACCAAGGATAAGGTGAGCCATGCAGCCCTAAGTTTGAAAAAAAATGGAAAGTCCCAGCCCTCGTTCTTAGAATTTATTTATCAGTTGATATCAGTTGATCAGTGATGCCTTTTGCAGTCCCTTATTGTTATCTGGTTGGTGGCATAAACGCATCCGCAAAAAAATCAGTTATCTCAACCAATCATCAGTATGGTTGAAACAGAATACATGTTTGAACCTCCAACCAATATCTTTTGGAGTGATATACCACATACATAAAGGGGTGCCTAGCCAGCCACGTGAGAAAACATGTTGCTTATTGTTGCTCCAATAAAACACTTTGGACAGGAGTCGGAGGTGGAAGGTGGGTCTTGAAACTTGGAGACACACGATTCACCCTCAGGCATGAATCGGAAAAAGCAACTTACTAAAGATTAGATACCAGATACCGGATACTTCCGAAAGCAGAGAGTGATAATTATGGGACAAACACAATAGCAAAGTTTGCGAGTTGAACTCGTGCGTCTAAGCCATGTTAAGCCACGTTAAGCCATGTTAAGCCATGGGCATCATGTCATATCATATTATGGGGGGTTCCTAAAATGGTGGTACCCCCAAGTCATCCATTTTAATAGGATGTTCCATTACAAACCATACGGGTCCCCCAGTCGATAGCGTTCAGTTGCCTTATAAGTGGCTGAATTCGATTGGGTTTATGGTAGATATTTCACGAACTAGTTCATGGGGATTAATTCATGGTTGATCAACCAACGTTCACATCACTGGGGGACCCCATTCTGCATATTACCATCTGGTTATGACTAATACTGTGCCATGGAAAATCACCATGCTATTAATAGGTAAACCATGGTAAACCTCTATTTCTATGGGCCATCTATACCATGGCAAACTGTAAACGTCATAACCAGAGGGCGAACACCAGAGGGTATGTGGGGTTAATATGGGTTAATGTGGGATAATAATGGATGGAATGGTGGTGTTATCCCACATTAACCTTAGTCATAACCAGATGGTAAATTACTTGGTTGATCGATTTCTCTACTATGGCTTATATATAATGATCCCCAATAACCCAGTTAGTTTTTGTTTTCCCTATTTCATATCACCAACCAGAGGCTATGGGGGCCTAAATCACCAACCTCCCACCAGTCGGATGACTTGACCCAGTCGGAGCGTCGGATCCGTCGGAGCGGATGACATGGAAAGCGGCCGGCGTTGCGGCGGAAAGCGGCGCGATTTCAAAACAAGAGGCTTCAGAGGTAATATCATTGGTTAATGATGGTGAATGATGTGGATTATCTGGTGGATAAACTATGGCACTTATTAATCCGGGGTTGACATTATAAAGTCTCCAGCCTGCATCTGGTTGTCTATAGTTATATCTATCAAAAACCATAGAATTCAGCCACTTACAAGGCAACTTAGCTGACATATGGATAATATGATAGACATGGAACATTGACCACTTATAGATGATTTTCCCAGTAAAAACTCCATGTCTTAGGGATTTTCCATGGCTATCTTAGTCATAACCAGATGGTATAGATCATCAATAAATAAATGGTTGGTGGTTTTAACCCCTCTGAAACATATGAAAGTAAATGGGAAGGATTATCCCATATATGAAATGGAAAATAAAAAATGTTCCAAACCACCAACCAGGATGTCATGTAATATCATGATTTCCATAATCTCACTTGATTCATCTTGATTCCAGATGGGTCTTGGATCTTGGAAAAAGACACGACAGGTCCGTCTTCTGATTCGGTCCCTGGGTTCTCATCGTCTCAGCCAAGCTGTTGAGCAGAGGATGAGGAGATCTGTGACACGAAGAGACCCTGGGGTAAACATACAAAAAACTGTGGAAACCCAATGGTTTCGTCAGGAAAATCATCTACGATTGGTGGGTTTTCCACATCTATGTCAACGTTTACAGGAGGGTCGTCCGTAACGCTGTCTGTAAGACCTGTAAGGGTTGTTCAAGAGTGCACCATGCCCTTGACACCACGATTCAAGATAAAGTTACTTGTTCAGCACAGCCAATTGAAAAAGCCGAAAAAGCCTTCCCAAATGCTGAGTTTTCACGTTTTCACATCCATATCCCCATCTGACACACTGCCAGCCTCCAGCCAAGTATGTCGCACTAAACTCCTCACGCAGTCATTTTCCATGGGTGCATGGTGAAAGTTGGAATGGGATGAGTTTCACTGCCACACATGTCAGAACAATCCCACAACAATATGTGTATATATATATATATGTATAATAATATATATATATATATATTAGATATACATATATGTATGTATAATATGATACTATAATATATTATGGAAGGATTATTCCATATATTATGGGAACATACAATTCATGTTTGAAACCACCAACCAGTATATTATCATATTACTTTCTCCACTGTACAGGTCGTCGTTCCGGAAAATGACCCCTGTTCTGTGTCGTTCCGCAGTTCTGCTGCTTGGGGAAAAGCCCTAAAAAACTGTAGACATCAACCGACTAAACCATCGTTGGTTTCTAGGTATAAAACCACTTTTAGCTGAGAAAAAACCATGGTTAAATCATGGTTATAACCAATAAATCTCAATTTTTTGGTTGGTCAAATCATATAATCATGTTAAATAGCAAATTTGGGTGGGTGAAATCCCCCACTTTTGCGAAACAAATCATGTTCAATCCCCATTTTTGTCTGGATAAAAACCCTATGCCGCCCAAGCGGTCCAGAAGATCACCCGCGACACTGGAAGCAAACATGGCCTGACATCCCATGGTCCCATGAATGGACGCTCAGTGGTGAGCAAGTCCCCAAGTGCCCATGGCGCCATGCCATGCTTGGCTGTGTTTCAATGGGCTAAACTAACATAACTGACTGGTGAATTGGTGACTCACCAGTGGGATGATCCGATGAAAGTACGACTTTTTTGGATGAAAGTAACCGATATTTCGTGAATTTCCCACTGCCATGTGAGCGATGTTCTAAATGTCTTATTTCCCGGCACCAAATATGGTCATGTTTACGCCATTGTTTACTTTTTTTTGCTTACGCGCGGACTGCTTTTGCTTACGCACTTTTTTTTTTATCTTAGAACTTACGCTGCCAAAAACGCAAAAACCCGGGTTTTGCTGACGCCACAGCCTTACAAGGGGCTTTCTCATGAACACAGAGGTAAACCCGGGCTCATGATTTCCGGAGAGTATATGGAAAATCCTGGGGATTTTTAACCAATCAGATTGGGAATGTTTGCAGCCAACAATTTGTTACGGGGTTAATGAAATAGCCTACTTGGTGGCTCATCCCACGGCTCGGAAGTGGGTTATAACCCCAGTTCAAAATGGGATAAGTAGGGACGATCCAGTTATAACTGGGGTGAACTAACCCACTTACCCTCTGGTAATTTAACATAGCTATGGAAAATCACCATTTTTAATGGGTAAATCCACTATAAATGGCAATTTTCAATAGCTATGTTAGTTTACCAGAGGGTAAGTGGGATGAGCCACTGTAGTTCCAGCCGTACCTTCTGAGGACACGGGACTGAGGTATGATGACTGGGTTAAGTAATGTTCGCCGTAGCTTCTCAGACAGCGGCCATGGATCCATAGGGATAGTAAAACCAACCAGAATGAGATTTTGTTGAAAAGTTAAGCCTACAATTCAGCCAACCCAAGGGAATTTCATGGCTTAGCGATTTTGATTTATATAATGATATCATGGGGATACAATGCAGATACATTCTGAATATTTCCATCAAGTATCCAATTCTTGTCGAAATCCTTCGTCCACTCAGCGCACCCACTTGCCGACATATAAATTTTTGATGTTTTACAGTATATATATATATGTTATATTATATGTATATATATATATATGTATCATTAACTTGGACTTCAGAGGTCCCTATAGTGCATATCTGCGTACATTATCTTCATCTAAACCCCCAAAACGGCCATCGATTTCAACCGCTGTCACCTGAATGGTGGGAGACCGATGCTTCTGTGGATCTTCGATGAGTTCCAGCCTCGGCCATGGGCTTGTCCAGTGATGTTTCTCCAATTTGCCCAGACCAGTTTCAAGTAACATTGATTGATGGAAGTAACATTAGTTTAGGAAGTACATGTTGCTATTATTTCCAAGTGACATCTAGGAATTCCCATCCATGATTTACCAAAAAGTGCTTCCAATCTGACCGCAGGTCTCCCATACAAACTTGCACAAACAAACAATAGGACCACCCCAAACCATATAGATGTTCCTATGAGATAAAACCTATGACTTGGATGAAACATGTGATAATCAGGCAGAAAACCTCCACTGTTCGAAAACCTACCATCTGGTTATGACTAACAGTTTGCCATGGAATATCACCATGTTTAATAGGTAAACCATCTATTTCTATGGGAAATCTATACCATGGCAAACTGTTAGTCATAACCAGAGGGCAACACCAAGATCGGTCGATCTCTGGGTCCCTAGCTGCACCGATTTCGGGTAAGCCTCCAAAACACCTCGACGGGCGAGTCGTGAAACATTTCGAATTGTTCGCTTTGTAGCTGCTACCTCCTCAGCATCTTTGTTACAAAAACAGCAAACAATATGTTCCAAAACGTTTTTCACCCATGTTTACGAAACATTTACATATGTTCATTCACTCTCACTGGAATGTTGTCATTAAACTATAGTGTTTTATGTTTGTCATTTTCCCATCACTTTTTACTGACAAGATACTCAAAGAAAAATACCATGATATTTGCCCCCCTAAAATTGCCCATGGTAATCCCATGGTAATTTGATGATGGATATCTCCCTATGGTGACTACCATTATAAATTATGTTTTCCATGATTTGTATATCTATAGCTATATAATCGGTAGGCATTTTCCCATTACAACAGAAATTTGCCATCATCATGGTATATTAGATATATCACACTAGTTAATGTGTTTAAAAGCCAACAACCATGGAAATATAATAAAATTTAAATTACACTAAGACAATATAAACCCTGGATTAATAAACCCCAAACAGCTGCTTAATTGCGGGGGTACCATATGGTACCATAAAAAGTGTCAGATGAAGTCTGACTATTGGGGAAGTAGCCCCTAGTGAATAAACTATGGCGTTTATTAATCCGGGGTTGACATTATAAAGTCTCCAGCCTGCAATTGGTTGTCTATAGTTATATCTATCAAAAACCATAGAATTCAGCCACTTACAAGGCAACTTAGCTACATATGGATAATATGATATATAGATCATCAATAAATAACTGGTTGGTGGTTTCAACCCCTCTGAAAAATATGAAAGTCAGTTGGGAAGGATTATCCCATATATGAAATGGGAAATAAAAAATGTTCCAGACCACCAGCCAGGATGTCATGTAATATCATGATTTCCATCATCTCAAAAAAAATGGTAACATGGATCCCATCAACAAAAAACCCCTTTATGTTAGCATTTTTCTACCAGCACCATGGATCCGTCATGGGTAAGATATCAACATCAAAATTCCTGATGATTATAGATGGATAGGATCATCATATTATTGTACCTGATCTATATACCTATCATATTAACCCATGATATCATCCCATGAATTCCCCGCCTGGCTCTGCAGGCACCTGGCTTTGGAGCTTCAGAAATTTCCCTGCCACGCTCCGGCGCAGCGCCGTTTCGGAGGGACCTTGCAACGCCAACAACCTGGGCGTGACAAGAACGAGGAGTTCAACGGGGCTTTTGATCCCCCAAAATATGGAAATCATAGGTTTACATCGCCAAATATGTGATATTATGTGATTAAGCAACCAATGATTAAGGGATTTAGTTGGATTTATATCATCTTCTATAATTGTGGGTTTCTTAAGTCATGGGTTCCCAAGTCACATGGGTTTCAATGATGTCCGTCATGGTCATCCCATGACGACTGGATGATATGGAGGTACCCTCCATGACTTAAGAAACCTCCATATGTTTTGATCCATCCCCAGGTCCAGAGCCTATATAGACCTGGTGCCCCCCAGTTATGTTTGTTCATTTACAGCCCCCATTGCCATTGCCTATAGACTATTATAGACACCAAAAACCCTAGTCGCGGGAGCTTTCTCAACCAACATGGTTAATAGTCAACTATGGGGCACCACTTTGTGGGGTAATCCTCAGCTGGCCTGTCTGTATAGTTCCGCACAACCACCTGGCACGTCGGTTGAAGTCAAGGGTCATGATTCCGTCCGGCATGTCGTTGATCAGAAGGAAAACTGGGTTTGGTGTTTGGGAACAAAATGCAGTCATCTTAACCATCTAAAATGGGCATATGGGTATACAACCAATGATGATCTGCCCTGCACTCAAGGAGAACTGGTCCTTTCTTTCCAACTACTTGGTCCGGCGGTGATAGGAGGTGATAGGTGGCCGTATCGTTTTGTCAACTTGCATGACATCATCTAATTGGTGGTTTCAACCCCCCTGACAAATATTTGTCAGATTGGATCATCATCCCAACTATTGGGGAAAATAAAATTCATGTTCCAAACCACCAACCAGATTATAATCCCCAATATATTGGGTAGTATAATCCACAATCATCAACCAGATTATATCACCATTATAATCACCAGATATTTTTGAATATCACCATTATAATCACCAACCAGTCATTGAGTCAGTGGGAAAGCCAAATGTCCATCATGTGAATCTGTGGGATGTTGTTCGATCAGCTCTCACTGCAAGCCTCCCAATGCCAGACACATGAAAAACAGCACTGAGGCGTCAGAGGGTCATCTACACTCGCCCAGCCAACTACTTGGCTACTTCACCTTGAGGAGTAGGCATCATCTTCTCAATCATAGAAAAAACAACTGGTTGGTGGTATACCTACCCATCTGAAAAATATGAGTTGACATATGAGTCAGTTTGGATGATGACATTCCCAATATATGGAAAGTCAGAAAAAATCCACGGTTCCAGTCACCACCAATCAGAAAATGAAGCTTTCAAAACAGCTCGGATTCTTGAGGTCAAACAGCTCGGAATCTTGCAACATCATTGTCTTCGCTCTCTTAGCAATTACAGTAGTCTTTGAATTGCACAAGGCGGTGCCATCTGGTTACTTAACAGTTTGCCATGGAAAGATTCACCATGTTTAAGAACGGTAAACCATCATAAACCATCTATTTCTATGGGCCACGCCATTTCCCATGGCAAACTGTCAGCCATAACCAGATGGTACCAATAAGATGGTCTGCAACCGCAACCGGTTTAGCTGCTGAATCTGGAACCTCGTAGAAACGTCTGGGTGGTTTCTTCGGTAAAGAAAGGGCCTCTGGCAAATACCCAGAGAGACATGCATGGTTTCCCTGACCAGATGATTGATTTCCCAACAAAAACCTGACTTTCGCGCATCTTTTGTTGGATGGCGTTCTGGACATGAACTGCTGTTTTCCATCCGTCCTACATTGGATATCGACATACATCCATGATCTTTGGATGTTGGTTCACCCAACCCCTCTTTCGATCTTTGGAATTGTGATGGGTCAAGGGGTTGGGGTATCATTCTGGACCCGCAATTTGATATTAAACTTAAAGAACACCATTCATTTCAGGTGGGTTGGTGGTTTCACCCCGATGGAAAAAAAACGTGCTATAGATTGCTATAATAGTCATTGGGTATCGGTATCATCATCCCATTTCTATGGTTGAACAGATAGAAAATTTCATAGTGGCTCACCAAACATGTCAGGAAACATAGAGGTAAACTGACCGATTCCGTGTTTCACCATGAAAAACACCAAATGGTTCATCATTTTGACCCATACACCAAGTACTAGCTATTTGACAATCAGTAAAAACTATCATTACTGGTTGGTGGTATACCTACCCCTCTGAAACATATGAAAGTCAATGGGAAGGATGACACTTTGTCACTTTGCGGCTGCTGTGCCCATTGGCACTCGGTCTCATGCATGAAATCAGCAGCACTGTACAGCGCACTATGTAGCGCAGACCTTGTGATAGTCCGGTTGGACGGTGCATTATATGACGGAATTCCAAACCACCAGCCAGTAATGATAGCTAATTGTTAAATAATTTAGCATATCCACAGATTGTATGTATATATCTGGAAAAATTGCAATATTTCACTAACCTGAATTAAGGCCTCCCATCTTCCTTAGCGGGCCCAACCCCAGCTGACCTGAATTAAGGCCATTTGGGGATGATTTCCCTTATAAACAATGATTTCCAGTGAGGTCGTAGTGAGGTCGTTATAATTTACCCAGATATATACATCCCATATATTCCAAGTTATAGACCAGATCTTAACCATCTTTGACGAAAATCCCCAGACACCACGGCCACGTGTCCGGCCATCAAGTTCGTCTGCATCTCTAAAATCCAGGAACTGCAGAAGTTGGAATCCTCACTTCGAAAGAAGGAGGCCGGGGGATCTTTCGATCAATGGTGGTTTGTAGTGGTTCATCGTGGTTAAAGGTGGCTAATAGTCGTTAATAATTAATGATTAATGGTGAAAAATGGTTAATAGTGGCTATGATAACCGGTTGGTGGTTTCAACCCCTCTGGAAAATATGAAAGTCAGTTGGGATGATTATTCCCAATATATGGAAAATAAAATTCATGTTCCAAACCACCAACCAGTAATGGTTATAATATTGGTGATTAATGGTGATCAATGGAGGTTGCCCTCCGGTAATCCATCGTAGCTAGAAAACCCACCATTTACACAGTTGTTTTTGCCGAGCTATAAACCTCCAGTTTCCTAGCTAGCCACGTGTGATCACGGGAGGGGGTAGTACCTGGACAAGTAATGATGGCGTATGGGTGTGGAGTGTTTGAAACGAGTGCAAATTTCAAGGATCATGCCTTTTTTTTGTGTACACTAGTCATGATGATTGACAGTTGAATCTGAGATAAGACACTTCTCAAGAATTAAGGAAGCATATGGAAACACAACCCAAAGCAATGCACAGGATCACAGTGAGTTGTCACAGCCCGGCACTACTTGGGCGTAGCAAGAGTCTTCTGTCCGCTTTCCACACCTTGGAAACGCGAAGTCTCAACGCTGCGAAACAACGCAAGACCCAACAAATCTGGGATAGCAACATCAGGGAATATGTATAGCTGACTAATAGTAGTTAATAGTGGTTAATAAATCCCATCATAATGGGACATAGCAGGATATTGATAGGATAGTATGGATTAATGTACGAGGTGGTAGCCTATGGGCCTATGGTTAGCTAAGTTGGCTTATAACTCCAATAACTAGGACTTATGTTAGATATATCGAACTAGTCAATGAGTTTATCAAACAACTGGGGGAAACACAAAATGCCCATGACATTGCCATTTGACTAGATAAAATCCGCTAATGTTCCTTAAATCCCTTTTTTGTTGGCTATTTAAATCCATTTGTTTGGTTGGTACAGTGGCCATTGTGTAAGAGTTTACTTCACCCATAAGCCTGTATGTTGCCTCCTGAGATATTATATAGAAGTATATATCCAAATTAAAATATATACCCGCCAAAAATCTATCAACAGTTTTCACAACCAATTCAGCTAAAATCCGTCAACATCATTCTTGGATGGTTAAATCACATTTTTACAGGGTAAAACATCACTCCCCAACTAACGAACTGGAGCACCACCTTGTAGATCGCATGTGTCTCCCTCGCTCGCGGAAGGCCTTGAAAAAATTGAGGTTTCCTAAAATGGAGGAACCCCAAAACACAGGTTTCAACTCTAAAATGGTCTAGTTCTGGATGATTTGGGGGTACCCCTATTTTGCAAAAAACATATATATATATACATATACATACATAGGTATATTTATATATTGTATGTAGAATATATTGAAAATGTGTGTGTAATATATATATATACACGTTCAATGTACTATATAAATAAAATATAATATAGTATACAATTATATAGTAAAACACATATATATATATATATAATGTATACTACTACAAATACATATATATATATATATATACAATTTTTTAATACTGTATATATATATATGTACTATTTATAACAATATGTGTATATATACATATGTAAAAATGATTTATAATAGTAATAATATATATATATATTACTTTTAGTAATACATATATATATACATACATATTACTTTTAGTAATATATATATAAATATATATTATTTAAAATAATACATATATATATAATCGATAATAATATGTATATATATATATATTATTTAAAGCAATATATATATATATTATCTCTAATATTATATTTATATTATATTAATATTAAAACACATTAATATTATATGTATATATTATAGTATATATATATATGTGTGTCATGCCTAGGCCTCCGCACAAGTGCAAGCTCCAGCCCCAAAGGTGAGGCTCCGCCTTGGTGGTTTGCGACTGAGAACACATACGGACGGTGCCCGCCCCTTGTTTGGTAGCTAACTTGGTTTATGGCTAGGTTAAGTAAGATTTATGGTAACTACAACTATAGATGGGGTTGTAAACCAACTTAGAACTAGGGGCACCACCTTGTACCATGCTTTAACCAGGTAAAATAAAAAAATGACGATTTAAGCAACACAAAACGATTTAACCAACAAGTACATGGAGGTTTTCGACCTCCAGGAATCATGCTTAAGTTTGATCAAACAAGACGGGGACGTTTGGGGCAACGAATATGGGAAATCCCGGGAGATATTTGCAGCAACAAAATAGATGGAAACAATGGACACCTGGAAATTATGCAGTACATATATATATATGTAATCTACAACATCAAATGATCTTGGAAACTAGGTGCATCTTGCGTTGTAGGGCTATGGGGATATTCACTCATTGGAATGGGGATAAGCCGAATTAACTCGGGTTATCATGGTCACACCAGGAACAGTGGAGATACCTGGCACTGGATAACTCATGGGAATAGGGGATCTCCAAGATTGATGCATGTTGGTAGAACCCCCTATACACAATGTGGATACATCCACAATCAAAGTCAATGCTTTGCTGGCAAGGTCACTCTCTCTGATCGATGACCCGTTGATTCGCCATGAAAAAATACAATCTCTCAGGTCAATTTGTTTTCGTCTTCCCCACAAAAAGGCAGCATTAAAATAACATGTCACAACCAATCAACCACTATCTATCCAGCAGGTACATCTTCATTTCAGTTCTTAAAAACATAAACCAATAAGCAATACTTAAAAATCATTAAAAAAAAACAGAACAAAAACACATAAGTTTGATGCTTAGATCCCTCGGACAATCACAAAAATCATAAAATCCAAGAATCCGAAAACTGCCGAGGTACCGATCTCACTTGATACAACGGAGGGGCTCCACCTGATCTGCGGTCGATGAAGGGAAAAAAAACCGGTGGATTTGTCGAAATTGCAGTCGATGGGGATCCAAACAATATCAGGATTGATAGCAACCATACCCTCTAGTAAACTACTGGGAATTCAATGGGATTTGATTTTGATTTATTGGTGATTGAATGGAATTTATTGGGATGACATGGGAAGTAATGGGATTTACCCTCTGGTAAGTTTGCTATTGAAAATGGCCACAGAAATCGTGGATTTACCCATTAATAGCATGGTGATTTTGCCATAGTTTTTTGTTAGTTTACCAGGGGGTAATGTTGATCTTGGATTTGCTTACAGGGCTTCAATAAACTATATAAAATATATATTCATAAATATTCCCTATAGGTTTCCCAAGTGATGGATTTCCCACTGGGAAAATATAATCACCGACTAAAACCCACCCAGCTGATATAATGCGAATGTAACGATGATATAGTGATATCATACTGGATTTCTTCATTGAAAAAACCATGGACTAAATCAAAACCCGGAAATATCGTGGGAATGTAATCATGGATTTGCTTAAGGGACCACAAAAACAATAAAAACTATTCCCTGTAGATTCCCCAAGTAGTGGATTTCCCACATGGAAAAATAAAAAATAATCTTCAGCAAATCCGGATTGCCGGAATCCGCTGTACTGGACATATGTGCTGTATGATTGATGGTCGTCCTTCCCATGATGGGAATGCTTATAGTGGCTATCACAATTATATAAATCCCGATTGTAATCATGGTGATATATGATAGGGACAAAACGGCAATATGATGGGGGATGTAATGGCGATGTTGGGGAAAATGTGTGTATATATACATATATATAATGGTAAATTCTACTTGGAATTTTAAGATGCCCTCCTGTAAACTGACATAGATGTGGAGAACCTACTCTTTGTAGATAATTTGCGGAAGAGGAAACCAATGGTTTCCCACATCTATGTTGGTTCACCCCAGGTATCTGATGGCGGCTTTTGTTTTTCCATGGCCGTGGTATACCTCCCAAATAGCATTGTTCTCCTTGGGAAAATGGCGATTAGCCATGGAATGGGGTAGTCTATTTTAAGACAAACCCCCATCAACCAAGCTCCATGAAATCTTCTGATACTGCAGTGCCCCACAATGTCCATAGTTTTACGTTGATTTATACCCCCATTGTATAACTAGTTCGATATATTTCACTTAAGTCCTAGTTATTGGAATTAAAAACAAACTTTGCTATCATAAATCAGCTTCCCTCTGGTAAACTAACATAGCTATTGATCATGGCCATTTATAGTTGATTTACCCACGAACAATGGTGATTTTCCATAATTTTTTAATGTTAGTTTACCAGAGGGTAAATCCCGTAAAGCCACGAATGTTCCTGGTTTGGTTTCCTATGGTTTCCCATGGGGTCACCATTCTGCAGGGTCTTGGATCACTACCTGCAGTGTACTCTTCTTCCTCAGGCTCGATAAACCACCTGGCAGTGCAGCCAGCGATCCATATCTTGATAGCGAAGAATCTAGAACTAACTTGACAAAAACAAATAAACGAATCGACAAGGCACCAGAATGGTAAGAATGGTCAACTTATGTAAAGTACTATATGATACTATATGCGTTAGTCTGATAATGTCTGACAAATTCATGTTTGCACCTGAAATCCGGTTCATCATCTTCTCAATGTCCATTTATCTTCCCTATTTTACACACCGCGATGCGCACTACGGGGTGATCACTGAGGTCAGCACTCTGCGATCGGCGAAGCGCCTGGCTCTTGGTTTTGAATGGCATCCTTGAAGCTATGTCCAACACGATGGTGGTTCATTGCTCGAACAACTAGGGTTTAAGGTAGATATATCTATAGCTAATCGAGATTATAAACTTTAGAAACCAACTAAAATCATTGGGGGGCACCATCCTGAATGAGTTGAAACTTTTTCGAGCCTGTCTTCTTTCGAACGATGACGTCGCAGAAATGGCGCTCGTTTTGAGCATCACTTCTGACATCCTCTTCAACCTAAGTGAGAAATTTCGAAGACCCAAAGTACCCTTTGATAAAGTAATATCACCAAGGAAAATCATCATTTTTAACAGGTAAAACATCTATAAACCACCATTTTCAATAGCAGTAGCAAACTGTTAATTCACCAGAGAGTACCCTTCTTTCAATTGATGCTCACATCAAATAGAAGATATTCCTGGCATATGGATATTGTTGATCCACAGGAACCCAAAAGAAGGTATGAGAGGTATTGATCCATCCACATCATTCTCCAACTATCCATTGGTTCTTTGGTTCAGAACCATTTCCGTGGCTGAATATCATGTGTATATATATATATATACATACATATGCATATAAAATATGTATCCGTCCATACATACATTACATTACACTACATTACATTACATTTACAAATAAATAAATATATATATACATACATATATATATATGATCCCGTGTCTCGTATTCGTTGCGTTCACGGTTCCCGCTGTATGGTATGGGGCGTTACCACCCCCACAGCCCCCACCCCCCAACACATCCACCGGAGGGGATACATAGACATACACAGATACAGATACATGTGCGTACTGTATATATATATATATATACATATACATATGAATAAATATTTGAACATACACATACTGCATACGTATATGCACACCCATGTATATAGATATATACTACTTCCATATACATATATACAATTTATACATATATACAACTTATACATATCTATCTATCTAGCTATCTACCCATTTACCCATTTACATGTCTATCTATCTGTGTATCTATCTATCTATCTATCTATCTATCTAGCTACAACATACTTGTGTAATTTTGTATCTATCCATAGAATCATAGACATATAGGGATCATCACTATCTCGGCGGGGGAAGAGGGGAACTGCCAGACGCAGGGCCACATACAGTAAATCTACAGTAATCGATTTAATGTATGCATACATATTTTATATATACACACATACGCATAGATATAACTATCCTGCTCCTCTGCCCCCAAAACATGCTCTGCATTGCTCTGCTAGGTCTTGATCCATCCCATAAATGTTCATAAAGTGTGCAAACATCGCACCTATCTCCTGACAAAATCCTGCAAAGTCTTGACATTCTTAGCTGGTTACGGTTACTATATGCCCATCTAAATGGAACAACTTGAGTTGTATACAAGTGCACGGCGCAAGACGTTTCGTATCAAAGTTGTGGGCAGCAAGTAGCCCCCTGGTTCAAGGGTCAGCAATCTGCTGCTTTGCTGTAGAGAAATGCTTTCCCAGCCCGCGGACATCGAAGCCGTTGCATTTCAGGACGCCAAAATCATAGCAGCAGAACTGTGATGACGTCCCTTCTTGCATATACACCAAGCTTGGCAGATATTTCGCTAACCACCCAAAAAATGCCGAAAAGCACTCCCAGGATGATAGTTTGGGCATATTCGCCCGCTAATTTCACAGGTTTCAACTTTTCATATCTATGACTGGGGCCTGCTAGTGACACCCACAGAAAGATAGAAAACTAATGTCTCACTATCTAAGTCTGTACTAATTTTATCTTTGTTGGGGGCTGCCCATCCAATTGATACCTATCCACTTGGGCGCGCATCGAAGTTAGAAAGTGGCTACTAACAATATTGCATCCAACTTATGGGTTTTACAATGTGGTGCCCCCCAGTTATAAGTTAGTTCATGACCCCATTCACTAAAGATATATCTGTTATAAGTGCTCGGAAAATAAAAGTTGTGTTCACCAACTATGAATGTTCTACTATATCCAATGATTATTAGGTTTACCAACCGCTGCTAACCACTAGTAACCAATATTATATATATACATCACTATTATAGATATATTATAGCATACTATAGTTAAATATATATATATATATATCACTGGATTGGTTGAAGGGAAAAAGTACAGGAAACCATGGTGTTACCCATCAAATTGGTTGGGGTTTCCTGTAAATGTTCACTTCAACAATCCACTGAATCAGGTCACATCATCAAAATCCACAATTGATAGTTTTCCCAGCTATAAACTTTCATTTCCAGGTTTTCCCTTCCAATGAATAATCTATCACCCATCAAAATGGTTAGGGTTTCCTGTAAATTTTCCCCTAAACCAATCCAATCAATTTACCATATCCAATTATTATTTGATTTATTTACTAATAACCACTATTAGCCACTATTACCTATTAACCACTATGAAATCCAATGAATATAGCTTCTCTGTATCCCATCCATCCCGACCATGCCGGCCGCCCAGCCACGTCCAAATACCATCCGCTGGGTTGACTGAAGCCTTCGGAGACCAAGCGCAGCCGGAACCTCACCGAAACGACCACATGCGGTGGAAAAAAATCATGGGCAAGTAACAGTTGGGTAATATGACTACATTATATGTTACAGATACTTTATAACTGATTTGCTACCAGTAATGTCGTATGGTGATTACTGATTATATTTAATTGTATAACAAGAGATGAGTAATTATGTACATATGTAATTACATGGATATATAGATAATTAAATGCATGAACTAACTATAGATGATAGCAGTTGGGCAATGACTGATTGTAAAAAATGCCTGATTACATACATATATATATATATATCCCGGCAGGTGGGAAACCGCGCTAGCGGTTAAGCACTTTTTGAAAAGAAACTCTTCTGGTGCTGTGGCGTCGTACACATTTTATGATGAACATTACCTTAAATTTTCCCGGGGAAAATTGAATGACTTTGAAGGAATGCCGTGGTATTTACAGGGTTTTGTGGCTGTGGCGGGGTGGAAGCCTTTTCCTCGTTCTTCGCTGGCGTGTCACTTCTCCAAGGGTTTGCTCAGAGCGCGGCCTGTGAGACTGAGGAAGTCAGTGGAATTTCCATGGTGCCGTCGCCATTGCCAAATCCTTATTCCTTGAAGCAATTGAGGGTTCACAGCACCATCTTTACGTGTGCTCCAAGAGGATGATACTGCACCTTTGGAAATTTTCCACATTCCATCGATGCCACCGGTGTGCACTAGCAAGTTTTCCCTGACCAGTGACGTAGCAGCAGCGTAGCATCCACGTATGTACGCAAGGTACATGAACGTTAATATCCCACCCCACCCCACCCAACCCCCATATTCAAAAAGTAGCACGTCTACACGCGCGGTTTTCCACCCGCTAGCTAAAACAAGCAATACAGAAGACATTGAAGAATATCAAGAAGAAAAGGTTATGAGTATAAACAAACATAAACTATCAAACAACATCACAAAACATTGTAAAATGGTGCCCCCACAGCGTTACACTCTCCACATTTAATAGCGATCATTTTCCCATTTTGTTACCATTTCGAGGGTTTCATATCCCCAATATCATCCCATCATATACGAGTACGCGGTGCCATGATGCCGATGCCCCCAAACAATCCCATTACCATCTGGTTATTTAACATAAAACTATGGAAAATCACCATTTTTAATAGGTAAACCATCTATAAATGGGCCATTTCCCATGGCTATGTTAAATAACCAAAGGGTACATCCTATGAAACATGCATGAGGAATGAGGTGAACATTTTTATGGGGATACCAATACTTCGATCCACAGGGTGAGGCCTAGTGAACTTTGAGTTATGTTTACCAACTTTGCGATTTCGAACGGGGAGCACCACCTTTTTATATCCCCCAAACAACAACAGTGAAGCAAGTGAAGCAAGTGAAGCAAGTGAAGCAAGTGAAGCAAATGAAGCTGGTTGGTGGTTGACCTACCCCTCTGAAAAATGATGAAGTTCGTCAGTTGGGATGATGACATTCCCAATATGTGAAAAATCCATTAAAATCCATTAAACCACCATAATCCACTATTCCCAACTGCACTGACTCACTGAAGTCGCACCAAATAAAAATCAGGAAAGTATTAAAAAAAGCCATGCTTCCAAAGTAAAATCCATTAAAATCCATTAACATCCATTAAAATCCATTAAAATCCATTAAAATCCATTAAAATCCATGAAAATCCATGAAAATCCATGAAAATCCATGAAAATCCATGAAAATCCGTGAAAATCCATGAAAATCCATTCCTCAACGTAGCAATTCCGTAAGGCCGCCCGCGGTGCGCTGGGACTGGAGATCCGCACTGACCATCTGCGCTTCCACGTTCCAAGCACCAGTCGCCAGCAGCTCCAGCTGGCTCATGGGCACTCACCAAAGTCCTGAGGCGACATGGCGCCTTAAAAAACGTAGCCTTAACAAGCAAACATGGGGATCTTCACCAAAATTTTGGGATTTATAGTTGATTTATGGTCACCATGAACAAATTACCCAACTATTCGTGGATTTTGGGCTTTAACACATTTTAACCACCAACATGTGGGTTTGATGGCTAAACATACGGAGATATTGTTAACAAATGATGGCTCATTGATGCTTGATTGGTAAAAGTATTCGTTGGTTTATTGCAGATTATTAAAACCCTGAATTCATGGGATACCTATTTACCAACCCTGGGATGGGACAGTGGTATGAATTTCCTGCTTCAGTTGAAGCAGAATATCTGAAACATCGGGTACATCATGGTCATCATGGTACATCGCTGTTAATTCACTCTTTTCTGAACATCTCTGAACCCAAAATCAGCAAAATCAGTTGAGCAGTGTTCAAAATATCTCTATCATTCCATTAAACTGGTTGGTTTATAGGGATTCCCCGTTCTTAGATTATTATAATCCCCAATATATAAAGGGTAGTATAATCCCCGAACTAATCAAGCAACCATCATTTATCAGTTCAATAATATCCCCCTATTTTCATGGTTAAAATCCTGTTTGAATTACTATAATCATCAACCAACAGGGGTAGATCGCAGCGCTCAGTCGCCCCGGATCGCCCTGAGATCCCCGGGCGATGTTCGACTCCTTTGGTCTCTCGCGACGGAGCGTTGCCTAATGCAAAATTGCGTTGCCTCAAAATCAAGAAACTATAGGAAACTATAGGAAAATGGTGTCTTGTCCAAGAAAAATCAGGATTTTCATGGGATATATATATATATATATATATTTGTTGATTTATAGTTGATTTATTAGTTGATTTATTAGTTGATTTATGGTTGGCTAAGTTGGTGAACATAACATAACTTCAATAACTAGGAATTATCATGGATACATCTAATAGTTCATGGATGTTAATGAGGATTTAAAAACCACATTGCGACTGGGGCGGGCACCGCCTTGAACAGCTTTTTGCAACTGGACGATTCTGCGACTGCAGCTGGATTATTTGCCACAAGTTCAAGATGGACAAAGCGCATGTTAACTAAAACATGTACCCTCAAGTAAAGTAACAAAACTGTGGAACATCACCATATTTTTATGGTCAAATCAACTATAAATCACCATGTTCGATAGCTATGTTAGTTTACCAGAGGGTAATATTCATATCCGTTGTATAATATGTTCTTCTATGCGGAACTACAAACAGAAAAACACAAATGTGTTTGTCCAAAAATAGGGTAGCACACCATCGCATGGTTTGAACACACATTTCCAAATGAGACTGTAAGAAGATGGGGTATCATCCTTTTTGAACAAACCCGCATATCATCATATATCGATGATATTTGTTTTTCTGGCATTCTACTCATCTTCATATAATGCAGCGATATACTTGGTGAAAACTCCCAGAAACCAAACATATTTTCTCGACAGTACAATAAGGCCCCCCCACTTCTAAGTTGGTTTATGACCCCATCCAAGTATAAAGTTATACATTTGTAGATGGATCATAACCCGACTAATACTCAATAGAAACCTAACATATCCTTAGAAACCTATAGCTATTCATTAGAAACCCCAGTGAATCTATAGTTGTTATACCCTCTGGAAAACTAACATAACTATGGAAAATCACCATTGTGAATAGGTAATTCAACATAACTATGGGGTATTTTCAATAGCTATGTTAACAACTTACCAGAGGGTAATCAATGTAGTTATCGTTTGGGGGACCCTTCCAACCGAATGAGATCCCATGGCTGCCGGGCGCATCAAGGTACCAACCAATTTGATCGGTTCCCGACCTGCCAGGTGAAGACCGTCTATCTCAGAGTGGGTCATACTGTGGATGTATGTCTTCATTTATATAATATTACCATTAATTCCATAAAACAGTTATATCATATATATATATATATACACATTACATGTCTATACCAGTCATATATCAGGGGGTACATGTTTCTACTCATAGTTAAAAGTTATGCCCATCTATATACTATAGTTAAAAACGGTTAAAAGTTACACTTTATGTAACTTTTCAACGGTTCCGAAAAAAAAAAAAGATGAACAAATCGATGAATTTCTGGTAAAAAAAATGTTCAAACGGCCGTTTTTCCCATCGTTTTTCCTCCAGATGGACGGTTTGGGCCCCCACGTCACATGGCGCAGCCGGACGATGGGCTCCAGATGTTGCAGGTCCCCGGAGACTTGGGCCTTTTGGGCCTTGCCAGTCGAGATCGTATTCACTAAAACATACAAAAAGCTATTGAAAATGGCCATTTATAGTTGATTTATCCATTAAAAATAGTGATGTTCCATAGTTATGTAACAGTTTAGCAATACGGTAAGTTGCCTTATAATTAAGTGGCTGAATTTAACTCTGGGTTTATGGAACTAGTTAATTAATATTTAACTCCAATAACCTATATATAACTATGATTGTAACACTTCTAGCTATACTTAATGGTTAATGGATGTTAATGGGGTTTATAAACCAACGTTCACATCACTGGGGGGACGTCACGATTTTTTTGAACGGCCTAAAGGGAAGGATATCCCCAATTTAGTCTGCATGGACTATGGAAAATTAGGATTGTTTTGATCATTTTGATCCCCCAAACTATATACGGAAACATAGCTCTTAATAATGGTAAATAATGGTTACTCATGGTTAAACAGCCCTATTGATAGTGATGAATGGAGCATGGACTATGTATATGGGTGTCGGTGTCTCTGAAAATGGCGGATCCCCAAGTCAACATGGTTGTTTCAATACGAATTCATGGTCTAATGACTTGGATGATGACTGGGGGTACCCCCATTTTCGGAAACCTGCATATATATATATAATGGAAAATCCAAACGGATGGTTTACAATAGAAAATCCATCTATAAATGGATGATAACTATAAAATAGTACTATTGGGTTCTATTGGAAACATTGATCTGTCCATCTTGGTACCATTCGGGGCAAACGCCCCATTGGGACCTGCATAGTAACAAAATCCTGAGTCCAAACAGAAAAGTAGTTTATCAAGATTTTTATCTGGAGTTACTATTCTAAATTCTATATATATTTTTAAGCGTTGCTATATGTATGTATACATATATTATTTGATATAGATTATATTGTATGAATACATATATTATATGATAAAGATTAAATCATTGAATAGATTATGATAAATATATATATATATATATACATATATATATTATAACAAGTATTCAACAAATATAATATAGCTTATACATATATACACACATCATCGGATGTTATTATATGATATGATATATTATATTGTGATGTACACATGTATATATATATATATACATATTTTGTTGATAAAACATGATATGATATGTGTGTATGTATATATATATATGTGCAGTTGCCATGGGCGCTGCAGGGCGCCTGGGTGTTTTGTTGTTTTTCTTGTTTTTTTTTGTGTGTGTGTTTTTCTTTTCTTGTTTGACGATGGGGTGGGGTGGGATGTTAACGCTCGTGCATGGTACAATTCATTAAGGTGCCCAAAGGATCGTCGAAGATAAGTGGAACACAGACCATCGATTCCGATTGGACATCGTTGAAGTGTTGGCTTCCCAAGGAAGCTCCCAAAAAAAGGGCACTGGTGACTTCGTGACACACTCATCGAAACTGGAGCAAAGGATCTGGCAATGGATGTGGCGCAGAACAAAGCTGCGCGGCAATAATTCAGAGAAACTCACTGCCATGAGCAAATTGTTCCATGGTTGAAGTAGTTTTTGAGAAGTGAAAAAACAGACGTGCAAGGCTGCATGCGCAGTTACATTGGGAAGTGCACGCAAGCCCCCTTAAAACAACCAGTGGCGCCTCTCGGTGCCGTTCCCTGTGTAGTTACACACGGATAAACAAGTATGATTTATGACTATGTATGCTAGTTACTGCAGCAAATATATCCACTGTGTATCATGTATATAATGGCTGTACAGGTCCTGGGATGTATACAATATCTGATGTGCATATATATATAATATATATACACGTATACTGTATATTTTTTAATACATGATTGATCATACTTGTATAATGATATAATGTTCCCACAATATTTTGAAGCTTGGTTGTCCCACAAAAACATAAAATCGATTGTTAAATGCCACAAAAAATATCCCAATGTTTCATGGTTACCCTCTGGTAACAGTTTGCTATGGAAAATCATCGTGTTTAACAGGACAAGCGTCTATACGTGCGCGATTTTCCCAACTTTTCATCATGAAACAATCGCCAGCCATTATTGTGGGTAAACTTATACTATTTCACTAACCTGAAATAGGCTTTCTTCTGGGATAGTTACCCTGAATCCTAACCGAATCATTCCAGTGAGGAAGAACAGGCTTCGGTCGTGATGAATTTATTATCCAAATGGACATCCACTTTTTCTCCATCTATATCCCATTGTATCTGGGTAAACGAAATAATATTTCACTAACCTGAAGTAAGCCCACAAAAGGGGATGATTCCCCTTATTAACCATGATTCCAGGGCTCGGGAGAACAGGCTTCGGTCGTTTTAATTTACCCAGATTGTATCCCCATTCTATCATCATTTTTCCGGGTGAAATCCAAGGTTTTGGGTGGTAAAATCAATAGTGATCGGTATTTACCCTCTGGTAATTTGTTTCAGTTGGCTATTGAAAATTGCCATTTATAGTGGAATTTCCCATTAAAAATGGTGATTTTCCATAGCTACGTTAAATTACCAGAGGGTACCAGTTCACTATAGTTCATCCAAATGATTCTCCATTCTATCCCAGTCATCTCCCCATCAAGTTGACCATGAAGTTTCTTGGTTTTAAGCCGCCATTTGATGGATAAATCACCATTATAAATCATCATATACCATGATATTCCCACTCATAATTATTCCATAAAATTACATGATATCCAGTTAAAATGGTGACTATCTAAACTTCATATATAGTTTTACTACTATTCTATCCCCCAAGATGCCCTTCGTGCCCTTCGACCTCCGCGATCACTGCGCTACGTCCAGTCTTGGGGCACCCATCCACCTGGACTGCGAGCCACCCATGCAATGGAACCTACAGGTATGATGTCTATCAATGTCTGTCATATATATATATATCAATACTAATACGTATTAATACATGGTTGTTTCAAACTTATATAATTTACCCAGATTGATGGATTTTCCCAGAAACAAAAAAAACATCCGTTGATAATTTGTTAGGAATGTCCAATTGCCATGTTTATCGAAAGGTAAATTTATGAACATATCCCATCATTATCCATTATTATCCATCCATTTCAGCCCATTTTGATGTGTTTAAAACTCAACCACTAACCCGTTCCCGTAGCGACGCGGCGACGCGATAGCGTCGCGACCCGCCTTCCGCCCCTTCCGCAAGGGTCGTGCCAAGATCATCCGGCCGACTCGAGCCAAAGTGAAAAATCCAATGAGATAATAGGTATAATCATGTATGTGTATATATATATTCCGTCATATTCATTTATATATATATATTATATAATGTACATACACATATACATACACAGATTAAGAAAAAACACATATATGTACATACACATACACATACACATATACATACACAGATAAAGAACAAATACATATGTATATAAATATATATACATACATATATCGATGCTCCATCTACAGTATTAATAATTGTCCAGCATCATGATTTGACATACAAGTACAGGTCTTTTGTACTGTTTGCTTTTAAAGGTGTGACTACTTCCTTGGGAAATCCTAGCGGGACAGGAGCAATGTGCGACGGTCAGATGACTTTTTGTGGCAACACATAGCTTATTTGCAGTCATTATTGCCGTAATGCAAACATCTTTCAGGACTTTGTACTCCAAACAACTATACATTTTTAATAATAATTAATGCCAACACCGGATTAATAACCCCCCCCCCCCCAGAAGGTAGGGAGGTACCTTCTGACTGGTTTTCTTGATCGCCCCTTAATAATAAGCAACTCTGAACCATAAAACTTTGGATATGGCTTACGTCAATTAGATCTTAATAGAATTCCATTGGATCTGTTAAAATTTCATGGATCAGAAAGGTGGTTGATTAATCAGGGGCAAACCATGGTTATTATTACTGGGGGACATGGGCTCATGGGGGGGAACCTTTGGGATCTATCCAAACTGATGTTTTTTATAAATATTTTAATTAGAAATCGATCATTTGGGGAATAGTTGTTTTTTGAAATTTTCAATGATCAACTTAAACCTGAAGTATGACAATGATGATTAAAAAAAAGGTAAAAAACAATTGGAAATAAATAGAATTGGAAATAAAAAATGTTGGATAAAAAAATGGATTTCCGAAGTGGTTGTTGATTAATCGGGGGTAGGCCAAAAGATTTATTAATCTGGGGGGACCACCTGTTTTTAAATTACATTCTTTTTTTGGGCAGTTGCTGTTGATTAATCGGGAGGGCATTATTAATCCTCACTTGACATTAGCCTCTACCCTCTGGTTATTTAAGATAGCTATGGATTTTATGGCCCATTTATGGATGATAAAACATCACAAAAGAAAAACATTGTTTATCTCATGATATACTTTTTAAAAGGTGGATGACTCATAGCGTTGAATTACCGGGTATCTCCGCAGTTGGCTTGCATCACTTTTTTATATCGCTCCCCTCCGCGTCCGTCTCGCAGTAGACGACTGTCATCTGAAGTGAAGCCAGGGACATGGCGGTGAATCGGTGAATCAGTCACGACTGTTTCATGGGAACGTTGCAGAGGGGAGAGCAACAAATGGAAGATCTGATGTTGATCTTGGCATTGCGACATTAGGGCTGATTTTTTTCGTCACATATTCTGCACAGGAATGTGTCTGTACGCTATCCTCCGGGTCTCTCAGCATCACGTCCTGAGCAGACGATCTCCGGGGGTGTTTGGGTGATCAAAAATTCGGGGAACCCTGAAATTGGATCTGGTTGGTGGTTGACCTACCGACCTACCCCTCTGAAAAATATGAGTTGTCAATGGGAAGGATGACATCCCATATATTATGGAAAATAAAACATGTTCCAAACCACCAACCAGGGATGGTTCAGCAATGCTCAACATGTCTGGCCAACGAAATCAACACATGATCTTTCTTGACATCTGGGGTTCTGTTCACCAAACTCAGCAAAAAACGCTGGGACCAGTCTTTAAAGAATTCCCGACTCTCCACACTTGCAAACAATCTGAAAATTCGGGGAAGATTCCGCAATAAAATAGGTTGCCCTCTGATTATTTAACATAGCCATGGAAGCCATGGCTCATAGAAATAGATGGTTTACCGTTCTGAAAAATGGTGGATCTTTCAATGGCAAACTGTTAGTCATAACCAGATGGTATATATCCTCTGGCAATTCGATAGTGGCAAGATTCTGGTCATTTTCCAGTTCACGAAGTGTCAGATTCCCAGAAGGTTTCATGGCATCAAACCACCGCGAATTTAAGTGGTTCATGGTACCATCTAGTTATTTAACATAGCCATAGCCATGGAAAATCCCATCTATAAATGGAGGTTTTAATGGGACATCGTCTATAAATGGGCTATTTTCCATGGCTATGTTAAACAACCAGTGGGTAAACAAATCCAACTGATTCTGAATGGTTCTAAGCCACTGCCACTCTGGCATGTAGGCATTGTCGATCACGCCTCGCGCCATGTGCAGAAGTTCTGAATCCTCCATGAACATGTCTCAAATGCTCATAGACTACGCTTGTTTTTACACACAACACCCACAATACCCACAAACAATAACTTCTTCATGTTGGTAAATGGGACTGAAAATGAGGCATATCCCATTTTACTCGCCATTTTAATGGCGCAAATGATGATAGTGATAAAACATCTTTTTTCGGGGGGTAAAGTATCTCATTGGATTGGTTTAAGGGACAATTTACAGGAAACCATTGTTTTTACCATTAAATAAAGGGGTTTCCTGTAAATTTTCCCTTAAACCAATCCAATGAGTATCCTATCTTCACACAAACCCAAATAATATATAGGTAGATTTTATCATGGTGATTAACATGGTGATCACCATATTATAATATAATCATGATATATATCATGGTGATAGAATGAGATATAATGGGAATGTATACAGTACCGACCAAAAAAAAAGTTTTGGGTCTGTCTGAAAATGGGTGATACCTGAACATGGCCATTGCTTCTGAGGAATTTCATGCTGGTTAACCATCCAACATTTGGGTACCCTACCAGTATTTCAGACAAAAACATGTTGTGTATTCTTGACGACTGAATGGAAATAGGCAATATGTTTTTAGGCGGGTGAAACATTTGCCTTGGTCATGATGCTTTGAAGTCTGATGTGCTGCCGTAATGGAACACATGGGTGCAAGTTACAGGGACTGTTTGAGACTGTTACTTTGACATGTTTCACATCCTGATTGTTCTCGTTTAAATCCCCCTTTCTCATTCTGTAGATGATTTTCCCGATTTTTCCCAACTAGAAACCTCCATTTGTAATATTTTGTAATCATGTATAATTTATAACCATTGAATTTATATAATCATTTATATGTAATCATATTCATAGGACTTCATGGAGGATTTCCCAGCCACCTTTGATTAACAGCTAGGCCTAGCCCACCCCAGGGCCCCAGCCTGCACCAGGACGCTCGACTTTCAGAGCCTGCTTGACTGTGGCACCCCGGAGGAATCCTAAGTTGTTAACCCATATACGAGATATGTGATATGTATATATATATGTAATACATATAATATATATTATTTATATGTATGTATGTTATATTGACATGATATTATTCTAAAAAATATAAATATATACACATGGTTATATGTATATAAATAATATATATATATAACACTATAATACACTATAGTATTTTGGTATAATATAACATATGTACATATGACATATGTATAATTATACACATGATTTGGATACATCCCACTGGTCTAACTGGGTTCTGGGATGCACATCACAAAAAAGCAAAAAACGGGTCAATGTCACTCAGGCTACAGAGATAGCTTTGAACAGGCTCTTAAGAACAGGTTCTTAAGTTGACTGTGAGATGCTATTCCGGGTTGTGCGAACTCGCGATGGAGCAGTTTATCGCTTTGGCATCACATTTTGGCTCACGCACCACTCAAGTAATGGGCATGTCAAAAAGTCAAAAATCTGCTGGATCGACATATGGATGGTTCATTCTACGGTTTACCCTCTGGATATTTAACATAGCCATGGTTTTTCGATGGCCCTAATCGAAATAGATGGTTTACCTATTAATAGCATGGTGATTTTCCATGGCAAACCGTTAGTCATAACCAGAGGGATAATATGACTTATCCCATATGCTCCATGGTGCTGGAATATGAATCCCTACATAGAAACCCCAAAAATCAACCAGTTTTGTAGGGATTCATATTCCAGCACCATGGTTCGCATCTGGGAATGAATACCCCCTACAAAACAACCCAAATGAATCCAGGAGACTTGGTTGTTCAGTTCGTAATCGAAGCTACAGGACTACCTGGCCTGGTCAACGTTTACAAAAAACGATGGAACATCCACCCATTTTTAATAGGTAAATCATGGTAAATCAACTATTTCTATGGCAATTTTCAATAGCAAACTGTCAGCTAAACTAACATAACTATGGAAAATCCAGCCATTTTTAATGGGTAAAAATCAACTATTTCGACTGGGCCATCTATACCATAGCTATGTAACAAATTACCAGAAATTAAACTCATATTCACTCTCTACCTACCCAAGAAACATCCCTGGGGTGAACTAACCCATGCACGGTTACCCAGGCGGCTACAAAGTAATCATCTTCCAGTGATCATCATCTGCTATATTAATAGGGTCCAATTTCATGGCAACCGCATCTTCCCAGTGAAAAACAAGATCAGATCAGTGAAAAAAGTTCTGGCAGGATGGTACCCTAAAATCGCTGCAAAAAATGGATGTGTATTCATGTTTATTCCCCAACATATGGTCATTTCATAGCTTTTAAGGCCTATCCCCAATGGCTGGATCCAGCAATGGCCCACCCGGCCATCGTCGCACAACGGCGCTGGCCGGCTGCTGCACCTTGTAGACAAAGGCATCGCCGCGACCAATGGACCATTTCATCTCGTGGGTGTCGATGGTGTGGCAGTTTCGGACCTCGAAAAAGGATTGGGAGCAAGGGAGAAACGAAGTCCAAAAACGGCGATCCAAATGGGGATCTCCATGATGATGGATGTAATGAGGGATTTAATAGTGGATTTCATTTTGGATTTCATCGTGGATATAATGATGAGGAATACTAGTCAGCCTCATTGGGATCTAGTTTAGTAGTGAACTTACCACTCCAAATAATGGGATATATACACATCAGTACTATAACCAACCAAGCATGGGGTTACACGAGGATGTACAAGCTAAATGCTTTTTGCACAAAGAGTCTGCAGAAGTATCCAACCTTGTGGGCTGGCACAGTGAGCCATGGATGGTGAAAATCCGACACATTTCTTCGCCCTGATGGACAGTATGTTTCACAACAAATTGCGTCCCTGCGTTCTCCCTTTTTGGTGTATTTTCCGCAGCATTTTTCATCAGGTGAGGTTGAGAAGAAGTGCTGCCCTTCAAACAAAAAATATCTATAAGAAGAAATATCTGGGTGTGTCCAAGAATGTGACACGCCTCCAAAATGATAAGAAGCAAATCCAAAATCTAATGGCTTTGCCATATTTACCCTAATATACTTTACAGTCTTGGACAAACCCACATGATTCAGGGATTGTGAAAAAGAACTCAGTCATCGCGTAGTATCTACCACACACACACATAAGTCAGATGGGCTCAGTGATTTCCAAGCTACCCCGGCAATCACAGCAACAATGTGATGCCGCAGAATTTGCTAAGTTGGTTTATAACTAGGTGATCTAGGGTTTTGGATAGATATATCTAGTTAATGGGCCAACAAACTTGACTGGGGGGACCTACACTCTTGTCGAGGGGGTGCATTGCATCACAGGGCGAACCGGTGGCATGCTGTTGAGGACAAATACATATATTCGATCCACTTCCCCTAAAGCAACCGATAGACAGGTATATAATGTTACATAGGTAGAATAGCTATATATATATATATATATTAACTATATGAATTATTATATATAATTCATTATGTATATATAAATATTCTGACTGAAATATAGTAATTCAAACAGCTAACTGACCTTCAAACAGCTGTTGGCAAATGGCCATTTAATTTGGGGATGATTTTTCACAGCCAGCTCTGGCAGAAATGGATGCTGCACCCCTTGGTGACTCTGTGGATGGGCCGTTGCGATCTCCGATAAGCCACCAATTTGGGATGGATGAAAACCTATAAATAATGGGATGTTTACCGTCTATCAACTGGTGATAACCGGATTTCGCTCAACCATCCACAGTAGCGTTGTAATTTAGTGTGTTCGTCAAGTTCTTGGGCTTGATAACTTGAGATAACAAGAAAAAAACCACTCCAAGTAATGTGGGTCAACAATAATAAACAATCCCCAAATCAACATAAATGGTTGGTAGTTGTACCATTCCCAAATGGGTGGTAAAAATGACATTGTTTTAACCGCATGATCTTCTTACCTCTTTGTTTTCTTAGTATCTCAAGCTCCATTACCATGACCCGTTCAATAGGAAATTCAGGATCCTAAAATGGAGGTACTGTACCATATTGTTGGCCATATTTTGTGGGTATATCCCCTTATATAGGACTGAAAAATAGGCCTTATATATGGTAGGTACCTCCAATCAATCGGTTCCTGTTGCATGGCCATTGACTCAATTAGTTGGCTTGTAACCCATTATAATACCCATGAACTAGTTCGTTATATCTACCATAAACCCAATCAAATTCAGCTTGGCACCCCTGGCTACCACAGTGCCACCCTTGGTCAGCAGGTACTGAGAGATGTGGTTGTGTCCGAACTCCTCCGTCGGATCCCAGCACGGACTTTCTTGGTGAAAAAAATGGGGCCATGGCTCAAAAACAACGTTGGGATATGGGGCCTACTATGAATATACATATATATATATATATATATATGTATATTATGATTATGTATATGTATATAAATATAATATATATATATATGTATATATATATATATACACATGTATATGTCCACTTTTTACTCGAACTGCACTTTCAAGTAGGAAAAACATGTATTAAGTAGGAAAAACATGTATTTCAACCATGGGATTTTTTGGGGTATCCTATTGTCAAACAAACCAATTTGACAATCAATTTCCACAATTGGGTATAATATACTAAAAAGTAGGATCCCTTACTGACAATGACCAACAAACTTAATTAATCAATTTGGTGTACACTGGCCCTTTGTATTCAACACCGTATCCATTATATATATACATACACATTAAAAAACAAAAACCAAACATTATTGATACACACATATATATATATACATAGTATATTATAACATGCCTATGTCATATCATTTTATATAATGATACTGTATCCAAGATTTTGTTGGTCATGCGAGTCATGCCTTGGAAAACAAATCATGTCATATCCCTGGACTTGCGAAACAAATCCGCACGGTGCTACTTCAATCTATCCGCGGATATGAACATATCTGGTTGGTTTAACATGTTGTGATCTATCCCAAGAAGATTCGTCATCTCAACCAATCATACCAAGATATCCCAAGTATGGTGGAAACACAATAAATTGAAACATCTTCTGGTTGGTGGTTGACCTACCCCTCTGAAAAATGATGGAGTTGGGTCCGTTGGGATGATTATTCCATTCCCAACTTTTCATGGAAAGTCATAACATTCCTTGGTTCCAAACCACCAACCAGCTAGAAACCCATATGGACCATAGAGGTATGAAACCCCACAACTTGCTGGTGGATTGTAATCTGTCCTGGTAAAGTAGTCATTTTGCAGAGAGTATTCCCCAGTTTCGACAAACCCATATGATGTGCCAATAAATTCAGGAAAGAGCCATCTGGATATATATTACCATGATATGGGTAAGTAAATTCGCAAACGGTATAACTATCCATTAATGACACCCAGTACCATGTGTAATTTCACTATGACATCCATGACTATTCCATCTGGATAAGTGATAAGAATTCACAAACTGAAAAGTTTGGCCTTCATCAAAGATACAGTTACACTTACTCTTCATTCCATTGACGCCGCGATGTGAAGTCGCGATGTCTCAATCTTCAATCAACCATTTGGATCCATGTGGTCAGATTAACATAGAGGATTAATGTTATTTATGATAATGTATACATATATATATATATACGAACATGTATATATATATAATGTATATATATATATATACGAACATATGTATATATATATATTATGTATATATATATTATGTATATATATATATTATACGTGTATTTATTTATCATGTGTATATAATGTTCAGTTGACTCGTTTCACCCTGAACCCCGAACCCTGAAGCAAGCTCTGCTCCTTTGCGATGAACACCTGGGACGACACCATCCACCAAAAGAACTGGAAATCCGTTGGTTGATATTGGTTTCCCTACTGTGGATGGTTGCGAAATCCGAATCACCAGTTGATAGATAGTTTATACATGTTTATCCCATTATTTATATAGGGTTTCAACCATCCTTTTGGTGGTGCAGGATACATATCATATCTTCCATCCATAGTAGGAAATGAACTATACATGGTGGATTTACCCTCTGGTTATTTAACGGTTTGCCATGGAAAAATCCACCCATGTTTAAGAATGGTAAACCATCTATTTCTATGGGCCATCTGTACAGTACCATGGCTATCTTACTTTGCTGGAGGGGAACAAAAAACATGGCACCATACGGGTGGGCCTGAAAAACCACCAGCAGACTACTAGTGCCCCTTGCCCGCAAGATAGCTTAGTTGGTCTGTACTTATGGTAGATGTATCTATGGTTCATGGGTTTATAAACCATGCTATATCATATATATATACATTATATCAAAGTTATGGTTACCAGATACGTCATGGTTACCAGATACGTTATGGTTACCAGATAACTATCTATAGTATTAGGTATCATAGTTATAATGTACCAACAAATATTTATAGTATATATATATGGTTAATGGGGTCTATGGGGGAGCACCACATTGTAGTATTCCATACTGTCCTTCCAGCAGCATGGTGAAGATATTGACCGGGCGCAAACTGGTTATAAGAGGCACCAACATATCTACCTAAATAGTCTTGCTGCAAATTGAACATGTTGGATTCAAACAAGTCAGGATAAAACCAGTACATTAATATAGCTTCAAAGTGTACAAGTAAAGCATTCACTGGTTGGTGGTTTCAACCCCTCTGAAAAATATGAGTTCGTCATTTGGGATTATTTTTCCCAATATATGGAAAGTCATAAAATGCATGTTCGAAACCACCAACCAGTACAAGTATGGCATTCAGAAAAACCTCTGGCACTCAAACATGGCAATTGAACATCGATTAGCTCGAGGATCTCCCATTAGGCACGTCTGGCTGGACCCATTCTTCGGACAAGGGGCGCCATTGCCGTTCCAAAGCACTGGATTCACTTCATCCACATCCTTCAGCAGCATCGCTCGAGAGCGATGGGCTTGAAGCCCCCCCGTTGATATTTGACACCTTGAAAAATAAACGATGTGATATGATATTATAAATGATATGATATGATATTATGGTTTTAATTTGCCTTTCAAGAACTGGTTGGTGGCTTTAACCATCTTGAAAAATATAAGTTCGTCAATGGGAAGGATTATCCCATATATTATGGAACATAAAAAATGATCGAAACCACCAACCAGCCTTTCAAGAAACTCTGCAGTTTCATGATGTTTTTTTACGCGTATTTAATGTGAAGATAATGGCTGGTTGGTGGTTGACCTACCCCTCTGAAAAATATGAGTTCCTCGGTTGGGATGATTATTCCCAACTGAATGGAAAAATTAAAACATGTTCCAAACCACCAATCAAATGGGGAAATAATAGGAATAATAATATAATTGATACAGTATATACTGGGAGGATTAACGGGATGCACTGGGAATGGAATGGGGTCAACCAACCCCAGCTAGGTGGCCCCCGCCAACATCCGCCAACCGTAGGGTGTATTGCAGGCTCACCAACCAGCAAGTGGCCCCACAATGGGCTCCTTCATCATCTATCATTGTTGGGGGCCACTTTTGGGGGGTTGGTTGAATCGGTTGAATCCCCATGACGACACAACAATGTCAAAGGAAGTTTGATCAAAACCGATTGATTCAAATGCGCATCACTTCACCTCCAAAGAGACCTGCCAAAAAAATGTCCGGTTGGTTCATACATTCCCGGTTGGTGGTTGACCTACCCCTTCCGAAAAATGATGGAGTTCGTCAGTTGGGATGATTATTCCAATCCCAAATTTTCATGGAAAGTCATTCAAAATTCCATGGTTCCAGTCACCACCAAGCAGATTCAACCCGGGAAAGCATCGCGAACCTGTCCATTGTCTACATACTCCTTCACGCGGTTGAAGTCGCCTGCCAGTCTCGGAGTCTCATGAGACCATCGACAATGAAAATTCCCTCCAGTTAACACGGCTATTGAAAATTGTCATCTGGTTGGTGGTTTTAACCATCTTGAAAAATATTAGTCAATGGGAAGGATTATCCCATATATTGTGGAAAATAAAACATGTTCCAAACCACCAGCCAGTCATTATTGGTGATTTACCTGTGAAACATGGTGATTTTCCATGGTTATGTAACAGTTTACTGGAGAGTAGTTGAGAATGAGAACCATCTTCAACCACCAACCCATGATGAACACCACCCCTTTGAACCGAGTTCCAATCCCTCCAGGTCCACACCTGCACAGCAAGCTCCCCACCAAGTGTGCTGTGATCCCTTGCTCTTGAGATACTCACCTGAGCCGCTGGATGCAACTGGCCATGATTTCTTTTTTTGGAACTGTGGGTAAAACAATGCCATAAACTGTCCCCCAATTTCACGATTTTTTTATAGGTGTTAGAAACTTCCCATTCCCAGTCATGGTTGGTTTATGGTATTGTTTTACCCCCACTAAAGCGCTACAGACTCTACAAAACTCAAAAAAACTTTCTGGTTTTGAGTAGGACATAGGATAATCAAAACATGATCTATATACATTGGCTGCCAGGAGCCATGGCAGCCATTCCTTCCATCGATTGTCGCGCCAAGGTGCGACCATCGATGGTGCAGTCTCAAACGACAGCAGCCATCTAATCTAAGTTGTATCACTCTTCACATACAAGTATGAAACTATCGGAAAACCAACAAAAACATGTGAAAGCCTTCTATGGAAATTTAAGTGTTTGACTTCTAGCAAGTGTACCTCACTTAAATCCTTTCCAGATGTTACGTCATGGTGTGCTCCCACGCTGAAAAGCCGTTGATGATTGGATCAACTCATGTCCTTCTCAAGGGGAGTGAGGCAACTGCTGTCACGGAGGGGCATCTGACATGTTGCAAAAAACCCACAAACTTTGATTGCAAAAATCATTGTTTATCACCATTTATCGAGAAAAAAAAACAAAACATATTTAGCAAATATTGAGGATAAACACATTTTTATTGATAGTTAGCATCATTGTGGGGTGTGTATAGAGGTATTTTCAAACACACCCCACATGGAGCATATTTCAAAGGTGTGCTGGGCATCCGACAAATGGGATGCTCGCTGGGAAATCTGAAGCCCTGGCACCGAACGATTGCAGCACACATCGCAGTCCACAATTCAACCAATCAGCAACAATCACCCGGTTTACCCTCTGGGATAAATGGTTGTTTAATGGTGATTAATGGGGTTTAACCAACAAAATGGTGGTTTTAATGGGATTACCCTCTGGTAAACATACAAAAAGCTATTGAAAATAGCCATTGAAATAGTGAGTTTTCCCATTAAAAATGGTGATTTTCCATAGCTATGTTAGTTTACCAGAGGGTAAGTTCGATGGGAATTCCAGGATCCGATACATGGAGGTACGTTAGTACCATATTGTTGGCCATATTTTGTAGGGATATTCCCTGAAATTTAGGCCTGAAAAATAGGCCTTATATGTGGTAGGTACCTGCAATTTAGGTCCCGAAATGGCCATTCTGTGTCATGGCATCATGGCATGTTCAGTCTGAAGTCTCAAAAAAACACATCATATAGTTAAATCCCCATGTTGACAATGATTTACTATGAGATAATCCATAATTCTAATGGGTTTTATTCAAAATCCCCATATCATCCTATGACATCCATCCCATATGCTCCATGGTGCTGGAATATGAATCCCTACATTTACCCCAAAAATCAACCAGTTTTGTAGGGATTCATATTCCAGCACCATGGTTCGCATCTGGGCATGGCTTAAAAATCACCAGTTTTCATCCACCGGATGTCATCCACATCTGATTCCCAGTCCGGATCCCGGATCCTCCCAAAGAACGCCGGATCCGAGCGCCTCATATCCGGCATAGTCGATGGCTCGGAGGCCTGGCTCGGAGCATGGCTCGACTTCTCGAAAAAAAAAAACGAAAGGGAAATCGCTAGCAAGATGATATCCACAATTACCCTCTGGTTATGTCAAAAAGCTATTGAAAATGGCCATTGAAATAGTGGATTTACTCATTGAAAATGGTGGATCTTTCCATAGCTATGTTAGTTTACCAGAGGGTAACTGGATGATTTGGGGTACTATGGATGGTTTATTTCATGGAAAATCCCAATCTAAAATAGATGATTTACCGATTTACATGATGATGTAATTGATGTACCCTCTGGTTATTTGTTACAGTTTGCCATGGTATAGATGACCCATAGAAATAGATGGTTTACCATGTTGAATAACCATAAAGTAATTAAACTACTATTTTATATTCCTATGTTGAAAAACCTGATGTAACATAGTAGTTTGAAAAAAAATCTAGTGATGGCTTTGAAGTTGTTTAACAAACCCTTCAAGTTTCATATTTTGTCCTACTATTTGAGGACTTTGTTTACCAATTTTGATGGGTACTTGGAGGCTTTAAGTAGTCATAAATATTAGAGGAGCTACAAAAAGGATCCTCGATGGATTGGTTTCTTTGGAAAAATCTACAGGAAACCCATTGTTTTTACACACAAATCTGGTCTGTTTTACCCGGCCTGGTAAACATACAAAAAAGCTATTGAACATGGGCATTTGTAGTGGATTTTCCCATGACAAATTGTGATTTTCTATAGTTATGTAAACGTTTACCAGAGGGTATCTGCCCATTTTCCCTTGAACAAACGTCAGCATGAAGGCTGTCATCAAACGTGGCACGTGGCACGCTGGAAAATCCCCCTATCAATTGAGGTTTTACGGGGAAAATAATATAAAATAATCGAACTAAGCGCAGTAGGTCAGGGTCAGTCCAGTTGTATCACTGGAGTGATTTTACTGGATATAACTTGATATATATATATATCACCAACTGATGGTGTCCAGTGTAAAATCACCTATATATATAGATATAGATATATATCCAGTGGGTTTCTTGCCCACCAACTGGACACCATAAGTTAGGAAATGGGGCACCGTGCAATAAAAGAACCACATTTACCCTTCGGTAATCAAACGTGGCCATGGAAAATCCACCCTTTACAATATCATGTATATATATATGATATATATATATATGATATATATATATATATGATATATATATGATATATATATATGATATATATATATATATGATATATATATAATCTAAAATACATATATATATATATAATCTAAAATACATATATATATATAATGATATACATATATATATATAACTATATATACTTAATTATATATAATTATATATATAATTATATATAATTATATATATTATTATATATATAATTATATATATAATTATATATATATATATTGTATATGATTTCCCATTTCCCAGCTAGCCATGTTTTGATGACGGGAGGGTCCGCACTGTGAAAGGGAACCCCTTTTGATATGGTGGAACTGCGTGGATTGGTGGTGAATTCTAGCCACCAGGTGGCGCCCCTGGTGGAAGCCTAACTTGGCAAGCAGATTTCCAACAATGACGAGGGTTTATGATATATATATATATTTATATATAGGAACCCCCCAAACAAGATAGAAAAGTACTTTACCATACTTTACCACTATTCTAGCTGGATGATACGAACTTCAATCTTCCTTTGGGCTTGCATTATCTTCTGGTTGGTGGTATACCTACCCCTCTGAAAAATCATGGAGTTCGTCAGTTGGGATGATGACATTCCCAACTGAATGGGATTCTAAAATGGAAAAAAAAACATGGTTCCAAACCACCAACCAACCATCACTTATCAGTTTTATTCAATAATATAATATCCCCATATTTTCATGGTTAAAATCCTGTTTAAATTACTATAATCATCAACCAGCCCCAGTTTGAAAAAAGTAACCACCCCAGCTGGGTGAGTCGTCACCCAGCACGTTTCACCACCACCGGACCTGCTCGGGAAAGGGGTCCGTCCAAATCGGCCTCGAAATCTTCCACCATCATCTGAATCAAATCCTGGCCGAACACGTGGTGCCTCCAAACGAAAAACCCTAGGAAAACCATGGAACACCCTAGGAAAACCATAGGAAATCCATAGGAAATCCATAGGAAAACCATAGGACATCCATAGGAAACATGGTGTTTTAACCAAGAAACTGCGGACTGAATGGGATTTATATGAATTTACAGTTGATGTATGGCTAAGCTGGTGAACATCACTCCAGTAACTGTTGGACTTGGATATATCGAACTACTGAATAGGGTTATACATTATAAACCCATATGACTGGGAGGGATTCCCACTTCATGGGTATCGACTAATCCTCAACAAACCAGGACTACACCGTAGTGCCCCCCAGTTATAAGTTGGTTTCTAATCCCCATTATATAACAAGTATATATATATATACATACACAATCATACACATGTAATCATGCATATGTATGATAGATGATGGATAGATAGATAAGATAAGATTAGATTAGATTTGATTTGATTAGATTAGATAGATATAGATAGATAGGATATATCTACGCCATAAACCTTTGTTAAATAGTTCTAAGCAATCTCAGCTAATGACCTTGAGCATCACCTTGGATCTGGGGGCATTTCGGTCACGTCCTGGGAGATATCCAACATTGAAATGAGATGATGTTGATCCAGAAATGATATACTGGTTGGTGGTTAATGGTGGTTAATGACCATTAATGGTGGTTAATGGTGGTTCATAATGGTTAATAATGGTTAATTATATACTGGTTGGTGGTTGACCTACCCCTCTGAAAAATATGAGTTCGTCAGTTGGGATGATGAAATTCCCAATATATGGAAAATTAAAAAAATGTTCCAAACCACCAACCAGTATAGTGATTGGGTCATTATATGGGTCATTTCTCCCCAATATCACACAATATTATGACCTATATAACGACGGAAATGACCCATATAATGATGTTTATACCTCAATATTATCCACAATTAAATATTGGGGATGATATAAGGATTAAAATATGATTCTTCGTACAACATTTAGTGATCTTAACAAACATGAGTTTAAGGTTTTGCCCAGACATGTGGGATTTTGCACCATCTCTATAGCAAATCATCAAATGAACGTGTCAGACGGGCAAGTTGGGTGTTGCTGCATGTGTGTCAAACATTAAAAAAAAACACATCGGGGATTGTCATCTTTTTTTTTGCCAACAAACATCATTGAAACCAGCTACCAGGTTCTGTTACTTCAGACAAACCTTAGAAGTCTTACTGAAGAATAGCCTGCCATCACAAAAAAAAAAACATCCACTACCATCCCCATCGCCGATCGCATCGCGGGTCCCAATTGCCCATCATACAGGCGATCATCAGGGCCGTCATGTGGTTGCTATCCAAGGGCGCATTCAGATTCACTCCCGCCTGGATCGGAGAATCATGGAGAATCATCGAGTTTACAGCGAAGTCTGTCTTATAAATTACCAGTAATTCAGCTATAGCAATCAGTGTTAAGACTTTAGTGGATATATAATAATAACCCCACTATTATTTATCCAATTATCAGTGTTACTCGTAATATAATCAGTGTTACTGTAGTCTAATATTACCAGTAGTCTAATCAGTGTTAATACTGGTTATTATCAGCTGATATTACTATAGTATAGCTGATAGTGGGGTAATAAATTACCAGTAATTATCAGTGTTGGTTTATAACCCCACTAACTATGGATATATAATATATCTGCCATTAAATACCATTAATATTCTTTAGTGGGGGCCTTGAAGGTCAAATCCAACTCAACTCTTTTCACCAGGGACGTTCGGTAGCTTCACTCATCAGGAAGGCTCACGCAAATATGGAAATGAAAAATGCGTCATGTCGCTGACTCAATGATAAACAGATAGAAAACAAATAGTACATAAGATTATACTGAGAAGTTCCGATACTTTGAGTAGGACCGACTTTGAATCTTGGTCTCGGTGCCCTTCGCTGCGGCTGTTCAGCCGGTACCGTCAATATTATTCAAGAAATGGGTCCACAATCTCAAACGATGGGACACATCGTTTTAACAAAAACCCTTGAAACCATACAACAAGTTTTGATACATACCTAAATTCTATATAGCTATAGATAGCTAAAGATAGCTAGATAAAGAACATATTATGTACTCATTCATAATCCTGATCAATAAATTCATTCATCTATACTTCATCCCATATTAACTATAGATAGCTTCCCTCATCTATACATCTGGTAAATCATTTCTTCATATTTCTTCCCACTTTTGTTTGGTGCTCAACGGCAGCGTGTCACCGCCGTCACCGCCTGCAGCAGCTTCCGCACGGTGAAGACATCGCCGTCGACCACGGCCTGTTCCAACTCGTAGAGGTCCGCCGGCAGCGTGTCACGGAAGTAGTCCCCGGAGTAGCGCTGGGGGAACTTCCGTTCCTGGAGCGAAACGGGGAAGATATAATATGAAATTCACTGCCCAAGTGGATGGTATTTGGATGGCGGATAATATAGCTGATCATGGTAAACTATAGTTATAATATATACCCTGATCATGAGATATAAAGGGAAAACATGGGAAAACAATGGGATAATGGATGATCAATGATCATGGATGATAATGAGAATGGATGAAAACAATGTATGCTACTTGTCATGGAGCTATAAACAACGCGAGGCTTAGGGGGGAAGTTGAAGCTGGTGGGTTTTCTATGTAGTTTCCCTTCGAGATATGATGGGATATGATTTGGGGGAAAAAACATGGGATAATGATACTGGATAAAATAATGGGACGATGGGATACAATTATGGAGATATAATCATGTGATATAGTGGGATGTACTGGGATGTGATGGGATAGAGTCCAATATGTAACCAAGACAAAACATATGACAAACATTTGTGGATTTTGTGGGTATGCACTGGGGATATAATTCGATCTAAACAAGATGCTGACACAAACAAATAAGTATATGGATGTGACCGAACAAAATGAAGAACATCATGTGATAGTAATGGGGTAGTCATAGCCAACAATATGAGATCTGGGTTTGTCTCGGGGTTGGGAATTTAATAGGGTGTATGGTCACTTTGATGTGAAATATGAAGTACCCCGATTATCCTTTGAAACTGGCTGTATCCTGGTTTCAAACAAATTCAAAAAGGATACAGTGACTGGGTTTAGGATTTTAGGGTTGACTTAACAAAACCAGTCTGAACACGTCTGAAAGATGATGAAACAAAAAAAACATGATCAGTGACTAAAAGCATGCGAAGCCATCAGAGAGACATCTCCTTGCAACATCTTTCGGATCAGAGAAAACTGAGTTCTTTCTGCATCGAACAACACTACAAAACAACGGTAGGAAAAAAGTCCAGCTGAGAGCTATGGTATTGAGATGGGCGGCCCTTCCCAGCAGGATCGAAAAATCCAAAAGGTGAACAAAAACAAACAAATCTGACCCTTAAACATCTCATCAAACTATCTTGTCGGTGACGGGAATCTTTCTTCGGAATCCCATGCAAAAAAAAATGTCATTCATCAAACCTTGCGATGTAAAATGACCTATGTAGTTCGAACATGACCTCATATATTTCATCGAACAAAAAAAGGCTGGGGTCTTCCAGCTAGTCATTTTAGATCATTTTGAATCTAATTGGTGGTATACCTACCCCCCTGAAAAATATGAGTTCGTCAGATTGGATCATCATCACTATTGGGGAAACTAAAATTCATGTTCCAACCCACCAACCAGTTAATTATTACCAGGTTGGTGGTGCAAAAACCATCTTGAAAAATGATGGAGTTCGTCAATGGGAAGGATGACATCCCATATATGATGGAAAATAAAAGCCATGTTTGGAACCACCAACAAGATTATAATCACCAATATATTGGGTAGTATAATCCCCAATCATCAACCAGATTATATCACTATTATATCACTATTATATCACTATTATAATCACTATTACCAGGTTATGTCTATAGATCCTATGGCAATTCCTATCGCAATCACCATCCGCAGCGCCGCGCTTTACCGTTGCGGAAGCGCCTCCAGGGGTGGATAGTCGAGAGCCCAGGTGGGGAGCGTCATCTCTACAGACCCGAAATAGCTGCAGGTCGCGAGCGAGTCCAGCCGTCATCGGTACCCAACATGGGGGACAGGGTATGAGATGGTATACCCACTGAAAAAGCTATACCTGAATTTTTGAAAAACATGAAAACTATGGGTTTTTGGGAGTGATTTTTGGTATCTATTTTCGATCAAACTCATGTCAGCAATTGTCGTATCTGCAAATCGTTTTGAAAAATGAGAATCCATTCAGTATCAAACCCATGCGACTCCGAATGATGGTAGCTACTGCCATAAAGCCCTGTGGGTAGCAAAGGATCCAGCGCACGTATTGCTTGCCTCTATTCCCATGGTACCTTTCCATACGGAATATGGGGTTCCTACAATGTGGTCGTGCCCCCCAAAGATAAGTAAGTTGGTTAAGAAGCACCTATGGATACTTATGGTAGATATATCGAACTAGTTAATGGTGTCATAACCAACTTACAACTGGGAAGAAACCACATTGTAGTTATACTATGTTATAGTTTGTATGGCCTAAATATTGTTGGGGGTGTTTAGTAAGGAACCCTTTCACTGACTGTTACAACATTGAGGAAACACACAAACTATAGTACAGTTTTAAACGAACTTACCCTCTGGTAAACTGTTACATAACTATGGAAAATCACCATGTTCAATGGGTAAATCCACTATTTCAATGGCCAATTTCAATAGCTTTTTGTATGTTTACCAGAGGGTAAATCCCATATCATCCCATTGTTCACCATTGTTAATCCATTCTTCAACCACAAAATCACCATTAAATCATTAAATCAGCATTTCACCATTTATAGTGCTTAAATCACCATTTATAGTGCCATTTATCACCATTGGGTATCTATCTATCGCCCCAGCTTCTATGGGAACGTCGCTTTTAGCCACACAAGTCCACGCACTGCTGTAGCATCAAGGCCCTTGGTGAGTCATAGCCTTCGGCCAGGAGCACATTGTCCTAGCTGGCGATTTTCATATTGGCAATAAAATTGATATAGATTGATATATAGTGGTGAATAGTGGTTATAGTGGTTTCATAATGGTGAATAGTTTCATTATGGTTTCATAGTGGTTATTGAAATAACTATTCATAGTGGTTTAATTGATATATGGCAGTGTGTCAAAACCAATAGTACCCCTGTAGTTCACATCAAAATAGCTGGGATTTATGGATGTTAATTCCCCTAAAAATGGTATTAATAGGTATTGATCCATAGCCATATAGTGGTTTCATGATGGTTTCATAGTGGTTGTATAATGGTGAATAGTGTTGAATAGTGATTATATAATAAACCCAGTAAGAATGGGATATATAATGGAGTGTATAATAGGTTTAATAGGGATATCATGGAAATATCATGGGACATACAAGGTGGTGCCCCCCTTCGAAATTTCTCAGTTGGTGAACATAACTCTAATTTCACTAGGACTTATGAAGGTAGATATATCTAGACTTATAGAATGGGGTTACAAACCTTCACATAGCTATTGAACGTATAGCTGAATTACCCTCTGGTAATTTAAGTGTTTGCTATTGAACATTGGCAAATTATAGATGATTTGCCTATCAAAATGATTATTTTCCATAGTTGTGTGAAATTACCGGAGAGTAACACCTGAAAAACATCACTCAGTTGACTCAGTTGGAATTATCATTCCATTTTCCTTGGTTTTCCTGAGTTTGTCTATTTAAAATTGTTTTTTTCCTGTGGTTTTCCTAGATTTTCAATGGTTTTTCGCATTTTTTTGGGGTTCTCCCCGGGTTTTTCCCCATTTTCCACCCCAACCCGTTCCAACCGACCCCCGTCCAGCGCCCGCTGCGCCATCTCCGAAGCCAGGTCCAAAACACCCAGCTCCGCGGCCAGCTCGAAGGCGGCCTGGGAAAAACCAGGCAGATCGTCATGGGAGATCAGCTGGGATAATCATATCGTTTATGGTATAACTATGGTTAGATATCTAACTTATATATCTCATGATCTAATATGTTTGATAGTTTATGGTAGGTATATAACTATAGTTATTAAGCCAATTAGAAACCATCCCCAATACTGCTATAAATGGATATACCCCCTGGTAAATTAACATATAGTTATAACGATAAAACGATATAACTTTATTACCATTTATGTTAGTTGGTTAGATATCTAACTCATATATCTCACGATCAGCTGGGATAATGACTATAATTGAAGGAAATAATGATTAAATAGGGATTAATGGATATGAGATATCATAGGAAAACAATGGGATCATGGATGATTAATGATGATCATATAGTTTGGGGAACTGAAAATTACCATTTATATTAGTTGGTTAGATATCTAACTTATATATCTCATGATCTAATATGTTTGATAGTTTATGGTAGATATAACTATAGTTTATGGTAGATATAAGTATAGTTATAATATGAAATTCATTGCCCAAGTGGATGGTATTTGGATGGCGGATAATATAGCTGATCATGGTAAACATAGTTATAATACATACCCTGATCACGAGATATAAAGGGAGATCATGGGAAAACAATGGGATAATGGATGATGAATGATGATCAGTGGGATATAGTCATAATGGGATTCCAAGATCGCCGCTTCAATGAAGAGAGATGGAGAAAAAAACACTTCTGAAACATCAATAGTCATTGACTGTGGAAAAACCAATTAGAAACCATCCCCAATACTGCTATAAATGGATATACCATCTGGTAAACTAACATAGCTATTGAAAATGGCCCATTTATGATTAATATACCTATTAACATTGTTGATTTACCATAGCTATGTAACAGTTCACCAGAGGGTATGGGATACAATATATAAGTGAGATCTCCCATTTTTTTGGGATAACCCCATCCCCCTGATATCCCACTGATATACCATTATATGGGATAGTCATTAGTGAGATCTCACCTCATAGTCATTAATGGATTATCAGTGGGATAATCCCATCGCCTAAATGGTTCCAACTACGAGTAAATTCCCGATTCAACCATGGTTTCTCGGGGGGTGTTTAATATTCGGGGGAAAGAGTCAATAATGGGATATGAACAATCAGATGCTTTGGGAATATGATTGGTTTTTAAATGATATGGCGGTTAAGATTAGAATATGCTGAAAGCTGAAGGGTATACCATTATGAACTAATGTTAATGGGTGTTCGGAGAATAGTCCTTTCCTAGGTTCGGGCTCAACGGGCCCGACGGGCCCGACGGGCCCAACGGGCCCAACGGGCTCCAACGGGCCCCAACGGGCCCCAACGGGCCTGCTTCACGGGCTCAACGGGCCCGACGGGCACGACGGGCCCAACGGGCCCAACGGGCTCGACGGGCTCGACGGGCTCGAGAGGCCGTGGCGCTGAATGAACCCATCATCCCTTCTGGTGCTGGCGTTACACTTTACATTCAATTGGGAAGATCAACGGTACTGGGAATATAGATTCCCACCCCCGGCTAACTTAATATTCAATGGGGAAAATCAGCAAAGGTATTAGGAATTTAGAATCACATCTCTGTTCAACTTTACATTCAACCAGGAAAATCAACAAGGGTAATTATTTGGCAGATAAGTTCCCCGCCTGTGAATTTTACATTCAATTGGGAAGATCACCGATAGGTATTTGGAATATAAGCTCCCTTAGAAACATAATTGCCCACCCTGCTTGAACTTTTAGATTCAAGTGGGAAGATCACCACATGTATTAGGAATATAAAAAATCCCACTCTCGTTTGCTTTTTTGCTGTCGACTGGAAAGATCAAGAAGGGATGATGATGATGATGATGATGATGATGCTGATGATGATGATGATGATGATGCTGACGCTTCGTTGCCCATCGTCGTTGCCCTGCCAGGCTAAACCCAGGCATTAGCCGTATCTCAACATATGTATATATACATATATAAATGTATGCATCTTGTATCTTTCTAATGCGTATACACACATAAATATTTATTTATTGGGTGATTGTTCTTTATGTATATCTTATACCAAAATACATCTGGTTGTAGATGAAAAATGTATGATCCCAGCACGCCATTGGGATCATGTTTCCAATTTTCGTCGCTCTCCTGCTTCAGCAATCCATGGCTTTCTGTTCTTCATTTGGTAACAGATATTATTCCACCAGGTGTTGATTAGTTCGGCACCAGATGTTGACTACCAACCGGTGAAACAAAATCCTTCGCATCCACTCAGGGTATGATTTGTCAAGCGGTGCCGTTTGCCGATTCTACGATTCTTTCCTAGACAGCGGCCACAAAAAAATTCCCGTGCTTCGCTTCATCCCTTTGTGACGGCTTTATCTCACATATCCGCGTCAGCGCTGCCGGAACCAGCAAGTGAGCAGTATTCCTATATTACCCTAGATATCGGGGATTATCATCATCAATTTCTAAAAATCAGCCATATAAAGGGATTAGCTAAAGCTTTCCAGCCCTGCTCAAATGAATATGGGATGGTATGGGTCAAACATTTTTAGATGTCCTGCTCCCCATGGGAAGCATGATGTGCTGTGCACGTGGGCCAAACGGCGCATGTTCTTTGACCCACACCAAACCGTCGGAAGGTGAAACTTTTGAAAACATAGCTTGGCGGCTTGGCAACATCCAAACTGGCAGACATGGAATCGTCCCATACAGATTTGCTGCCAGAAAAGTTGCTCCACAGAATGTGGCATGTATTGATCATTGTTTTAGTTTGGAACTTACATGATGATTCTTCCTTCTATCACGCAGGGATAAAGAATGTGGTTGCTAACATATCTGATTGGCACCCCTTCAAAAACCAAAAAACCAAATATGCATATCTGCTTCTATCTGCCTGACATGTCCGACCCAAATACAACGGCGGCCGCCCACCCGGCTTGTCAAACGCTGCCCGGCTCTCTACCTTTTCAAACAAAAAAATAGAGACAATCATCCCCGGCAAAGAGGCCCTAACAGCGTTGAGGAAAACATCTGTGAACAAAAACTCCAGGACCTGAAGCCAGGACCTCACTGAGAATTTCACACAGTCGTCAAAGAAGGACCTGCTAGAGGGATCTGAGAAGATCTTTGTACAAGAACCTCTTGAAGGCTTCCCTTGCAAACTTTCATACAAGCACCTTCTAGATCTTCACGCAAATATCCTGTAGAAGATTCCAGCAGGATGTGCGCAAGATCTCCTCACAAACACCTCTACAACAAAGGATTTCACTAGGATATCCACAAGATCTCCTCGCAAGGACTTCGACAGGATCCCTACAAGATCCCCTTCCAAGAACCTCATACAGCAGGACTGCCCGACTGCCCCAACGTCGGGCCCAACGGGCCCAACGGGCCCGACGGGCTCGACGGGCCCCAACGGGCCCGACGGGCCCCGCCTGACGGGCCTGACGGGCCCAACGGGCTCAACGGGCCCAACCCAGCAGAAGACCATGGCCGGTGTTCGATACAAAGTGGGCAGCAGTTAATGGATGTTGAATAGGCTATAATGGAATATGGGGATATGACGGAGAATCACCTGAATTGGGATATGATCATAGAGGGTTGATAGGCCATTGAAATATATAGATTCGTTGTTTCTGTTGGGGTGGAAAATAAACAAGACATAAATTATTACCAGGCATAAAGTCAATTTTAAATAACCAATCAACCATGAATATTTAGAAGGTATAAAAACAACCATAAAATCAAACATAAACAGGCCTTTTGCAATTACCATTAATCACCATTAATCACCATTGGTTTGGTGATCATGGTCTGTGATGATGGTCAGATATCTTCGAGGGTCGGGTCGGAGATATTCAGCCGCAGTATCCCGATTGGCAAATTGGCCGCAGTCATCCCTTACTAGGGGTGTTGGAGCGGATCAAAATCATAGCCATATTGAAACGTTATGATAATATAGTTGATTTACCCATTAAAAATGGATATTTTCCATATGTTTCCATAGCAAAATGTTAGTTTACCAGAGAGTAAATAGAACTAAAATTACGGTGACCCCATGAATCCATAACCATAAAACACATCTGGTTGGTGGTTTTAACCATCGTGAAAAATATGAGTTCGTCAATGGGAAGGATTATCCATGATTATCCCATATATTATGGACAAATAAGAAATGTTCCAAACCACCAAGCAGTTATCATATGAGTGGCGGACAAAATTACTTACTACTCGCAATGGACATGGCCAAGGTGGATGGTCCATGGTGGTCAACCATCCGTTGTGAAGGTTTTCACACAACTTTGAACATCCCAAGTCCACTCCCTACTACTTTAGTCTCTAGCTATTTTCGTCGGTTACTCATATCATGCGTGGATATACCCTTTTTTTTGCCCCAACTGCAACACCTAAGTAGCTTTCGAACCTTTTGCAGAAACGTCTTCCTACTGAAAACAACGTGGAAGCAGCCAAGTCACCGAGTAGCTGCGACACTTCAAGGCGGGATTGCCTTTCATCTCCTGCCCCGGATTCAGTGGCTGGATCATTGGCAATTCCGATTGGTGCAGCCAGGAGGTCTTTCATCCAGGGTGTTTCAACACTTATGGAATAATGATGGTTAATGTATAATGGTGGTTAATATAATGATGATAAAATGATGGATATATGATGGGTATATGATGGTGATTACCCTCTGGATCCCTCTGGTCAACATACAAAAAACCATGGAAAGATCCACCGTTTTTCATGGGAAAACTCACTATTTCTATGGTCATATTTAATAGCTATTTTGACATAACCAGAGGGTAATCATCTGAAAAGATCAGTCATCATTGAAGAAAACATATCCCACAATTATGGGATCTATCAGAATTCGATGAAATTCCCGTTAAAGCCAAGTAAATAATATCTGGGTAGTTACAATTCACAAACCTGAACATGTTGACTTTCTTCAAGGATGGTTCCCCCAATCCTAACCATCATTCCAGAGATGTTGCCACAAGAGGTCGTGATACAATTTATCCAGATGGAAATCCACTATCCCATTGTATCCCCATAATACCATGATTTTTCATCAACTCCCTGTTTGCATTGGTAAAAACAATATAGTGATCATCACGTTTCCAATGACAAAGGGTGAAGACTTCCAGGTTGAAAATCACCACCGCGTCTCCGCTATTTTCTCCTGATCGATCAGCTTTACACTCCGCATCACCCGCTGCCGCACCACATCCACGTCGGCCATGTCGGACTCCAGCTGCCTGGGTTTTACCCGCTGGCTCTGGGTGGTTCTAACCAATAAAAAGGGTGAACAAACATGTATGTTTTAACAATCAAATATGACAAAAAAAAATTGACGTATTACTATAAACAAAATGGAAAAGAACGGTTTTAGGGGCAAAACTTGGGTCCAGCCATCAACAATTCTGGTCAATGGAACAACCATATGTGTTTGAAAAATGGTGACTTAAAAAAACATTTTCAATAAACCATCTAACAATGAGGATACATACATCCGTACTTGAGTGGATATTGATATTGAGGATGATGAATTTCGGGGATGCTCAAGCTGCTTTTGTTGGAATTTGTGTGGCATGGTTTTCTCAACCGTCAAAAAATCCAACCAATAGTGTTCTTTTGGGAAACAACCATATGTTTATCTTTCTTAAAAAAAAACATTTAGTATCATTTACCTACAGTAATTGTTGTATGGGGGGTGATTTTCTGTTACCATCTGGTTATTTAACATAGCCATGGAAAATGGTCCATTTATAGATGGTTTACCTATTAAAACCTCCATTCATAATGGATTTTCCATGGCTATGTTAGTCATAACCAGAGGGTAACATTTTAACCAACCAGGAAAAGGACACCGGGTACCACAAAAATCGTCGGAAGGACCACCTCGAAGAATCGCTTCAACGGTGATGGATTGGACAACACATGTCTGACGTGGCGTGGTTACCAAAGGTCAACCAGTTCAGTATACACCCTGGGGTAAACGAACGATGTGGAAAACCAAGGATTTTCCTGGGATTTTCCATATTGTCAGTTCAGTATATGCCCATAGATATGGAAAACCACAGGGTTTAGATGTGGATTTTCCATATCTATTTTGCTATGTCAGTTGGAGGGGTAAACACGTTTGATCAAAAAAACTGTCTGATATGGCTACATTTCTTGTTGCCAGGAGTGTACCAAACCACAACATAATCATCATTGATTGTAGCAAGGGCTGCAAGGCTGCAACCCACTTCATATAAATGTCCCAAGACGATAGATACCTTGTCAGCAAAACTGTAGTGGCAACAGGATAACATTCGGAATGTGTGTGTTTCCTTTCAAAAGGTATTGGTACTTTGCAACATCCAGAATACACTCAATATATGTCACCAGGGAAAAATAATCTCTAACTCTAAGTTAAAAAATCCATATATTGAGTGTATACTTAGAGATACGTTAAGTGTCATATAATATATGTAAAAATCTCTAAGTAGCAATCTCGAAGTAAAATCCAAACAACATCCATATATATATATATCAAACTTCCGCAACTGCGCTGAATACCGTTCACCATCTGGCGGTAGTTACTAGTATCCTTTCCCTTGAGATCCACCCAAAAAAAGGGTTGCTTCAAAATCTGTGGCATCACAATGTGGGGGTGGCCCCCAGTTCTGAGTCCGTTTGTAAACCATAAAAAAGGCATAGGTAATATCCACCATAAGCTCCGCACCTAACCCTTGAGTTACGTTTACCAACAAAGCTAACTGGGGCATCACAATGTATGTGTCCTTACCCTCTGGTAATTTAACAAATCGCGATTCTTGAATAGTAGATCACCTAGAAATACATATATGATCATATATGTATATATGTACATGTACAGTATACATCAACAATAAACAACATCTATTTTGATGGTTTATACCACCCATTCATGGTAAAATTGAGGATGCTCTACTATTGCTTTGCTAACATGATTAACCATCATTATTATTTGTTTAACCATATTCCCATTTATGGTGGGTTGAACCCACATATTTGATCATATTTGATCAATTTTCATGCCGCAAATCCTCAGTAACTAAGTATACGTCATATTTCATTAGCAAATCATCCCAATAATAACTGTTTCCTCCATTTCACTATAGCTAGATATTTTTTGGTGCTTCCTTAAAATGGGGGGATCCCCAAAACCATAGCTTTCAGGCTTTCAATCCCCAAAGTTCTCAAATTTTGGATGATTTGGGGCTACCCCCATGACATAATCCTCCCCCAAAACATCCCAAAAATCCTCAGCCAGTGACTGGAAATGGTTTTGATGATGATGATGATAATAATGATGATGATGATAATAGTTGCTGATGATAGTCCCTTGAAGTTGCTGATATGATAATAGTCCCGCAACTATGATAATAATGATGATGATAGTTGCGGCTTAGCTATACAAGTTCTCAAATTTTGGATGATTTGGGGCTAATCCTCCCCCAAAACCATCAAACAAATCCTCGGCCAGTCCCGCCTCGCCAGTTGTCCCAGCTCTTGCCGCGTCTCATCGCTCCGCTGCCGTTGGGCGCCCTCCAAACGACAGGCCTCGCAGCCGCAGGTGAACTTCAGGCGCTGCAGCAGGGCACGGCGATCCCGGGACGGCCTGGTGATGCCGTTGTGGACCACGGCTGAAAGATGGGGGATTAAACGAAAGAAAAGACAAAGAAAAGGCTGGGGGAAACCATGGTTGATGTTTGATAAGTTGGTTTGTAACTACAATAACTGTTGGATGTATGGATCTATAAAACTTAGATCTATATAATTAATGAAGGTTATAAAAATATATAAACCAACTTGTAACATCTTGGAACTCTGGGGCATCATTTTGTGGCACTGCTCAATGAAGCAGGTACTATTTGAGAATTCGAGTATCACTATCTGGGGGAACCCACTAAATCCGTCATTTATCAACAAGGGTTGCTGAATTCAAGGCTGACGTGATGGCAAAACTCAAATCAAATTCCTTTCAGCAAAAAGATGATTGCTAGCTGGTTTGTGTATATAATTGTATATATACATGAATCATAATATCTGTATGAATGAATTAATGAATGACTGCCTGACTGACTCAATGACTGGATGAAAGAATCTTTTAAAAAATGAATGAATGGAAGGAATGAATGAATGTACTTACCTTCTGGTAAACTAACATAACTATCGAAAATCACAATTTTTAATTGGAAAATCCACTATAAATGGTCATTTTTAATAGCTATGTTAAATTACCAGAGGGTATGTATAGGCGTGTATGTATCTCTGCTGGAGGCGATGGATCAAACATGGACCACTGGGGGCAGGTGGCCATGGTGCAATATGGTGCAGTGGAAAAGGGCGCCCATCCACATATGGTGGGGAGATGAGAAACCAATACGGGGATACAATGATATAATGATGTGTGTATATATATATGACATATGTATGATATGTAAATACCAAGGTGAGATACGAGGTGGATGCGGTAGAAAAAAGATGAAACACGTGTTCTTCAGGAAAAAAAAGGAAGGAGATGGTGCAGACATAGTATGTTTTGGCAAGCCAACCAAACGGGCATGTCTCAGCAGCCCAAATCATGTGTCTTGGGACTGGGGAAGGCAAAACAAACAAAATGACAGTCTGGATTCTCAGGAAACTCGCATGTTTTGGACCTATCAAAATCAAGTGGTGCTAGAGAAGATCAGGGAGACACACTGTATTGGCGTTGTTTGGAGCGGAGCAGTCTTGGAGTTAATAATGACATGCGGAGAGCGAAGCAAACAAAACACAAACAAACCAGCACGAATGGGGCGTCACCTAACAGGACGCCAAGGCTACATCATCCAGCTACCTGAAACATACCTTCCAGTAGAGATCCTAGGTATCTTAACCTCCTCCGGTCCGACTTGGATCTCATGTACACATCCAAAGTCACCATGAATCACCAGCGATTTTTTTTTGGGCCAATTGGTTCCCCCCCCACCGCCATCTGAGGCAACAAAAAACCGCCGGGTGATCGGCCTGTAGAGATCGTTGGGATTGAGATATGTCGTGCAAAGCTCTTGGCCCTTGGCGATGTCACGAACCTGGGCCACTGCGGAAGCCCCGGTGGTTCCACATTGTAAGGTGAAAGTAAGCACTGCGGTGCAAGTGGACCAGATTCTACTGCCATCATTTACCATCGTTTTTTGATTCCAACTTAATACAACTTGGCTTACCTTAAATCCCTGTTTTTCTTGATGAGAGTCCTCAACAGCTATCACCCAACTGAGCCGACCAAAAAGTGGAGCAACTGCATAGAGAGTCTCCGTCTTCGTCTCCATGTTCCAGCTATTGTGCACGTTGGGCACACAGCTGTGATTAAAGCGGGCCACCGTGTTGAAGACCGCCATGGCTTCAGTGCCTGGTGGAAGATGCCATAACGATCTTCAGCATCTGGGGGTTCCAGTAGAATCAACATGACATGGTAACAGGTGCTGGTAAATATATAAATATCCTCATTTTTCTATCACCCAACTTTTATTCGTTTTTCCCGAATGCGTAGCAAGGGTTCCCGTTTCACTCTGGGGGTCTGGGGGTTGGAGTGTGTTCGCTCGACGTTGCGTCCGCGTCCGCAACCGTTCGCAACCGTCCGCAACCGTTCGCAACCGTCCGCGTGAGGACCATATGGCCGTGCCTATGGTAAGTTCTGCAGAGGTGGTCATTTTTGGAGGTTTCAGACGTGTCGTTGCTTCGTTTCGCGTGGCAGGCGTGGCACTTCGTGACATTCAGACATGTTTTGCAACGTGTTGAAAATCGTTTTGCGTGGCAGGCGCAATACTTTTGCGACGTTTTCAGAAGATGTGTTGCAGTTTTCGTGGCAGGCGCAGCACTTTGGACGTGTCCATCGTCATTTTTAGTGGCAGGCGCAGCACTTTAGACGTGTCATGTTGCGTGTTTTTTGCAAATCGCATTGGCAGGGCTGCGTCAAGTGGCGACAAGGTGCAAATTCCGTGGCAGGCGTGGCATTTTCTGACATGTGCTGAAAATTGACGGAAGCCTCGCACGAAACATCGATTTTGAGGTTACACATTTTCACGTTCTAAGGAAAACTCGTAGGAAAACGTCGATTTTGAAGCTACAAAGTGTGAAACTTGGAGGAAGTCTCGCACGAAATGCTCGTTTTGGTGCTCCCACTTGTCTCTTCTGGCATGTCTGGTTTTCCTGTGGCCTCGCCGTGTCTATGGTGGAAGCTGCAAAACTTCTCCTTTTGTCATGTTGGTAACTATGAAAATTGGAGGAAGTCTCGTACGAAATGCTGATTTTTCTGCATCCACGTGTCTTGTCTCGAGTCTCTGGTTTTCCTGTGGCTTCGCCGTGTCTATGGGGGAAGCCGCAAAACCTCTCCTTTTCGAAGGTTTCCAAGCAGCTTGTCATGTCGTTTTGCGTGGCAGGCGTGGCACTTTGTGACATTCCAACATGTTTGATAACGTGTCGAAAATGTCAAAATTGGAGGAAGTCTCGTACGAAATGCTGATTTTTCTGCATCCACGTGTCTTGTCTCGAGTCTCTGGTTTTCCTGTGGCTTCGCCGTGTCTATGGGGGAAGCCGCAAAACCTCTCCGATTCGAATGTGTCCAAGCAGGTTGTCATGTCGTTTTGCGTGGCAGGCGTGGCACTTTGTGACATTCCAACATGTTTGATAACGTGCTGAAAATGACAAAATTGGAGGAAGTCTCGCACGAAATGCTCGTTTTTCTGCATCCACGTGTCTTGTCTCGAGTCTCTGGTTTTTCCTGTGGCGTCGCCGTGTCTATGGGGGAAGCCGCAAAACCTCTCCTTTTCGAAGGTTTCCAAGCAGCTTGTCATGTCGTTTTGCGTGGCAGGCGTGGCACTTTCCTCACTCCACACTCCACACTTTACACTCCTCACTTTACACTCCACACTCCACACTCTACACTTTCCACTCCAGACTCCACACTCTACACTTTACGCTCCACACTCCACACTCCACACTTTACACTCCTCACTCCACACTTTACACTCCACACTTTACACTCCTCACTCCACACCCCATGCTTTACACTCCTCACTCCGCACTTTACACTCCACACTTTCCACTCAATACTCCACACTCCACATTTTACACTCCACACTTTACACTCCTCACTCCACACTTTACACTCCACACCCCACACTTTACACTCCTCACACACTTTACACTCCTCACTCCACACTTTACACTCTACACTTTACACTCCACACTCTACACACCACACTCTACACTTTCCACTCCAGACTCCACACTACACTTTACGCTCCACACTCCACACTTTACACTCCACACTCCACACTTTACACTCCACACTCCACACTTTACACTCCTCACTCCACACTCCACACTTTACACTCCTCACTCCACACTTTACACTCCACACTTCACACTTTCCACATTTTCCACTCAACACTCCACACTCCACACTTTACACTCCACACTCCACACTTTACACTCCTCACTCCACACTTTACACTCCACACTTTACACTCCACACTCTACACTTTACACTCCACACTTTCCACTCCACACTCCACACTCTACACTTTACAGTCTACACTATACACTCTGCACTTCACACTTTACACTTTACACTCCACGATTTCCACTTTACACTCCTCACTTTACACTCCACACTCCACACTTTACACTCCTCACTCCACACTTTACACTCCACACTCCACACTTTACACTCCTCACTCCACACTTTACACTCCACACTTTACACTCCACATTTTACACTCCACACTCCACACTCTACACACCACACTCTACACTTTCCATACTCCTCACTCCTCACTTTACACTCCACACTTTACACTCCGCACTCCACACTCCACACTTTACACTTTACACTCCTCACTCCACACTCCACACTCTACACTCCGCACTCTACACTTTACACTCCATACTCCACACTCTACACTTTAAACTCCACACTCCACACTTTGCACTTTACATTCCTCACTCCACACTCTACACTCTACACTCCACACTCCACACTCTACACTCCGCACTCTACACTTTACACTCCATACTCCACACTCTACAATTTACACTCCGCATTCTACACTTTACACACTCTACACTCCCCACTCCACACTTTACACTCCACACTCCTTACTTCACACTCCCTACTCCACACTCTACACTCCACACTCTACACTTTACACTCCATACTCCACACTCTACAATTTACACTCCGCATTCTACACTTTACACACTCTACACTCCCCACTCCACACTTTACACTCCACACTCCTTGCTTCACACTCCCTACTCCACACTCTACACTCCACACTCCACATTTTACACTCCATGCTCCACACTCTACAATTTACACTCCGCATTCTACACTTTACACACTCTACACTCCCCACTCCACACTTTGCACTCCACACTCCTACTTCACACTCCACACTCCACACTCTACACTCTACACTTTCCACTCCACACTGCAGACTGGTAACAAGGGAAACATGTACAAGACTGTTCAAATAAACTATTGCAGAAAGGTATTGTGCGTCACTGCATAACCATGTGTTTTGACATCTGTACCATTAACATACGTGTGAGCATTCGGGTTCGTGGGCTTCATCTTGTTTTTTCCTCTCCAACAAATATTTGTTTTCGTGAAGTTCAGACTCCCCAAAACGGGACATTTACCAACCCCTGGGTAATCACTATCATCCCCCAAAAAAATGCAACATTCATCCAACAAACTCCCATCATCCAGCTGCCTTCATCATCCAGCGGGACTGGGAAGCTGTTGGTCAGAACACGACTCTTGGCGCCAGCGCCATCGATCTCTGCATCGAACAAATCCCAAAAGCTCTCCTGCCATGGAGCCATGGCTAGCTTGGTCTACCTGGCAAGATATCACTTGCACCTCAGGCAACCGTGGTTTCTAGCTGAAGTACTAGGAGGCCTCAAAAAAACAAATCCAACAATTCTGGCAAGATAACTATAACATACTATAACTATCTAGTTAAAGTTAAATTTCGAAGTGAGACATTATTAGATGGAAGCAAGCCCGCACAAGACAACCAAACCAACAGCTGCACAGCAATGAATGATGTCCATTAGATAGAGCCAATTTTGGCGCTTGTGGGACTTTATTGGCCGCACACGACAAGCACAAACTAAAATTTCATCATTTCCTTCCTAGTGTCTCTGGCTTTTCAAGCGTGGGGATGGAAACGAACGGCTAACATTTGCGAGACGTGTTTTTTCCAACAACCACCCCGGCTGCAGCTGGAGTCCTGTTTGTCTCTTGGCAATTTCAGTATCATGGCTTCAATATCGGAATCTTTCCTGGGTTCGAATTGAGTAAAGGAATGCAAGGCGCTTCTAAGTTGGTTTATAATCCATCCCAAAACAATCCAAAACATATATCTGTATACCATAAACATCCATGACCCTGCTTCGCCAGGTTATACACAAACTTAGCCAACTATGGAGCATCACCTTGTAGGTTCTATATCTTACACCACGAGTAGATTGGAAAGTAGGCTGAGATGAGCCAAACCAACAAATTCTAATTCACCCATCCTTTCCTGCCCTCATCCTCTCACGGTTTCGGATGTGGTGTAAGGTCCCACATGTCAGGTGTGGGCGTCATACATGACCCTGCATCAGAGGCTGCACGTGGGTTGTCGCAATCCCCCACCGCAATAGTTGTACTTGGTGGCGAACTACCCACGGCTCGTAAGTGGGTTATAACCCCAGTTATAAATGGGATAAGTAGGGTTAATCCACTTATAACTGGGGGTTATAACCCACTTACGAGCCGTGGGTAGTTCGCCACCATAACTGGGGTTCTAACCCACACCCTTCACAGAATCCTTCAACCGAATACCGAATACCTCCCCTGCAATTGGATGCATCAAAAGATATCCTGTGGTTTATTAGAAACACCGAGTCCCCCAAGCTAATGATACCTACAATGTGAGGCCCCCGTTCGATAGCGTTCAGTTGGTTAGATAACTCCAAGTTCACTATAGTTTATGGTGCTTATAACTATAGTTACTGGGGCTTTTGTTAACCAACAAACATCACTGGGGGGGCCCACATTGTAGCAATCCTTGGCCGACTCCGAGGGTCAAATGTTCCATCTCTTCACAGGGAATCGTCAGCAACGGCTGATCCTCCAAAATGGCATCGCCTCTGGGGATGTCTCTCCTGGCCGTGCAAAAACTGGATAGTGGATTAAGAACCCATCTATACAGCCATGGTTTTGAAGCAAATGCCAGCTGGTAATGACTAACATAGCTATTGAACATGGCCCAGTCGAAATAGTGGATTTACCCAGCTATAAAATGGTGATTTGTCCATAGTTATGTAAACGTTTACCAGAGGGTACCAACTGGGACACAATGTGCAATCATATTGGGAGCACCGTCCGTGGTTTCTCAATGGGACTGAAACGATCAGGATGATGATAGATGATACTGCACTTGGAAGTAAATCTTCAATACTTAATATCTTAAGTGAAGACATTCTGTCTATAATCTTGATACTGTAACAAATCTTCACTTGAAGATAAAGACAACATAATATCAGGTAAATCTGGTAATCATGAATAATCAATAGACTTCAATAGACGTTTGCTACAAGACATGAAACAAATTCAAGCTGATACGTAAACCAAAAATCATCATCTAGATCTGGATGCAAAGAAACACTCTTCCTTACGCTGCTGCGTTCATCCAAGAATCTGAGCCACAGCTGCCATCCCCTTTCCATCAATCGGCTGTATCTCAAAGTCTTTTCCTTTTGCCTTCCTCACAGCAGCAGCTGTCATACAAAATTGGTGACTTTTTATCGACAAGAAAGATGAACAGCAGCAACAAAAGGACTCCCACCCAACCCCTGTTTACAAGACAGACTCGCAATGTCATGTAGATCTTAAAAAAACAATCACATTGCGGATGCAACCAAAACAAGACAAAGCAAACAACTTTAATGTGTTCATCAGAAACGGGGATTGATTGGTGTGGATTGGCTGGGCGGCTCGGCTCAACCCACTGATCAACTCTCGTCCGCCAGCTGATATCCATGACTGTCATTCCCATATTTGAAGGTTGCATAACTTTGAACAATCGTTCGATGCATCCAGGCTTTTGTTGAATTCACCTTTCTTCAGTTCAAACAAATCGTGCCACTGTTCGATGGATTCTGCAGTTATTGGCCAGTATCTACACCCAAACTTTCCCCGCAGCAAGCACCCAACACACGAAGCCTCCAAAGTGTGAGGCGCTCCTTGCATTGCGCAGAGACCTCAGTGGATTCGGACGTGAGTCATGTGGCTTCCTGCCGCTGCAGCGAATCATGGGCCAACTGCAGCAACGCCCAAGCTGAGTTGCTTTTTCAATCGCTTGAGGCTTTCTGGCTTGATGCATTTCCAACTTGAATGAAACCCAAAAAAATGCGAAAAGGTGCTGTCAAATCTTGCCAGCCTAATTGAGTTTGACAGTTGCGACAGTAATCGTTTCGGCTTTCTGACTTCATGCGTGTCTCCCTTAAATGAAACACAAAAACAATACGATTATCGCCCAAGCTCTTGCTCCAGGATCAGGTCTACGACGTCTACGATGATCAGAACGGCACCGATGGCAATGCACGCAATGATCAAATAACAATAGAACTTAAACAATACTGACTTCTCAAGCTCTTGCTCTTCTTTCAATCTGGTGTTGGCCTCTTTCAATTCTGGAAATTCGATTCTTCCAATCTGGTGTTGGCCTCTTTCAACTGGAAATTCGATTCTTCCGCTGGATTCTGGGTAACCTATTCTCAGACAATCCCATATGGCAACCATTTGGATCATTATGTATCCGCAAATTTAGGAAACCTCCGAATTTCAAACATGTTATATTCTGGTTGGTGGTTTGAACCATCTTGAAAAATATGAAAGTCAATGGGAAGGATTATCCCATATATGATGGAAACATATGGAAAATAAAAAATGTTTGAAACCACCAACCAGATTGGGTTTATTAATCACTATCAACCACTATTAACCACTATGAACCATATTTCAAACGTGTCATATTCATTTTCAGCTCTTTCCTGGGGCACCCCAGCATTGCTGCGTTTCCTGCTCGGCGCTGCGGTGACTTCGTGGGGCGGCAGAGTGGGATCCAGAGGGTTAAAGAACAGAATTTTTGACAACAAAATGGTGACAACAATGTCTATACTGTACCCTCTGGTAAACTAACATAACTATGGAAACTCACCGTTTTTTAAATGGGTAAATCAACTATAAATTGCCATTTTCCATAGTTATGTTAGTTTACCAGAGGGTACATCTACCGGCCTACTGGCTACAATTGTACCTACAACAAGGATGACATTGACAAAACACTGGATGTTGTATGTCACGTTTCCTGGAGTACTTTCTGATATAGCATTGGTACAAAATCTCAGAACGTGGGAAGCATCAACCCCCATGCGAAGACATGTTCAACTTTTTATTGCAACTTGATATTTATGACCATCTTCTAGCCTTATTGCATAACATTGTGCCACAAAGATCCACAATGTGTGCCCCATTGGCTTTAACTCCCGTACTCTTGGAGGATTGGATCGCGAGGGTCCTTGACATCTTACAGTTTCACAAGACCAAATAACATTCATCAATATATCCAGCATGGTTGTGACCATTGCGGAATTTCGCAATGTACGACGTACTAAAACCAAAGCCACCCAGCTGTTTATCTTGGGTACTTGCAACTAACGAAGCGTCAATACATGCAACCACAAACACTTTAACACTTACTTACAACTTTACCTACAACTTGCAACTGTCCTTCAAGTGTCAACCAGTCGTGTTTTTGTGATGCCAACCATCAGAAACAACCCATCATGCTCAACGGCCTGGAAGAGGCATCTCGGCCATCATGGCTTCGCCACCAGCATCCGCAAAGGACGGCTGCACACGGCAGCCAGGTGGAAACGCCACCAGGCACTGGCACTGCGGCTTTTTGGCTCAGCCCCAAAGGACCACGGCGCGGAATGGCCGGGACGAGCGATGTCGGCCCCAAAGGCTGCATTGCAAGACAGTAATGAAAAAGTGGGGAAGGTACTGCGAGTGACTTAAAATATCTTTAAATCATCTTTTCAAAATGCGAGAAAACTAAAACATGCACATTCAAATCCAGATGAGGAATTCCTTAAAGGATCAAACAACAACTACCCTGCCTTTTTTGTGAATATGTTGCCAATTGTCTCGCCTGACACAGTCAGTACCCATCAGCGTTGTCACTAAGTACCGGCAAACACAGTTGAGTGAGATTGGGTTGCACACACATTTTTGTTCCATTTGTTTTGTGGCTGGTTGGCCATTGGCTTTTGTTTGTTAAACGTGTATATATTTATATAGTGGTTGATTGATATGCGTGTATATAACAATCATGTATATCATGCAGTATCATACATATCTAGCAATTCATTCTGCTGACTCGTGCTGAGAACCATCCATTCCACCACGTCCAAAAAGACAATTGCAGCTCTCTTCTCCACACTTCTAGGTTTGGACCTCAATTGAGCCTGTGGGATCAAATTCTCTGTGCTTGGGACATGTCGTGAAGGAAGAAACCCTTGGACGTTTTTCTGGTCACATAAAAAAACAAGTTGAAGGATTGTACTGATCCCATATGCTCCATGTATTGTATATTTACCTACATTTGGGTGATTTTGCTCGGGCACATGTTGGTAAATATACCAGCACCATGGAGCATATGGGTATGGTATCTTGCCAACAAGAAAGCTTCGCGGACTGAGATTCACTGCAGGATTCAACAGCATTTACCTCAAAGGGGCGGCAATGCTCCGTGAGTTGATTTTGGATGAGAACTAGTCTGAGACCGAAAACTCAAAATGCTTAAAACATGTTCAAAACATATATTTCATACATCTCCAACTTCAAAAACCACAGCAAAAACAAGTTGTTTTTTTTCTACTTCACGCGGCAGCATTGGATGCAGCCTGCGGCACATCTCAGGGAACATTCAAAGTGGAGCCAATCATCCTTGATTGGTGTAAGCACAATGACTTCTTGGCCTCGAATCGATATTTATCTGGTTGGTGGTTTCAACCTACCCCTCTGAAACATGATGGAGTTGGTCAGTTGGGATTATGACATTCCCAACTGATTGGGAAGTCATAAAATTCATGTTCCAAACCACCAATCAGATTATGGAATCATTAGCTATTCAGTCATGATATGGTCATAGTGGCCATAACTATGAACTAGTATAGTATATTATATACATCTATATACCAAAATTGATCCAACATTCCTCGCGATCGACATATTTCTTGGCAAAAAAAGAGTCTCAAAACGGCGGTCAAATCTCAGGATTTTGCATGCAACAACCACCGGTGTTTCTTTCCGCCTACCCGGCCTGGTAAACGTTTTACAAAAAACCATGGAAAGATCCTTCATATTTTTCATGGGAAAACTCACTATTTCAATGGCCATTTTCCATAACTATGTTAGTTTACCAGAGGGTATATCCATCATTTGCAGATGAAATTTCCCATGATCACCTCCATTTATAGAGATTTCACATAGCTATTGAACCATAGCTATGTTGACATAAGCAGAGGATATCCCAACATCAACCGCCTGTGAACTGCTGGCCGCATCCGCAGCGGCGGGAAAGGATTCGGCGGATGTTGCAGGCCCTCGGTGTTTGTTTTGCGGATGGCAAGCTCTCAAGATCCTCCCAAGAAATGAGGATTTCATGGGACTTAATGGGATTTTGTGGGACTTAATGGAATCTCATGGATTTCATGGGATCTCATGGGATTTCATGTGATTTTATGGATTTGAGACCCGGAGATTGTGCTGGTTGGTTTCTGTTGTGTCCATTTGACTGTACATTAATCTCCAGCAAAAAATGCAACATTGACTGGAGTTATAATGCAAGTTACCTGTCTTAGGGGGCCAACATTGTATCCTATGTATATATATATATATATATTCCTATATTGATATATGGTGATCAAGCAGTGACGATGAAAAATTATCATGTTTGATGGGAAATTGTCTGAGAATGAATATTGAATATGCATGGGCATATTCCATTGCTAGATTTGACCACATGAAGATATATGGTGAATGAGTTCAATCCATGAAATGATGCTAACAAGTGGAATACATTCTGAGACAATGTCATATATTGCATGATGTTCCGACAAAAACCTCACCTTTATGCTCGGTGCAATGAAACATTATGAACCATTATTAATCATGATTAACCATTATTCACCAGTATTAACCAGTATTAACAAAACATTTTCCCATTCCCGGCCATGATTTCCAGGCTTACCATCCAACTCTGTGATGATTCCCATCAAATCAGCTCTTATTTCATGCTGGAATCCCCCTTTTTGATGCTCAGATCATTTTGATAGCTACAGGATTTTTTGCCCCCCGGTGATGTGAACGTTGGTTTATAAAACCATGAATTAATCACCATGAAAACTAGTTCGTGATTTATATCTACCATAAACCATAGAATTCAGTCACTTAATCATAAGGCAACTTAGCTATCTAACTAGTTATATCTACCATAAGCCAAAGAATTCAGCCACTTATAAGAACCCACCAGTTTTATTCCACTCATTCGGTTTTGTCTCCAGGCCCCGGACCTGTGGCTCCTGTGGCTCCTCCCAAACCCAGGGCGGAACGGGCCGAGGATCTCATCGCCTGGTCAGGGTGCGTGCCCACGGTGCACTGGGTTTTCTGGAACCGGGCTGAAGGGATATCAACAAAAGACGTACAATGTGAGGCCCCCGTTCGATAGCTAAGTTGGTGCACATAACTCCAATATCTATGGTTTATGATGCGCAAATAACTATAGTTACTGGGGCTTTTGTTAACCAACTTATAACTGGAGGGCCTCACATTGTAGCTATATAATTAATGGCAGTTCATGGTAGGTACCCTCTGGTAAATTGTTACATACCTATGGAAATATCCACCAGTTTTAATGGGAAAATCCACTATAACTGGCCATTTTCAATAGCTATGTAACAAATTACCAGAGGGTAATGGTAGTCAACAGCTTCATGGAGAAATAATTGATGATGACTGGATGATTAGTAGTGATGGAATGTCGTTGATGGATAATTCATAGATTCATGGATGATTAACGAGTAGTGTATGATACAGTCAATGGAAATGAATTAAACATTGACGATTTCACCCACAGAAATGGGAATTCATGCTCTCAAACACCATATCTTGATGGCATCCCACTTCCTTTTGATGGCTAAATCTCTATTTTGGGGGTCCTTAGAATGGGGAATCCCCAAAATCATGGGTTTCAATACGAAATTTGTCATAGATGATTTGAAAGTACTCCAATCTGAGGAAAGCCCCATATTTAATGATCATGTGATGATATGTTCATATATTGCCATATTCATCCACTATAACCCCCATGATATCCAGGAAATATTCCCATATATTCCCATTAAATCCAGTATTTCTGGTGGACTAAACTGACCTTTTTACACAGGATGGCCCCCCCCCAGTAATGTAAGTTGGTTTATAAACCATGATAATCCCCATGAAAACTAGTTTGTTATATCTACCATAAACCATAGAATTCAGCCACTTTTTTTAGGCCACTTACCCTCTGCTAAACTCACATAACTCTGGAAAATCACTATTTTATAGCTGGGCAAACTGACCTTTTTACTGTTCGCAATTCCTCCCCAGCACTGGTCGAAAACTCCACACCTGCACGGGCACCGTCCGTTCGCTCAAGCCGGCCGCCGCGCGTGCGGTGACCTGGCGGCGGAGTTTGGCGGAGTTTGTCGGGGGAGATCCTGGGGAGTAAACGTCGTGCGGTGACCTGGGCGCCCGTTCGGTGATTAATGGTTGGTAAATAGGGAAAACCATAGGAAAACCATAGGAAAATGGAGGTTTAATGGGGAAAAATGATGTTTTTGGATTGTTAATGGTTAATTTTTGGATTGTTGTATGGAAAAATCCATGAAAGCTATATAAACGGAGGTGATGATGGGAATTTCATCTGCAAATGATGGATATACTCTCTGGTAAACAAACATATTGAAAATTGCCATAGAAAGTTCGTTGATTTGCCCAGCTATAAAATAGTGATTTTCCAGAGTTATGTGAGTTTAGCAGAGGGTAAGTGGCCTAAAAAAAGTGGCTGAATTCTATGGTTTATGGTAGATATAACAAACTAGTTTTCATGGGGATTATCATGGTTTATAAACCAACTTACATTACTGGGGGGGGGGGCATCCTGTGTAAAAAGGTCAGTTTAGTCCACCAGAAATACTGGATTTAATGGGAATATATGGGAATATTTCCTGGATATCATGTGTGTTAAAGTGGTTTGATGGGGATAGAATGGACATATATGGACATATCATCGAATGACCATTAAGTATGGGGCTTTCCTAAAATTGGAGTACACCCAAATCATCTAAATCATTAGACAATTTTTGTATTGAAACCTATGGTATTAGACATGCCCCATTTTACGAAACGCCCATATGTACAATACAAAGTGGTGCCCCCCAGAAAGCTAAGTCGGTGATCTAACTTTTTACTGGGGTTTCGCAAAACAACATACATAACTTGGGGGGACTACATGGTGTGTATATATATATTATATATATATACATAAAACAATATATATATAAACAATATAGTGGTAATGTTCTGTAACACCATCAATGTACATTAATATAAATTACATTAATATACATATACATTAATAATAATGATAATAATAATAATAATAAAAAATAATAATAATATATATATATATATTTATTTATTTACATTAATCATATATATATACTACTATATTCTCTGCATCCAAATGCCTTCTTATAGATGGTACTTGACCCTCCGACTCACAACCACATGACTTTCTCAGAAGGTGTTGAGATCCATGTGTATATACACATAATTTTAGTATACATGCTATTGTGTATTGACATAGTATAGTATCTAATACGGGTTGTATACCATTTATATTGTATATATGGTATCTACATTATCTATTCAATATGTATATCTACATCAAAGTTCATCAAAGTTCAATACATGTTATCATCTTGATATACTTTCTATATATAGTATATATTTATATAATGGTATGTCTATTTACTGTGTATGTTTAGTTAATTTTAGTTATATTTACATCAATGTTAAATACATGAACGTTACACTTCGTATGTCCAACCCATCTCATTTGCCGGTGTCCCTGGAGCTCATCGGTGGCGCCTGGGCAGTTTGTGCCTCGGCGAGCGGGATTAAACCTGCCTGTTTCTGTCTGTGTTCGGAAAATTCCCTTCTTCCAACATCCAACATCCAAAAACATCCAAACCGTTCAACATCCATAGAAATCATATAGAAATCATAAAGAAATCATATAGAAATCATATAGACATGATATAGAAATCATCCATAGAAAAATCCCTTCATCCGTAGAAATCATAGAAATCATCCCATTTGTCCATTTCCAGCACAGAATTTCTCTTCACCTACCGGACCCAGGTCGCGCCACGGTCTCCAAAAAGGGCTCCGGACATAGGAGGAGTAGATGTTGCCGAAGATCGTATCGCCCAAATCGCCCTCCGGAATGGGCATGGCGGACTCTTGGAGCTCCTGTAGCATCGTTGCCAGCAGCTGGACGTGCTTCGCATGCGAGTCCTGGGATGTGGGATGGGGATGGCTACGAGGTGGTGCCCCCAAACGTTATATTTGTTGGTTGATAAACCAACTTATAACTGGGGGGGCCCACATTGTAATACTTGTTTTTATCATGGCTATAATAATTCTTAATTATGGTTAATAATGGCTTAATGAAAACCCCATGAATACTAGTTCGATATATCACCAATAAAAACCATAGTGAAATTGGAGTTATAAACGCACCAACTGAACGCTATCGTGGCCGGGGGCACCACCTTGTATGGATCACACATCGCCAGAATGGATAGAACTGAATCTGAGTCCCCACTGTGCAGGAAATGTATGATCTTACCCTCTAATTCACGCCAAAAGCCCCTTAGAACTGTTGGAAATCTACCGAGCGACTTGGAGAGTTTACGTTTTTTGTTGAATCTATGGATAGTTTTATGGCTTATGGTTATCTTGATTATGCGTATGTTTGATGAATTACATCCCACGCTATGTCTCATATACAACTTCAAGGGCTTTCACATGCCATCCCAACCCTGTCAACCCCATGCACCTGCACATCCAGCGTAAACCATGTGCGGTCCGTCTCAGAGACCACTTGACAATGCCTTAGCAGATGACCAGGAGACCATCATTCTGCGCAGAAATCCTCAGCGTCCTTCGGGTTGTCCAAACACTGGGTTATACCCACATGTTGCCCATTAACATGCTACAATGTGGTGACCCCCCCAGTTATGTTTGTTGGTTTATAACCCCATTGACTAAGAATCTTCTCCACAAGATCTAGTCTTTAGAGTTGTAAACAAACTTTGCTATCGAACGGGGGCATCACCTTGTAAAGTGCATGTTGGGGCATTGCCCGTTTTCTGCCAACCCCATGCCTACAGGAAGAGCTTGCCTAAAGACAGGTAAGTTGGTTTAAAAGTACAACAACTAGGACATATGCATATTTAATGGGATACATCCTGCAAGGGATATTTACTTTTTTATCAATATTTGCTTGTGCTAGGATTCATTAATATCAACAACTAGGGTAGTAAGTTCGAATACTTATGATGGAACCTGCCGTTGGATGAGTGAACATAAACCAACAAATATCCAACTGGAGGGGCCTTTCCTTCAATCTGTTGCCCGAGTTACAAGTTTGTTTTTAACAACCCCCATGAACTCCAAAAAAAACATACAACATCTATCCCAAACCTAGCTAATCTAGTCTAGTTATGTTTATCAACTTACTTAACGAACTTGGGCATCACCCATCATATCATTAGTATGTACTATATCTACATTATACATCATTCTATATCATTGTATGCCATTGTATCCCTACTGTATTCCCATGATGTTCATTGAACTATACCAATCATGGCAACAAAAATCGAGCAATCCCCACATTGTGCTTGGTGAAAAAAAACACATGTCATCCTTTTTCCTGGCAAAAACCATGCCGTTTTCCAATCGGCATCACCCCGCGGCGCGCTGAAAACCGGCTGGGAGGGCCAACCCCATGGCGCGTTGATGGGCCAGCATAGCATTTTCCATCTCCGTCAGGAGCCTGTCTTCGGATGCTGCTGAAGCCGGCGACATGTTCTGAAAAAAATGGATGGACTGACTATGTATAGACAGGGTGTGTGTATGTATTAGATTGTATTAGGATGTATGTGTATATATACGTATATATATATATATGTATGTATTAATGATAGGATAAAACCAAAGTAGTAAAGGATGAACAACCCTTAGATGGGTCATGGAGCTGACATGAGCTGACTGTTCTGTGGTAAACCCAGTGCCATAAACCTACCACGACTGGGGATGGTTTATACACCCCATTTTGTAGTGATCTTGGGGATTGTTTATCATTGGGTTTACCGGCTTACCTCATTAGTTAGTAAATGGATTATACTTGGTAAGCCGGGAAAGTTAATAACCATGGAATTAGATGGAATTAGTAAGTAATGGTTGCAAATGGTTAGATTATATTTGGTATAGTTAGTAACCCAGTTGCGAACCAGGAATCGCTAATCCCATGGCCCATCCAAGCACCAATTCCAAAGGATTGAGACCTATGAAACTCTCAGGTATATCATTTGATCATCAAATGTAAAATGTGTTTTTGAGCATATCACATGTTTGGACAAACACACATGTTTCTTCAACCGCTGTGGCTCACTGCCCTGCCAGAGGGAAGAAGTGCCCTGCCATCGGAGGATCGTTCAAATTTCCCAGGCTAAAACGGAACAGGACACCCCATCTTGGTGATCCCAAGTCTTTGAGCAACACATCTGCATTAAAAAGGGACCCCGGGCCCGGCACCTCTTCTCCTCTTTCAATGCCGCATTGCATTCTGCGCGATACAGAACTTGCTGGTCCTGAACAGCTGCCCCACTTAGGATGCTTCATGATGTTTCCAGCTCCTAGCGGCTTGCCAAAATTCAGCCAAAATTCAGCTCCTAGCGTCTAGCCGCAGCTAGCCGCGGCTAGCCTACCTACCAGATCTTGCCCTACCAGCGCCACCAGCGAGGACGGCTTATTTACCAAGGCCAAGGGTCTTTGGGACAAAGCCACTGCAAATGTTCGAAGGCTTGGTTGTCCTCGCGACGGATGGTAAGCCTGGAAATCATGGTTGGGAATGGGAAAATGATGGCTAATAATGGTTAATAATGGCTAATAATGGTTAATAATGGTTGATAATGGTTGATAATGGTTAGTAATGGTTAGTAATATTTAATACTGGTTAACAATTGTTGATAATAGTTAGTAATTGTTAATAATGGTTAAGAAGAATAATGGCATTTAACCATCCAATGTCTGAATCGTGACTTCCATGTAATACTGGTCAATCATGCTGTATATTCACATATTTATGGTTGATAATGGTCAATAAGAGTGAATTTCATGGTAGTTAACCATAAAATGATTGAACTGGAAGTCATGGTGGCAATGCGCTAGAGAGTTGGTGTTTTTTCAACCCCCAGTGAGTTTTCGAACACTTGGAGACCTGGAAATTCTGGGGGAATCATCAAATCTTTGGTGGCCTCAAGAGTGAATCAATTGTAGCAACTCTCAATGGCCATTTCAGGAACCGATTGATTGGAGGTACCTACCATATGTAAGGCCTATATAAGGGCTATGTAAGGGGATATCCCCAGGAAATATGGCCTTATATGGTACAGTACCTCCATTTTAGGATCCTGAAATTCCCATTGAAATTATAGCAACTCCCCCAAAAGACGCTCTGGAAAAGTATAGAAAAGTAACTGGTTGCTGGTGCAATAACCATCTTGAAAAATGATGGAGTTCGTCCCTTGGGATTATGACATTCCCAATTGAATGGGAAATCATAAAATTAAAATGTTCCAAACCACCAGAAGATCAACTACTGAATATGGTCACTATATCTGGACCTTTTCTGCATCTGGAGGGTTACTATATCTCTGACCCCGCATCCCCATGCCATCCTTGGACACCTGTGCAGCACTGGCCATGCCGCTGGGAGGCTGGGTCGATGAAATCGATGTGTTTTCAGTTGGAAAACAAAACGTGGAAAATCATGGACAATCATGGGACAATGATGGTTAATAAGTGCTAGGAATATGGTTTTTCTATAATGGTTCATAATCATCAAACCCAAGTTGCTTCACAGATATGGATTTTTTTTTTGCAGAGTGACATTGTGACATATTGACTTTTTTGTGTTCACATCGTAATGATCTCTCTGTTGACCGCTGCTAAATGGTGAGCAGCACGGGTGCAATGTTGAATGAGTGCCACAGAGATTGATCTGACCCATCATTGTACTTGGGGGTACAGTTGGGGTTATTCATGAATATATATATATATATATATATGTATTGAATGTATGTGTATATATATACACAGAATTATGACCCCCATAAGTTGGAGTATAACCCGTATGATTGTCCAAGACTCCCACTAGCCTTTATCTCAGCCGACAGAGCCAACGAACCAGGGAACTCTACCCCTCTGACCTTGCAAAAGCAATGATCCCAGAATCATTGGATTGGTTTAAGGGAACATTTACAGGAAACTATGTTTTTTACAATTCAATCTGGGGGTTTCCTGTAAATTTCCCGTAAACCAATCCAATGACAGAACAAAAAGAAAAACAAACTGCTATCAAAACATGTTAAAAAAACACCCCCAAGCTATCGCTATGGGTGGGAAAAAAAAACAAAACATCTATTTTTGCTTTCCCAAAACGTCCCTTGATTCCCCAACTTATCTCCAGGTAACTTCGGTACCAATAGGGATCATCATCCCGGGATTGACCCTCCGGTCAGGTGATGTGTAGATGACTACATGACTTGGAATCTTGGGGATATGAAATGATACCCCTTGCACAGGTCCAAACTTAGGTATGGCATATAGAAGTCACCCCTCATGTGATACTGTGGATGGGCCAGAGAAATCCGAATCACCAGTTGATAGATGGTTTATCATTATAGGCTTTCAACCATCCCAAATTGGTGCAAGATTTCGCTGGCCCATCCACAGTATGAATGTTATTTCCAGACAAAATGGGAAGATGTAGTTGATTTCTACTAGTTTTTGGTGTGATTATATAGTTCATAACTACATTGTGTAGGTATGTAAACCATCAATATGATTTTGGGTTTGTCTCCAAATGGTGGATACCTTCAAATGGCTCTAATGGGGAAAAGGAGTTTTGTTTCTCCTAGGTTTTCAGATGTTTTCTTAATGAATTTCTCGGCAGCCTTTTTGTGCAATCGAGAAAAACACGCTGTACATGGTAGGGAGCTGCTGACGTCGGCCTCCACGAGTATCTTTGTACAAAACAAATAGATGCCAGGACTATGTGTATGTTGCATACACATCGACGGCCGTTGCACGGGTGATCATTGAACTTTCCTGGCACATCCAGCACACGACAAGTTCTTTAAACGAAGCACATAAAAAAGGAAACAAAGGAACACGGTTCACGGCTGCTAAACTTCCATTGGCGGTGGATGTTGAGATACATATATACATATACATACACTCCTGTAATCAAACATGGCATTGGAAACTCTTAGCTGTTAGATGATTTTGCCATGACTGTAAAACCTGCATTTACAGGGAATTTCCCATTGCCATGTTCGATTGCTACAGGGAAAAAACAATCCATTCACAGTATCACATTCTGTAGGAAGGTACATAAAGCCATCAATTGTCACCATGATTCATTGTGATGTTTGTTTGTAATAACCGCATTCCAAAACATAGATAGCACATACCCTCTGGTAAACTAACAGTTCGCTATTGAAAATGGCCCAGTCGAAATAGTGGAATTTCCCATTAATAGCATGGTGATTTTCCATAGCAAAATGTTAGTTTACCGGAGGGTACCTAGGATCTCTACTGGAAGGTATGTTTCAAGTAGCTGGCTGATGTATTTTGTGATGTTTGGACATGTTTGGACCCTGAACAGGGGATATGACTTTGAATAGCACATATTTCATCACATCTCTATTGAATATCCCTGAATCAGATTGCACTGTTCGATGAATGACACGCCCTTGGCTCCACTATGCTCCACTCCATCAGTGCCACTTGTGGCACCCCAATGGCCCGGCCCGTTTCGAAACACCATGGACCAATGGACCTGGAAAGAGTCAAAGCTCTAAAGCATCAATTACTCTCCAGTAATCAAACATAGATGTGGAAACAAGGGAATTTCCCCTATAACTTGGAGTTTGTAGGAACATCCACAAACAAAGATCCGCGTTGTCTGTCCACTTTTAGTTGGTGAGTTCCCGATGCCAAATTCATACAAATTCCACATGTTTATCCTGATCTTGTTGTGAGACATCCCCGTTTTTTTTGCCGGGGTTTTAACTCTCATGTTTTCCCCCAAATATTTCACAACTGAGATTGGTCCGCATATTTTTGCTGTTTTTTTTTTGCCATTCATTTTCCCCCCCATGTCCAAAGTCACCCCGCTGATTGATTCGATTGGTGGAGTCCTTGGTTGGTCCAATTCCTTCATGTGGATCTCAACTTTGGAGCCCTTTCGTAGAACCTTCGTCACCTGCACTTGGAGCACACAAACACCATCCACGAGGGGCGTGATATCAAAAAGGTGATGTTCCAAAAAAAAAAACAACGTTGGCTAAGTTTTGTTGATAATTTTATATAACTAGACTATGATGGTTGATTAAACTATTATGATCTATTAGTCTATTATGTTTAATACATGTTATAACTACGATTTACTTGGTTTAGTTTGACCAAAAAAGTCTTTGGTTGATGTTTATGGAATCGAACGGGTTCATAGAGGTGGTTCACGCCCTGCCCTGCCTCAAATTGAGTGCCAGGTGCCAGGATGTACCTTGTTCCAAAGCACAGGAAATTCCATGAGAAAAACACACTGCAAACATTGGAAAAATGCCGGTAAGTTACAGGTCTGGATATATTAGAGCCCATAGGATCCATGTATGTTATGTATGGTACCATTTACCATCAATATACCCCCAATGTTAGCATATATACCATACATGGATCCTCTGGGGAGGTCATGAGGTTTTTCTTTGCAGTGAGATGGATAAGTCACGCACTGCATCTTCAAACACGGATGCAATGTGGTGCCCTCCTTGTTACAATGTGGGTTTATAACCTCATGGACTAGTTCGACATATATAAAAGTCCTAGCTATTAGAGTCTTCTCAAGCAACTTTGCTATCGAACGGAGGCACCAATGTGTAGATTCAAACATGGCTGAGATGTTCCAGTCCTCTAAAATATATGGTGACATTCAGCGATGATTTCACGTAAAAACAGCCTTCCGAACAACGACCTTGACAAATGAGGAATCACCAAATGATTCCCCTCTACAATGTGAGGCCCCCAAGATAGCTAAGTTGGTTTATAACTCCAATAACTATGGTTTATGGTACTTATAACTATAGTATTCCTGGGGCTTATAAACCAACAAACATCACCTGGGGGGCCTCACATAATTGTAATAAAAAATGATTGAATCAACTCCATAACGTGATGGGACCCCACAATTTTAATGGCAACTTTGATACTGAAACTGCACGATCACATTCGCGGGCCCAAAACAGCCAAACATGTGTCAAAGATATCGCCAATGCAGCCCACAGAATTACAAGGTGGTGCCCCCCAAACGTTATAAGTTGGCTTATAAACCCCATTAACTATAGATTCTATAGATATATCACCTATAAACCTAACCATAGTTATTGGAGTTATGTTCACCAACTTAGCTATCGTTTGGGGGCACCACCTTGTATGTGTCCAAACAAGACTGTTGTGACTTCCATCTCAGTCTCCACATAAGAGACTTCCCAGATCTTGAATGCCAACTTTTAGAAGTCATGGCCACCTGTCCTAAACGAGGATCAGTAAATGGTGTTCCTACAATGTAGTGCCCCCTAGTTGTAAGTTGCTTCATAACACCATTCACTACCAAAAGTCCTAGTTATTGGAGTTATAAACCAACTTTGCTATCGAACCGGGTCACGACAATGTATGAACGGACGATTTGAAAATACGATTCTCCCACGGTTCCAGCAGGTAGGACCTCATAGTAACCAGGCTATTCGTCAAATCCCCTTGTTTTGCAAACCAGTTTGTATGTCACAGATGTTCATCCCCACAGCAAAGCAATGGCATAAATTAGCTGTACTGGAGAAGTTGGTTTATTTTATGCTACAGAAGTGGTTGACGTAGAAAATCAACTGTGGTTAAATCAGCTGTATGAGGAGGCATAATTTCTCCCAGTACCACAAGGTGGTGCCCCCCAAACGATATAAATTGGATTATAAACCCCATGAATACTATAGATATATTACCTATAAACCAAAGTGAAATTGGAGTTATTTGCACCAACTGAACGCTATCGTGGCCGGGGGCACCACCTTGCAGCTGTTGACCCTGTTTCAACCCAAGCTACTCCTCCTCGCTTTTGTACTGGGAGAAGTCGCGGATGCCAACGCTTCGTAGGGAGCTGATAATGAACAAAGTGCAAGTCTTGGAGCCACTAAAACCTGGGCCAAAGGGATCCAAAGACATGAAAAATCACTATTAGATTTTTGGTCATAGGTGTATACATGTGAATATTTGATAAAGAATTTGTATATATATTTATATATAGCATATATTAGGTGTATAAATATAAATAGTTGATAAAAAAAAATTGTGTATATAGCATATTATATATATATTATATTTCGTACAGCAGATGTGACTGTGCCGAGGACCTCCAAGGTTCAACCGTCGACTTCGAGGGGTTCCCATTTTCGTTCAAGTCGTGCCCCCGCAGTGAAATGGCAATATAACCAGCAACAAAAAGAAGATAATATAACACTATATATATATGTAAGAATTTCCTGGGATATGTATATATATATATATACATTATATATGATTACTTGTACACACACATATAGATATATATATATACCAGATATCTAACTATCTAACTATATTATATAATTATCTTTGTTGGTTCACGTTACCCACACATTTTCGAGTTCGATAAAACTTTAATCCACATAAACCTCAGAGTTCTTGGGGTTTCTCGATCAATTTGGCTAGTGAACCATTTTTTACCTGTTTGGACCAAGGTCACCTCGGCCTTTTGAGGATTTACCATCATCTTTTTGTTGGGGGAGTATTGTATGTATACATGCTTGAGTCGTTCCCACCATATCAACAAAGACATAAACAAGAAAAAACACAAACACGCAAGAACAGCTCAATGAATAAACCAGCCACCGCTTTTGGTGAGGAGTCATTCAAAATCTGAGGCCCAGGCATGTTTGAAAGTGACCCATCCATCAATGATCCATCATGAAATATGCTTCACTATCATATGGGGAGTCCTTAATTACTCATTAATCATGATTAGTCATGAATCATCGTTAATAATCATTGATAATCATTAATCATCATCAATCATCGTTAATCATCATTAATCATCATTAAATAATTAATCTGGCTGAATTATGATACTTCCCAAAGCTGCAAATAGCAGTTATCATGCGGCCATTTGGGGATGATTCCCAATCCATTCATTCCAGAATTCCGTCAGGACGTGAGGTCAACATATCATCCAGATCAGTTAATCATCACATGTGGGTAAAACAATATCATAAACCACCCATGACTGGGACTGGTAAAACTACCACCTATAAACTATAAACATGGTTAATTTTGAGATGGTGTATGGCATTGTTTTATCCACATTATTCAATTCATCATTAACCTCGTGTAATCAAACATGGCAATGGACAATCAACTGTTCAGTTCGATAATTTTTCCAGCTATACAGCTCCATTGAGAATCACTTAGTTCGGTGATTTTCCATTGCCACGTTTGATGACAACGGAGGGTAACTATCCTTAACCACTATCACTGTCACTATCATCTTTGGTGAATTATGAAGCATTAATATGCATTAATAATCGTTCATCACTAATCACACAACATGTTTGCACATCTCTGCACTGCACCATGGGCATTGGCACCATAGTTGTCGTTCCTGTTGTTGCTGTTGTTGCTGTTGTTGTTGTTCCTTAAGGGTAGAAACAAAAAGATACATATAGTGAGGACGGGGTCCAAGTGTTTGTTTGTACCTTGTTGTTGTTGTTGTTGTTGTCGTCGTTCTATGAGTCCTCTGCTGCAACTCTGTGCGTCCTTAATTATCCATTCCTTTGGGTGAATTTGGGTAATAACTTGTCTGACCCACGTCCCAGGCGTCTCAGGGGCTCGTCGCAACGCCGAGGTCGGGAGTACAACTAGAGACCTCAGCTGAAACACTGTAAGGTGCCAGCAACGTGTGAAAATGGAATCGTCAGCCTTAATCAATGAGAAGAATAAGGGTAAGAGATGTACTTGCTATATCTGGTTGGTGGTTGAGCCACCCCTCTGAAAAAATATTAGTCAGTTGGGACAATATATTCCCAATATATGGAAAAATAAAAAATGTTCCAAACCACCAACCAGATATTCATTTCAAGGTATTTGGATTGGATTTGGATTGGTATTGGAACGAAATCTCCAACCAGCTTGAGTAGGAAGCACTGTTGCAATCCACAATCTCTTGCTCTAAGTTGCAGAATCCAGCATTTTAACCCGCAACGAAACAAAACGGGTCAATAATGTATGGCATATTCATGGTAGCTGCATAATATCCTACTCTCCATATGTACATACCTGTTTATAGACTGTACCAAAGTTGTGTATAATATATATATATATACATACGAAAATATTACTGTGTAATAATTCACAGACCTGAAAAAAGACCACCAATTTGGGGGACGATTCCCTGCACCATGCTTTTTTAGTGACGCCACGGCGTGAGGTCCTTCAAATCTTTCCAGATTTATATGTATGTTATTATGTTGATACTACATATATATATATAATTATATACATATGTGTGTGTCTTACACAAATTGGCTTATCCTCAACTACAGACATTTCCAAACGCGCCTTTTTATGATACACAATGGGATCCCAACCGCTCCGGAGATCAGCCCAACGCCTCCCGAATCCCGAATCTGCCACGAGACGGCCCACCAGGTGACAGTGCTACCCACTTTGTATTGATGTTGGAGGTCCAACGCTACCTTGAGATTTCACCGTTGCTGCTGGAAAGAATGGGATATATTTCATGATTGGAAAAGACATGAAAAGAATGTCAGAATGAATAGAACAACCTGTTGGAAAATGTCCAATCAAGTGGATGTTGATGGATCTTCGATATATTTGTTTGCATATGTTTGTTTCAGATCTGATGTGCGAAAGGAAAAGCATGCCATTCAAAACTAGTCCCCACTATAGAATAAATGGTAGTATAATCCCCAAACTCATCAACTAAACCATCATTTGTCAACGTTATCACGAAAATCTGCGCCCAAGACACACCGCGGTAGAGCTCCTTCTCCGTTCTGGGAAGCTTCTCCAAGGCTGAAAGGAAGAGCCTGGAGCCATCTGGACGAGGTGAGGACCAGTGATGTTTGGTGAAGCCATGAACTTTACCCTCTGGTAATTTGTTACATAGCTATTGAAAATGGTGATTTTCCATAGCTATGTTAAATTACCAGAGGGTAGTATACTTTACTTATATCCTCCTTAAAAAAATGGTTCTTGGAGTATACTCTAGTTGTGACCCCCGTAAACTTCGTAAACTTGCAGTTGAAGTGGTCATTTTAGCATAAATTAGCTATCTAGGGGGCCTCACATCTTTTGGGGAAGCCAATCATGGATCACCATTGGTTGTTTCCCCTAGTAGAAAAAAAAATCTTATTTCAAATTATCCATAAGGTGGTCAACTATTTTGGCTGGTGAAATCATCTTATGTGAACCATGACAAATCATCGTCATCCTCTTGCTTTGTGCGAGCTAGGAGTGACCTGAACTCATACTGCTTCTGCTTCTTGCTCCTTGACTTAGCCGTTTTGCCAACTCTGAATTGTAATGAGTCAGAAATGTCAGAAAGCCGAAATCTTTTGCGATCCGACATTTCACCTGATTGATCATCCCCATATGCTCCATGGTGCTGGAATATGAATCCCCACATTTACCCCAAAAATCAACCAAATGGAGCATCTGGGATCTGTGGTGATATCGTGGTGCTATCGTGGTGAGGTTCTTCGGAACTCACCCAAGGATCCACAAAAATCCACCCGACATGGGATTATAGGGATGTTTGCTCATCATTTTGTGCTAACCACACACAAGGAAACCCTCAGGTAACCTAGCCTGGCGTGCAAAAAATACAGAACTCTTAAAAAATAGCTGTGCATGTTCAATGGCAGATTGGATTCAGTCATTTTGAGGAGGCGAAGCCAATCTCACTATATATATATATATAAGTATATAGATATATAAATAATATATATATATATTTTTTTTTCTGCTGGGTTTACATGGTGGGCTATGGGTTCTACGATACCTGTTTACTACAATTTTAAGTGACCTTTTTTGAGGATGATGCCATTTTGTTTTGACTGGTGAAAAATGGTGCCTGTAATCAATGGGATAATCAATGGGAGAATTGATGGATAATTAGTGGATTGTCAACAATCAATGGATAATTAATGGATTATCAATAAGCAATGGACTATTGGAAGTCTTTGGCGATCAGAGCAACCCACTACTGATGGTCTCTGTTGATGGCCGGTCTTGTATCGCAAAAATCATGTGACTCAGTCCTCAAACTGTGGTGTGCAGCTTTTTTGTAGTCAATAATTTGAAGGTGATGAAGAAATCCCTTCACTGATCTTAAAACTGGATACCCCCCAAACAAATGCTAATTTATCATCTTTTCCCTTCAAAAGAGACCGGCAATTTGAGTGGTATATTCGATTTTCAGACACATGCAGGAGGTGCAAATACACGGATCAAGTGGCAAATCATCTCCGTCACCTGGCAGATCACTCACCCGTCCAAGCCTCAAATAGAGGAAATAGTCCAGAGCTTTTTTTCGATCTGCGTGTCGCCTTAGCTAACCCAGATTAGCGAACCATGGTGCTGGAATATGAATCCCTACAAAACTGGTTGATTTTTGGGGTAAATGTAGGGATTCATATTCCAGCACCATGGAGCATATGGGTAAAAGTCAATCAGCCACGGCGAGCTACACCACTGAGTGAAACGATCGCTAAAGGTGTCCATCTCTTTTTTTGGGATTTCACCCCATCCCAAAAATAGTGGTCACGATGACATCATTTACACCGTGGTGCCCCTGTTCCATAGCTAACTTGGTTAGCAACATTTTATAACTCTAGTTTCACTAGGACATATATTAGATTCTATTCTATCGAACTAGTCAAGGGTGTTATAAACCAACTTACAACTTCTGGGGGTACCACATTGTAGTTGTTGGAACGGAGAATGGAAACACCATTTAAAAGGCACTCCCCAGCCCCCCATTCAACCGAGCATCAGGGCAGCGTTCAGGGCCTTGGTTTTGGGGTCCCCCACTAGTTCAGCCATTGATCAATGGGATGAACACACTGAATGGGGACTAACCGGGCTTATTTACCATTACTAAGTGGGGTTAACGTACTGAACATGGGACTTACTAGGCCTATTAGCCGCTTACTATATAAGTGGGATGATCCTCCAAACACAAAAAAACACGATTCTCTGTGTCATTGCAAAGCAGTTCACAGTTCAACGCCGCAAATATCCGCAAAAAAGGCGGCCTGAAGGCCCTTCGCATCATTCCCGCCTTGTAAAGATAGTTCGTGGTGTAGAGGTGCAAAGCGCCCGCTTCGTCCAATGACAAACTCTTTCCTGACGAAAAAAGGCAAATGATCTTGGCAATTTGGGGATGGGTCAACAAGGGCGTCTGAAAAGAAAGTAATGCGCTTAACCCAATACTACCCTCTGGTGAACTAACATAGCTATTGAAAATGGTGATTTTCCATAGCTATGTTAGTTTACCAAAGGGTAAACCATTTCCGTCCCATTTACCCCAAGTTTACCATTTGATGCTATTCAAAGCCATACTGGCTGTGGTGCTTCCCCAGTTGTGTTAGTCGGGGTTTGTCCCCATGAACTATGGATGAATCTGCCATAAGATCGAGCTATTGGAGCTTTCTCATCCAACTTATCTATCCGGGGGCTATCCGATTCATATCCTACAAAATCAATATCGCATTATTATTGGTATCATTAACTACAACCGCAAAAAAAACATGGTAATTCCCATTGAAGCATCTATAAATCCCATCAAATCCCCATTATTCACCACCATTAAACCATGTTAAACCACCTCGTCCCCGACAAACAATGCTTCACGAAACTTCGGCCGTCTGAGCCCAGCATCGGCTCATCTTTGAAGCAAATTTTCGCGAGGCCTATGGTCCCAAAGCCGACGGGACGACCCGTTTGAAATGGCAATCTAGCCAAGGCAAATGTGGATTTCATGGGATCAAAATAGCTAACTTGATGAACATAACTCCAATAACCACGGTTTATGATACTTATAATCAGAGTTCATGGGGCTTATGAACCAACAAACTCATGTAACATCAACTCGGGATGAATAAACCCCTGAGCTCCAGAATTCATCCAGGGTTTAATCTGGGGTTAACCGTTAAAGTGATTTCGATGGGTTGGCTATAAGGAATAAACAACAGCACATCATGTCGATTACTGTACTTCTCTTTCTCTGGCAAATAATCTTTGGGGGCTTCCTGCAAATCTGCCTCATACAAACATCTGAAACATTCTGGAACCAACTTTGGTATATTATTAAGGCAAAAGGTGTGTTTTTTTAAATCCACAAGTTGCCATTATGTTCCCAATGATTGGTCACACCAACAGTGTGGAATTCGAAGCTCAAGCCTTTGTTGCTGAAAGTGCCCCTGTCGATGTTTGTTCAATCAGATCTTCGTGAGCCATTACGACAAAAGGTCAGTCACGTGGCTTAAAAACCCGACGCTTCGCCCACCTGGAAAGAACTGTCAATTTAAGCCGAGTTCCCCATAAGGCCTATATAAGGCCTATGTAAGGGAATATCCCCACAAAATATGGCCTTATATGGTACAGTACCTCCATTTTAGGATCCTGAAATTCCCATTGAATAAAAATTATGAGAACACTTGAAGTTCCGATTCTTTATCATCATTTTCCGCATCAGAATTGCGGTTTCGGCGGTATAACTTATTTTTGGACATACCCAGAAATAATATTAATGGTTGTATACCCCATTATATCTCTAATTCTATTATATACTGTATACCCTCTGGTAAACTAACATAGCTATTGAAAATTGCCATTTATATTTGATTTGACCATTAAAAATGGTGATTTTCCATAGTTATGTTAGTTTACCAAAGGGTATATATATATATAAAATGTATATCTCGTGATATCCCCTTATATTTCCATAATACTGCTGCCTTTTATATCCCAATGATCCCAATGTCGCTTTACCATGCGTGCCACTGCCCTGCCGCGCCCACGCCGTGCCGTCCAAATTTCTTCGCCGGCTTTGGTGAGCGCCAATGGCTTGCAGGCATCCGGCAGATCCACCAATGGTTTGGACATGATACCCACAATACCATCCTTAACCACGGGCACTGATGAGCTTCAGAACTGTTTCTTCCGGAAAAAAACTATGTCACATTTGTATAATCTTTATATAACTTAAAGAACCACGTTTTTTTTTGCTATTCTTATAACTTATAACCATTGTACTGTTTCTCACTATGAACAAATATTAAGAATTATTCATTAACTATGTCTTGGTAGTTAGTTTCTTGATGCCCACAAAGTGTGTCCTCTGGTTATTTAACATAGCGAACTGGAAAATCACAATGTTTCAGTTCGTTAAATCATAATGCGTAACATCTATAAATTTGCCATGGCTTTCATATGCACCACATAGCTATATAGCTATGTGATGCCCCCGTTTAATAGGTTAGTTGATTTATAACTCCAAGAACTATAGTTTCTCACACTTTGAACTGCAGTTCATGGGGCTTTTAAACCAACTTAAAACTGGGGGGGGCACCACAGCCAGTATGTTCAAGACCCGAAGGGTAACTTCCAATCTTCCAAGCTTCCAAATCATCGCTGCGCGTGTCCAAACCTCAGCGAGGAAAAACAGATTTCAGTACATCTGGAGAGGTATCTTTCGGTGTCAAGAAACATAGCTACAATGTGGGCCCCCCCAGTTATAAGTTGGTTTATAAGCCCCAGTAACTATAGTTATAAGCACCAAAAACCATAGTTATTGGAGTTATAAACCAACTTAGCTATCTTGGGGGCCTCACATTGTATGGTATTATTCACATTACGCTCTGGTAATTTGTTACACTTTGCTATTGAAAATGGCCATTGATAGTTGATTTACCCACTAAAAATTGTGATTTTTACAAAAACTATGTTAGTTTATTCACATTAATTCATCCATATTCAGCCATTTCATCAACATTTCAGCATATGTCAGCTGTCCTCACAAGGTTATGCCCCTACTGAACTAAGTCACGATACATTGGTTGAGAAAATTCCAATTTCTCTGTTGGGTTTATGGTAGATAGTATATATATATATACATATTATAGACTGGTTGGTGGTATTAATCATCTTGAAACATATTAGTCAGTTGGGATGATGACATTCCCAATACATGGCAAAATAAAAAATGTTCCAAACCACCAACCATATATATATATATAATATATATTATATGACTTGGGGTTGAATTCCAATAAACGATCAACACCAATGATGATTATATTTACCCTCTGGTAAACTAACATAGCTATGGAAAATCACCGTTTTTAATGGGAAAATCCACTATTAATTGGCATTTTCAATAGCTATTTTGACATAACCAGAGGGTATCCCATTCCCTATACCCTCTGGTACTCAAACATGGCTAGCTGGAAAATCACCGAAGCAAATCGAGGTTTCTTGCTGGGAAAATCATCGAACTATTGCTGGATCTACCAAGCCACGCTTGATTACCAGAGGGTATATCCCATGAATGTATATGAATATCTCATGAAACTTCCATTTATCCCATTCATATACCATTAAATCTCATGAGTATCCCATGACATCACTATAAAAACCCATGAAATCCGGATAACATCCATGTTTTCCGAACTTCATCCCATAAAATCACAGAAGAAACGGAACCCACCGGACCCACAGTGTTTCCGCTAGGCCCCAGGTGCCATCTTTCAAACGTTCCAGGTACATCCTGAGCGAAGCAGCGAAGTCCAAGGTGATGCCCAGAATAAAACGCGAAATGATAATACAACCATATAGTGATACCCTCTGGTTATTTATATCCACATTAGGTAAAGATATATTATATATATATCCACCACAAATCAAATAGATCTTACAAGATGGGGCCCCCAAGATAGCGTTCAGTTGGTTTATAAGTGGTTGAATGTAACCATGGAAAATAATTTCATTGGATTAAAACCATGGCTATGTTTTATAAGGGATTTCCCAGTCATGGGTGGTTTACAACATTGTTTTACCCAATGGTATCCGATAAAATTCGGGATGGTGATTTATCAATGGGAATTCCAGGATCCAATACATGGAGTGATATATCATATATCCCTACAAGATGGGCCCCCCAGTAATGTTTGTTGGTTTATAAACCATGATAATCCCCATTAACTAGTTCGATATATCTACCATAAACCATAGTTAAACCACTTATAAACCAACTTAGCTATCTTGGGGGCCCCATCTTGTATGGATCCAAATACCTTCTTAGAACATATTTGGGGTATGATTTAGAGGGTTAAGTACCTTCTCAGACAGTGCTTGGATACATTGGGTATTATCATTATTCTTACTATTAGATATTATATTATCATAAATATCGTAATATTATCATGATGATAATGATTCGAAGATAGTGGTATATAGAAGGAAATGTATATATATATATACGCATATTGATTTGGATATGATAATGGACTATTTATCTATAATGGTGACATATAAGCAGGATTTAAGCAACGAGAATGGGATATGTATATTTTGTTTGGGGGGTGAATATCAAGGGATATATTATGGGACATATAGGGGTAAGCATTTCTAGTCAAGGGGGATATAACCAGCTCTCCCACGGTGTCATCAAAACGCGGCTGCCTAGGAAATCCCCGAACTAAATAGAGGTTTAACGGGAAAATCATCCAACTCCATGGTAGATTTTCCTTTGCCATGTTTGATGATCGGAGGTCAACAAAGCTAAACATGGGAATTTTCCATGTGTGATATATACCGTATATACCCTTCGAGCAAGCAACCCCCATTGCTAAGTCCCAGCGTCTTATGCAGTTCCTGCGTCTCCTGCATAAATGCTCCCATCTCCTCTGCCTGTGAGCTGCTTCCCAGTGCGGCCTCGCAGCGGTGGAAGGATATGGAGGTTACCTAAGTCATGTACCCTCTGGTTATGACTAACATAGCCATGGGAAAATGGCCCATTTATAGATGGTTTACCTGGGTTTACCTATTAAACATGGTGATTTTCCATGGCTAAATAACCAGATGGTACCCCCAAATCATCCAAGTCATTCTAATCTATTTGAGTATTGAAAGCCATGGTGACTTGGGGATCCACCGGTCCATTTTAAGAAAATCCCAGATGTGTCTATAATTAAATATGTTATACAAGGTGGTGCCCCCAAACGATAGCTAAGTTGGTACACATAACTCCAATAACTATGGTTTTTGTTGGTGATGTATCGAACTAGTATTCATGGGGTTTATAAACCAACAAATATAACGTTTGGGGGGCACCACCTTGTAAGATTCATCTAATTACATTGGAGATAAACATGGAGGTCTTTGAGTTTGAATTGACCATGTCCAGGAGCAACATCCCCACAGCCATGTCTTAAAACTGTTTCACAGCTCATCGAACGGGAACTAGTTCGATATGTGTACAACCCCAAAAAGTTACTTAATGTTGTCTATAGTTATAAAGCAACAGAAACCTACCACAAGGTGGTGCCCCCCAAACGTTATAAATTGCTTTATAAACCCCATGAATACTATAGATATATCACCTATCAACCATAGTTATTGGAGTTATGTGTGCCAACTTAGCTGTCGTTTGGGGGCACCACCTTGCAGAAATCGCATATCGCGGTTAAATCCCATGTCCCCATGAATTTCAGGGCCTTCCAGGAGCTATCTGGCAGCCATTCAATGGGATCACCAAGACCCAACTCTTTGATGGCCTGAACGCGAGTTCATGGTGAGTTCTTGGTTGATAAATAGGGAAAACCATAGGAAAACCATAGGAAACCCATAGGAAAATGGAAGTTTAATGGGGAAAAATGATGTTTTTATGGATTGTTAATGGTTAATTTTTGGATTGTTATATGGAAAAATCCATGAAAGCTATATAAATGGAGGTGATGATGGGAATTTCATCTGCAAATGATGGATATACCCTCTGGTAAACTAACAGTTCGCTATTGAAGCCATGACCCATAGAAATAGTTGATTTACCCAGCTATCAAATGGTGGTTTTCCATAGCTATGTTAGTTTACCAGAGAGTAATACTGGTGGCAGAATGGTTAATCATGTGAATTTATTGGTGATTTCATGGGATAATTCATGAAATACTTAAATACTTATGGACTTATAGGAATATCATGTGAACATGTTGGTTAATAATTGTTGATAATCGTTCATAATGTTTAAGAGTTGTAGCAACCCCCAGTCAAGGATACCAAAAATACCTTGAACACCTGGGACATGAGGGGAAAACATCATGGAACCATCATCCTGGAGCGCTCTCCTTGGTATCTTTTCTAAGGGTTGCTATACATGAATCAAGGGGGGCCCGGGAATGGCATGATGTGGCTTATAAATGCTTAAACTCTTAGACACCATATTTTTGTGTTTGAAGCATGGAACATCATGGAAGTTTCGGAGGTTAGTGTGACCCAGCAGTGGTATTTGTATCTGATTCATCAATGATGTGAAGCCAAATAACTACCATAGACTCAAGAATGGAGAGTCGTTAATAATTTTTAATATCCTCTGGTAAACTAACATAACTATGGAAAATCACCATCTTTAATAGGTAAATCAACTACCAATGAGTCATTTTCAATAGCTATGTTAAATTACCAGAGGGTAGTGTCCCAACAAGAAGGGCAGCTCTTATATGGATCCTCAACAGTTTTCATAAGGATAATCCTCATGATAAAACATACCCTCTGGTTATGTCAAAATAGCTATTGAAAATGACCCATTGATAGTTGATTTACCTATTAAAGATGGTGATTTTCCATAATTGATTATGTAAACGTTTACCAGAGGCTAATCATCATGATAAAACATAGTTTTGTGAGTACCCAGTTTTCAGACAATCCGATGTTGAGATCTGAGCCTGAGGACCCCTAAAAAACGCGTAGTTTGACACATATGGCTAGTCTTACTGTAGATACCCTGCAAACAAGAGACAGTTTTTTTTTTTAAAAAAATAATTTGGTTAGTGATATATCCCCATATACATTAGTAATGTATCGCCATATAGACATGGTCAATCTTTGGTAGTCCGCAAAAATGGTCATCTTGTGCTGGTGGCCTAGTGACGTAGAGTACCGCTGAGGTAATAAACAAAACTGGGGGCGGTTGGTTGAATCCCTACTATATATATAACCTTTATGATATACTTAATATGTCCACAATATAAATATATCTATATATACATCTATATAGACATCATGTATAAATATAGCATATTAAATATAATATATTCATATATTATATACACATATATATATTATCTTCATAGTATCCCCAATTTATACCCATCAACAAATCCATTTGGCGAGTTAACTCCCCTTTGATTTCACCTTGTTGATTCCGGCGAAGATATTTGGGTCGTCACAGAAGGCATCAGCCATGGCGGCCGGATTCTTGTGCTCAATGTGGCGAATCTTGACCTCAAAAATGTCCCAGATACTACATGGTGCTGGTATATTTACCTACAAAACGGGTTGATTTTTGGGGTTTCTATGTAGGGATTCATATTCCAGCACCATGGAGCATATGGGTGTGAGACCCAGTCATGGGGAATTCCAGAAAGTCGAAGCAAGAAATGTCTTGTTCAGTCCAAACCTTAACATTGGAACACTTTAGATACACTTAGGGGTTTCCATAAATTTCGTACCTAGCTGAATGGTTGATTACATGGAAAATCCATCGATAAATGGATTTGGAGGTACCTCCATTTATGGAAACCCTCAAATTGCACATCAACTGTCAATCAATGGAGGTACGTTAGTACCATATATTGTTGGCCATATTTTGTGGGGATATTCCCTTACATAGGCCTGAAAAATAGGCCTTATATGTGGTAGGTACCTCCAATTTAGGTTCCTGAAATGGTCATTGTGTATCAGTAATTTGGAACATGACGCTTGAACAAGACTCTTGTTTGGGTAAACTATATCGTACTGTGTCAGATTTGGAACAAGACTCTTGTTGAACAGGTGGTATCAATGATGATCAATGACGTTAGAAAATGGTGGTACCCCTGAATCATCCATTTTATACATTTGAGCAGGATTTTCCGCTACCATCCAGCTATTGGGGTACCCCCATGACGAAACGGAACCCCCCAGGACCTAGTTTTTTGTTGTCCCCAGATGGTCCAAGGCCACGTCCCCTGATGTTCTGCCATTTTTTTCCCGAGCGTCAGAAGGAAATTTGCAGAAGGCAGTTTTGTCCTGACGGAAGCTGTGGGATTTGGGTGCGACGGTGGAAAATCTATCTTTAAGCAGCTCAAAATGTTGAATCAGCATTGTTTTCTTAAATAGGTGTAATAATGTAGTGTAGAATCACTTTTTCAATATTCCATTGAGAAACGTGACACATTTCTTGGAAATGGGCTACAGTAATATTCCTTGAGGCAATCTAAAATGGTTTTAAACTACAGTGACTACAGTTACAGTAACACTTTTTTTTTCAATGTTTCTTCAAAGGGAGTATTCCTTTGCTTTCTGTTTTACATCGTTTTACTATAAATCAATACGTAGGCATAAAGAATTCCTACAAAACGCTGTGCCGGTGCCGGTAGCACATAGTGAAATCGAACAATCATGGGGATCCACCATCCAAATCATGGTTTTTCTAAGCCCTCTTTATATACACTGGTTAGGATTGAAGGGGTGACGTTGAAAAAGACGGGGATGCACGTTTATCGCCATGATTTGAATCCCCTTCCACTTCTAAGTTGGTCTAATAACTTATTATCCCCAGACAAGAATAATATCATCAATACTCATTATAGACATCTCCATTGTAACACCCTTAACAACCCAACTTAACCATAGTTCACCAAAGTTAACCATAGATTAACCATCTTAATAGCTTATTATAATCATAGTTCACCATAGTTCACCATAACCCCCAGAAAAAACAAAAAACATACGGTAAGTTTTCCGCAATTCACCATAGTTCACCAGCTGAGTTATCCTTCAACGAACGGAAAAAAATCAGCGCCGAGAGTCCAGGACCTTTTTGGTCTTCAAACTTTCGGAGCCCCACCATGCCTTGATGTACGCAGCGGCGGCGTGCCATGGGAAATTTCCGCCCATGGAAGTTTGCGATGGTAAAAATTGCTGGCAAAATATGGGAAAATCATGATTCACATGATTTAACATGTATCTAAATGTTGAATCTTTGGAGTGGTTTGTTAGGGAAATCTTAACCGGAAACCATGATTTTTCCAGTCATGTTTTGGCAAACTCGTCGGTAAAATTAGAGGGCTTTCATGGATTTTCCGACAAGCTATGTTTGATGGATGTCCTATTCAATGTTGGGAAAACCGCCAAAGTTTGATGGTTTGACTATCATGTTCCCAGAATTGCCAACTTGGTATATCACGCGTCATACCCCATTTTGATATACACGCATATTTTATATATCCTTTTATCATAGTTTCTACTTCGAAGGCAACCTCAAAATGCTGATCCTCCGAATCTGAAGTCTCAAACATCAACACGGTTATGGCCCTTTATCAGTCATAAGATGTTTTAAGTACTAACAAGTCACCCCATTTATAGAATGTTTCTCATCCCATTGAAAGAACCAGTTATTTCACTAATAAATGGCCATAACTGCACAAGGTGGTGCCCCCCTAGTTATAAATTGGTTTATAAACCCCATTAACTATAGATATATCACCAACAAAAACAATAGTTATTGGAGTTATAAACCAACTTAGCTATCGAACGGGGGCACCACCTTGCAGCACCATGGAGCATCTGGTTGATGGTTCAAGTCTGGGACATGCTACGTATATTAATGCTTACATCATCTTATATATATAATAATATATAAATTATTTATATATATATATATGTATATACACACACAACTGGGGCACCACCTTGAGCCATCCATCCCGCAGGACCCAACAGGACCCAGCTGGATCTGTTTGGCTCAGCTGCAAATATGATGGGCCGCTTGGATTCCTGGCACTCGGCTAAGATGGCCTTCACCACCTCTGCAATGACTGGCTGCCAGAAGCGGAGATGTTCCTGGCTCCGTTGATGTAGCTTTTCCATGGCTTTTGATACCCAGATGCGAACCATGGTGCTGGAATAGTTACCTACAAAACTGGTGGATTTTTGGGCTAAATGTAGGGATTCATATTCCAGCACCATGGAGCATATGGGCATGCGGCATGGGTTTTAGGTTTTGATCATTGATGATCCCATGTTCCTTCATTTTTACCGTTTGATGATCACAGTGGATATAACATGGTATAAATATGGCAACCATTCATTTCCACTTCCCAAACGCTACCCGGAACTAGTCATAGCTGGTTAAACTGATGGTTCATGGATGGTTTGTCCCCCAGTCATATGGTAATAATATACCCATATGCTCCATGTATGGAATATGAATCCCTACATTTACCCCAAAAATCAACCAGTTTTGTAGGTATATATTCCATACATGGAGCATCTGGGATAGTTTTTAACCAATGGATTCCACTCCTAGAACTGGACTAACCGTTGGTCTGGCAGTGGACTGACATACTACTTTGAGAAAAATACCATGCATTTCACTTAACTGAGAGTCATCGCTCTGGAAGCTACACCTTTAAGACTTTAAGGTTTTTTAAGTGGATATATGTGAAACATGGTCCAGCACCGCAAAAGCCAAATGTACAATGTAATGCGTTAGTGCGGAGAAATTATCAAAACAATCATCTGACACACCGCCATTTTCGGATAGTTACCCTACTAACCATTGCTACCCATCATTTCAGTATCCAGATTACCAAACCCGGTGCAATGTGCATCGCTAAAAAAGACCTGTTGCTAGTTGAACCTCCTCAAACAGAAAATCATTCGGAATCTCAATCATTATCCCTTTTATCAGTGGAATAAACAGAAGACACGAATGTGTGTATATATATATACATTTACATATATATATATATGGATATGGGGTGTAAAAATATATATATACTATACATACATATATATATATATATGGGGTATAGCAAAAAAAAAAATGCAACCATTGAATCCCATGTCCTAAAAGGCTATGGAGCAAAACCCTGGTACCCTCATCTTCATGACAAAATAGATGGTACAGTAGTTGCGGATATATGCACCTCCCCCCAAATTTTGGGATTTCATGACAGGTTTGATATGTTTGATCCACCCCTGAACGTGCCATTGCCATGATATCCCGAACGATACAATCATTTCCGTATGAAAACCCATGGATTTTCAGACAAACATCATATAAATCATCATTTTCCCTATGAAAACCTGGATTTTCCCTATGAACATGAGGATTTTTCAAGGCTCTACGAAGCCCAAACGACACAGGGCTCGCACCAGGGCTACCCCACGCACCTGCACCACCTCGCCAGCACGTTGCCCTTCGGCAGGTCGGATGGTGCACGCAGCATTCATCAGCAGCACCCCTTGCGTCAAGATGGCCTGGCGACATGCCACGGGGCCTGTTTTTTTTTTTTTTCGGGATATCACATATATATATATATATATTATGTATAATTATTATGTATGTATATGTATGTATATGTGTATATATATATATGTATCATAGTTATAATATAGTTTGAATATTATAAATATATAGAATTATAAAGGTATACATATAAAGGTATATATGTATTAGTATGTATAGGTATACATATATGACATAGCCGATAGATGGATTTGGGATGATATTCCCAGGAATCTGGTCGGAAAAATCACCATGTTGAATGGGTAAATCAACGAACCAAATGGCAATTTTAAATAGGAAACTGATAGTTTACCAGAGGGAAAACCATGTATTTAAATGAAAAAAAACTTAAGGGACTTGCTAACTAGACTTGTTCAACTTACTAACCGTAGTTACTAACCACATAAACGATGCGTGGGATGTTCACTAAAAATGTATCATCAGATCATATCAGATCCATTTAAGGGCGTCAAATCATGGTGTCGTTCATGTCTTGTTGTCATCCTAGCAGGAAATGAGGGATATCCCGTTGTTGGCCGTTTTTACGAAAATTCCCTACAGTTGTGGCCATTTAATGTTGTCTGACCAATAGTGATATCTTGTCAATAGTAGAAACATTTTTCCGCAACTCCAATTTTTCTCCAATACTAAAAGTCAATTAGCTCTATTTACTTTTCGTATTGCCAAAAGAGTCATGTTCAGACCTTGTCCAGAGGGCATGGCCAATAGTGGACCCAACATGGCAATAGTGGAAACTTTTTTCCCAACTCCAATTTTTTCTCCAATACTAAAAGACAATTAGCTCCATTTACTTTTAGTGTTGCCAAAAGAGTCAAGTAAAGCAAATCCGTTTCAAAGCAGCCTTCACTTTTGATTGGCAAAAGCTTAGATTCCAGAAATCTGATCCAATTACCAAACAGCTGATTTCCTTATAAAACCCTTATTAAAAAAAAACAAGAAAACAGGTCCACAAAGGGTACCCCCTTTGCAAGCCCCAGAATAGCAATAACAAACCTGCACCAGGCATGGCAATAGTGGATTTGTTTTCCGCAACTCCAATTTTGTTGTCCTCCTTCTCCTTCTCCTTCTTCTCCTTCTTCTCCTTCTTCTCCTTCTTCTCCTTCTTCTCCTCCTCCTCCTCGTCCTCCTCCTTCGCCTCCACCACCTCTGCCCCCACTTCCATGTCCACTTCCGCCTTGCCAACTCTTCGCCGATTCCAGAAATCTGATCCCAGCTATAGATTCCCAAAAATTATTATAGGAAGGTTGACCCCCCCCTAAAAAAAAAAAAAATAGGGGGGTAATTACTATTAGGCAGCCAACATTATTAGTTATAACTGGTTATAATTGGGATTATATATACATTCTATAAATGGTGTTATAAGTACTCATGACATCTTATAACTGATAAAGGGCCATAACCGTATCAAGCTGGTGGTATGACCATCCCGAAAAAACTGAGCCCATGGCATCCAACAAGCTGACCATTGCATATCTGGCATCCCCCGGACCTGAAACCATTCATCAGGACTGACGATGCCTCCGCATGGTCCAAGCACTAAGCTTTGTGTAATTCTTCGTTGGAAAGCTGCAATCAAGAATGGTAATGGGGTATCAATATTCGAGGTGGAGAAACACGAACCAAGAGAAACATCATTGAACAACACAAAGCACCAGATCAATCACCCTTCATTCATAGTGAACCATACCATTTTTTTTACGTATCACCTGCCAAGTTGTGAAACATCAATCCTGTCATATCCTGTCTGAAGATTCAGCTAGCAGCTAGATACACCAGATCATCCTCCTGGGCAAATTCTCAGATTTCACTCACCTGAATAGTTCGGCCATAAAAGGGGATGATTTCCCGAATCCTAACCATCATTCCACATAATTCCCAGGCTTCGGGAGAACAGGCTTCGGTCGTGATGAAATTTACCCAGATTATTATTGGCTATATCACCATTACATCCATGATTGGTATATTTACCCAGATAAGAAGTGGCTATATCACCATCACCATTACCCTCCGGTAAATTAACATAACTATGGAAAATCACAATTTTTAATGGGACAATCCACTATTTCTATGGCCATTTTCAATAGCAAACTGTTAGTTTACCAGAGGGTAATGTTGGATATCGAGTTATTGAGTAGCCTAAAATTGTTGGAGGTGGTGGGGCCTCGTAGGCCCCCCTACACTAATCAGTATCCAACATTACATCTATTTTCCATACACAATATTCCACTGGTGGTATATCAACATATTAATGGTATAACTTATAGTATGAATGGGTTTGTAATACTTATTATTGGCTATTATTAATGGTATATCCATTATATCCACCAGATCCTTGATTTTTGTTGACACCCTCAAGGATCATCGTGGGATCGTGCGTGATCAATACGCCATGGCCTATTGAAAACCCCTCCATGTAGTTTCTAAGTTGGTGTATAAAGCCCATTAATACTATAAGATGTTATAAGATGTTCCAATAAGTATCATAAACCATAATTATCGGAGTTTTCTCAACCAGCTTAGCTATCTAAACCCGGGCCCAGCATTGTATACCTCCCTTAAGGGCTCCCAACGGCATCCGCTGAGCTCACGACCTTTGGTTTTCAGAAGCCTCCGCAGCTCTGGGACCTTCCGACGCCAAGACGGCACTGGGCTTTATGGCAGAACTATAGTTAGATGGGTAAGCCATCTATAAATGGACGATATGGCCACTGAGTACCAGGTTAACTATGACTATATATGACTATATGGACTATATGACATTATATGACTATATGGATGTTTATGGTAGAGATACTTCAATAGTTCATGGGTGTTACCAACAACCAACTTTCACCAAACGATGGGGCACCATCTTACAGTATGGGAGACTCACGGCGACCGGAATCACGGCTGGAAAGGCTTAACCAAAATTGCCATAAATCATGCTGTCCACTTAAGCTGGTTGGTGGTATACCTACCTACCCCTCTGAAAAGTGATGGAGTGAGGTCGTCAGTTGGGATGATTTTTCCGTTCCCGAATGGAAAGTCATAGAATTCCATGGTTCCAAACCACCAACCAGTCCTTATTTCATGGTTTTTGATGGTTCACCCTCTGGTAAACTGGTACATAACTATGGAAAATCACCATGTTTAATGGGTAAATCCACTATTTCTATATACCTATCATCTGTGCAGAACCGCAACATCGCCCCGGACAACGACCTTGGTGCTCTTGGGGATCTTGAATTTATTCATCAACGCAGCCTTCATGATGCAACCTCAAAAACGAGCAAACAAAGGGAGCACTTTCCATGACTTCACCATCATGATATTGGGGTGTGACTCGGAGCCTGCCTGATTGGCTATCTTGTGGATATTTCATGATATTTCTTTTTAAGACTCATCACTCATCAACAAGTTTTCCGAAGCTTGCCCTTTGTCCCTTCAAAGTCTTCAAAGCATCATAAACAAGTGGCCCACCAATAGTTAGGACACTCCGTTTGCTAGGTTGGTAAACATAACTCAAATAACAATTAGTTTCACGTCACATCGAAGAAATTACTGGGGGTAGTATAAACCCACAAACAAAACTGGCGGGTACTGCAAGCTCCAAAACCATATTGTTTGTATGGGTTTGAATGTGTATATATATATATAAGGTTGTGCCCCAAAATAACA